GTTCAGAATTTCATTATTTTCTTTGTAAATTTCTGAATACTTGCTTACTGTTCGGGTATGTTAGTCGAGTGAAAAAAATAATATGGCCCTAGATATGTTTTAAAAAAATATTCAGTATCATTTACTTAATATAACATCAAAAGAAAAAGAAATTCTTATTACAACATGTTTTATATTTGACAATACATTTAGTATAAATGATATTTCATAAGAAAGCGTGGTAATTTTGACAGTTGGCATATGCGGTAACCATGGAAACTGCCCGTTTACAAAAAAGTAACACTTCAACATATATATTTTATTTCTATTTTTGAATCCACAATCAAATGTTACTTGATATATCAATAATGTAGAAAATTCTGTAAAAGAAATTTCTTGATAGCTTTATTTTTTTACAGAAAATTTTCATGTTTATTTTTCTCATTTTTTGTTTAGTTAAAAAGCATGAAAACTCATTTTTTAAAGAAATATGTCAAAATTATCGTTTGTTTTTATACAGAACCCTAAGATAAAGCAAGCTTTGTATAAAATTATGTTTATTGTGAGTGAAATAAGCTATTTTATACATTATTATAATACAGTTTGGCTGTTTTGACAATTTTGAGATATACGGTTACCATGGAAACTGCCATTTTTCAAAAAATCCAACACGCCAACATATATTTTTCTTTTTCAATTTGTCATTAAATTTTACACAATATACAAAAAAATTAGAAAATTCTATGAAAGGATTATTTTTTCATAAAACTGTATATCTCTAATTATTCTGAAAATTCATGTTCATTTTTCTCATTTTTTTGTTCGGTTGAGGAACATGGAAAACTCATTTTTTAAAGAAATATGTTCAGATTATCATTTGTTTCATACAGAATCATTAGATAAGGTTATCTTTGCATGAAACAATGCTCGTTGTGTGTTTTAAGCTATCTTATACATTTTCTATTCGTTATAACACAGTTAGGCTATTTTGACAGTTTTTAGATATACGGTTACCATGGAAACTGCCATTTTACAAGAAATCCAGCACGTCAACATATATTTTTCTTTTTATATTCAAATTCGTCATTAAATTTTACTCATCATACAAAAAATTTAGAAAATTCTATGAAAGGATTATTTTTTCATAAAACTGTAGAAAATGTCTTTAAATGGAATAATGTATGTTATGCTGAAAAAATGTATTGTAAATGCACCAATGTCCAAAATAAGAAACGTCTGAGACAGACCTACTGCCAGGAAAGAAAGAATTTTAGTAGGGCTGTACAGAAGGCTAAAAGGTATTTTTGGAACAATTTACAGTCTTTTAAATGAGGTTGAAAAAGACCCGCAGTCATTTTGGAAAAATATTGGTAGAGTTGGTGTTGTTTCTCATAAATCCAAAACTATTCCTATGCAATTTGTAATGATGATGGAGATTTAGTATCCGATATTCCATCTGACATCTTTTGAGAATTTATATAATGTTAATAATAATATAAGAAACAATCTTGTATATGTAGACCGGGCTGATGATTCACCTCCTGGACAAAACAAATGATTAGAATTAGAAAGAAAAATTGATGTTTTAGAAGTCAGGAATGCTATTAAGCGGGCAAAAAATAACAAGGCTAGTAGGATAGATGCCTTGCCGTATGAGGTATTTAGAAATGACGCCTCACTCTCTTGTCTCAAAATTCTTTTTAATATTTGTTATATCAAAGGTATGGTTCCTTCTGATTGGGGAAAGTGTATCATCAACCTGATCCCAAAGTCCAATACTCAGGATAGGAAAGACCCTATGTCATATAGGGGTATTGCAATAGCTAATACAATGTACAAACTGTAGTGCAGTATTCTCAACCAACGTTTGTCAACATGGGCAGAGTCGAATGCCAATATTGAAGATGTACAAAATGGCTTTCGGAAACGTCGTAGTACAATTGACCAACTGTCAACCTTGACCAATATTGTTGAAACACGTTTGAAATCCAAGCGATCAACATTTGTAGCATACATAGATTTTAGCAAGGCATACGACTCCGTCAATAGGGACATTCTGTGGAAGAAAATAGCCAATGTTGGTGTTAATGGTAAAATGTTCTTAGCTGTAAAATCTATTTATTCTAATGTAACAGCTTGCGTACGGGTAAACAATTTGCATACAAACTGGTTTAATGTAAACAACGGCCTTCGTCTGGGCTGTGGCTTGTCACCAATTCTTTTCAATTTCTGTATTAACGATCTTGCTGTGAGACTAAAGGCATTAGGCTTAACTGTTGACATTGGAAACGAAGAAAAGTTGTGTATACCTCTTTATGCTGATGACATTGTTTTCATTCCTGAAACTGAGGAAGATTTGCAAAGTATGTTAGATGTTCTGTATGAATAGTCATGCGCCTCTCATATGAAAATTAATCCGACAAAGAGCAATGTAATAATGTAAATAGGACCAATTTTGTCTTTAAATGTGGACCAGATAATCTTGAATGTGTTCCAAAATATGTATACTTAGGTTTAACACTTAGAATTTAGACTACTCTGTCACAGCAAAGTGTGTTGCTCAGTCAGCCAGTCGAGCTTTAGGTCTCTTAATAGCTTAATACAAGTCTCTACGGGGGAAAGCCTTACAATGTCTTTACTAAGTTCTTTGACTCGTTGGTTTGGTCTGTGGTAGCATATGGAGCAGCTATATGGGGAAACAAATCGTTTTCCTGTATTGACTCAATTCAACACCGTGCTATGTGTCTTTTCTTAGGGACATCCCGTTTCTCTCCGTCAGCAGCCCTGATAGGCGATATGGGCTGGCAACCAACTTTCAGTAGACAGTTGATAAGTGTTTCTAATTTTGGGCACAGACTATGTATGATGCCTAGGTCCAGAACAAACTACAAAGTTTTTATGTAAGCTAATTCAGTTGGTAGTACAAGATGTAAAAACTTGTGTTTCAGAACAAAACAAATTTTTAATGATCTTGAATGTACAGAATTTTATAATATTGATAATCTGGTATCAAAAAAGCTATGCTAGAAAAGGTTCAAGCAAAGTTTTATTGCAAAGTGGAATGTTAATGTTACATCTGAAAGAAGTAGAAGCGGGGTCGGTGGCAACAAACTGCGCACATATAGGCAGTTTAAGACAACTTTTGGAACTGAGGAATATTGCAAAATCATGTTTCCGCGTTGCCACAGGTCCGTTTTTGCTAAGTTCAGATGTGGAACTGCACCACTAAGAATAGAGACAGGTAGATATGAACGCCTACCAGTAAATGAAAGGCTTTGTCCTTTTTGTAATGACAAGGTAGAAAGTGAATTTCATGCTGTAATGGAATGTTTTATGTATGAAGATATTCGTGTAGATCTATTTGAAAAAGTGAGTGTCAAAAACCCACAATTTCACACAATGACAACTATGGAGAAGTTTACTTTTATATTCTCAAATACGAGTTGTGTACGGTATATTGCCAAAACCTGCTTTGACATACTTAAGAGAAGGGTAACTTTCCTTTACATATAAGAACATACAAATTGCTCTCTTTTTCCTTTTTCTGATGTGTCTTTTTATATGTTTTTATTTAAATTTAAAATATGTACATTGTATGTAAAAGAATAATAGGTAAATGTTTTACTGAAATGTAGGTTTTAAGATAAATATTTTAACAAGACTAAGACTGTGGTCTCACATTGTTATCAATTTTTCAAAAGTGAATACTATTTTATAGTTTATATAGTCCTATTGAAAAGTATAAAAATTTATAATAAAACAGTCTAAGTAAATTTTATTTGGCAGGATATGGTTTTAAAAATGTCATTAATTGACTCATATAAGTTTTAATGGCCATATTTATTATTACATATTGGACAAATATATGTTGCTTCTGTATAAAACATCCATTGACTAAGCCAATATATTATATGGATAAAACAGATCTTCATGTAAATTATGTTGAAGAAAACAAATCGTTGATATACTGAAGTTTATTTTGAGATTGTAAAGAATCAAGTGTAATAAATGACATACTTTCCAAGGTTAAATGATTTATAATGGTCTTCTTACCATTTACATTTAAACATTTTAGTATCGTTTTATTCATTGTACCACAATGTAACCTTCTGAAGGAAAAACATGCAATAGTTTGAATATATTGAGGTCATATTTTTAAAATACAACAACCTTTTAATGAATGATAATGATTATATGAAATTTGTGTAGCTAGGGGGGAAAACTCCTCAGTGCATAAAACAGTAAACTGCTGTGATATGGTCTGTGGAGTTGTCTCCCTTAGAGGTAAAAATAAATAGTCTCTTGTAATTCTTTTAGAATGGCTTTTCATGTATTTCATGTTTGTGTTTTACGTTTTATATGTAATTTTATGTATACATGTAAAGATGAGACTGAAATAAAGAAATTATATACCATGGAGGTTACGTACCACTGCATAAATGTACCATTTTTGGAGGTTACTTACCACTATAGAAATATATAATAAAGTAATAATAAGGGATAAGGTGTGAAACTATCAGGTTTATTGTTCAAATTCGCACATTAATTGTATTTTGTAATGAGATTAAATATGTATGAATATATAAGAATAAACAAAAAACCACAATTAACGATAATAAACAAGTTTTATTTACAACACAAAACTGAAACGAACAAACGATGAAAATAATTAATAACACTAATATAATTACACGCACGAAACTGAAATGAACAGTACAATGAAACAAACTACAGCAAATATAAAAAAAAACTTTTTTTTCATTTATAGTATTATTGATTTATTTATACGCATTTAACTGAAATTAACTGAAATAAACAAAAATAATCAATAGCAATAATAATATTTCATATGCATGCTAATTTAACGGACAAAATTACTAACACTTAACAAGTGTTACATATTTTATCATTTATACATTACATTAAGTTTTATTTACACGTTAACTGAACTGTGCATAAAATGAAAATAAAATAACAATAATTATGTTACACGCTCTGAAATGAAACAACAATACACAATTAACAAGTATTTTTAAAAATATTTTTGAGTTTTATTTATACGCACTTAACTGAAATAAACAAGACAAAATAATTGATAACAGTACATATGCAGGTTACGTTTTATTTACAGACTCATATTTACAAACAAGTCAATTTATATATTTTTCAGCTCCACTAAACCGCTTTTCTACTCAAGATCTTCGTCGTCGCAATGGTCATCCACTGTTGCTGGAATTGGTCCTAGGCCCATGATGTGACTTGAATTCTTCAAAAGTTGATTTGTTGTTATTTCTCCGTCTTCATATTTGTCCCACAGGTCGAACAGCTTGTCATGGATGGCCTTGTATTGTTTCCTGCGTACCCTTGTCAGCATGTTCTGTGAGACGAGACGAGTTTGCAAGTCGACGAACTGTGCCTCACCATAAAGAAGAGGCACCAAAACGTAGAATGCAAGCTGCGCCCCGCCTGCACGTGAATTTAGACGTCTGTGCCAGCCTGCAGAGATCAACAAATATGTAGTATCTATATTTTGGTATTATAAACGGTTACGAAAATCGATTATAGAAAGGCGGTACTGATATTCATAGTGAGTGAAATTGTAAATGAAACTATTTACCTTCAACATTCGTTATTTATACGTACGGTTTCTCTGAAAACTGACCAGTTCTCCACTTTCCACAGTCTGCCGTCGATCCATGTATCACGGATGTATGTTGTCAAATCTATGATGGGAACGCATCTGGACTCTTCAGCTTGAGACTCCAACTCAATGAAGGTGGGTCTCACGTGCTCCGCAGGAAGGTATGGAAGGGCCATCAGCTTTCTAATAAAAAGGAACTTGTCCCTCTTATCAGAGTATGCCGTGGCAAGTCCAAGCTGAATGACCTTTCTATACACTCTTTGGAGCCAGTGAAAAACACACCCCTTAATGATGGTGTTTCTGATAGCCTGTCACGCAGCTGAAAAGGAGTAATTTGCAAGAATGAGTGGATGTATACATGTTTCACATTAAATTCAATCATTTCAAAAAACAAAATAGAGATGCTATTTACCTGCTTCATAGTCCAGCATAAACAACTCTACCATCGGATCTCCAAGTTTCTCCTTCAGTCGTGAAAAAACATGAAAAATAAAAAAAAATCGTAAGAATTCTATCACATGAAATATAATTCTCAATTCATCTCATTTCAATTGATTTCCTAAGAAACGTACATCAACGTAGTCTTCCTTCCTTCTCCTTGACATAAATACAAAAACAAGAGGTACTTGTTTTACATGATCACCACTCTTAACAAAAGCATGAACAGACATCAAATAATAAAATGGTCGTCGTACCACTTTAAAAGTTTCGTCTATGAACCACCGCCTTGCAGTCTGAAGGTGGCTTAGCTGGGCTGCAGTGGCAAACATAATATGGCGTTCCTCTCCCACACGAATATCATCCACTCCACGAGGTACTCATCCGCTTTGATGAAGTCACGTGACAACTGAAAATATATAAAGTTGACATTAATATATACATAAATATATTATGTAAAAATATAACACAACTCAATAAGATTCCATTCCAATACAAAAATGATGATATATATTACCGTAAACGACAAATCATCTTCCTGGTTCAGATGGTCGCATATTCTGACGAAATAAGTTAGTTACCCTCGTGATGTTGTCTATGTTAGGAACAAATGGTAGGTCTGATGTGACAGCCTTTGTGACAGCTTCCTGAACTAGTCTAGCAGCAGGAACGTGGATATTTCTTGCAGCCAGATCTTTAACCTGAAATAAAAAAACCCGAATTAATTGATGAACACGAATTTACATAAATATTCGCGATGCGTCAATAGAAATTGCAAAGATATTTTCAAAAAAATCATCCCGATGATAATCTTATCTTCGCTGTGATCTTTACCTTAGCCCTTATGCTAGGATCGGCGGGGTGTTCATGTCCGCTGTTAGATGCTACATATGTATCGCTGTACTGTTTGACCCATGCAGGACATCGGAACTTCGCACTTCTAACGCTGCACACCCAGTATGTGAAGTTGTCTTTCTTTCTCTGAAAATATTAATATTAATAATATGATATTATGATATGTTATGATAGAAATTTAATCTTGATGATTTTTTTTGACGATAAATACTCACTTTTACGTTAAAACAATACCCGTTACTTGCGGTCAACATTTTCCCTCCTTTCTTGGTTCCCTTTTCCACTAGTTCATATTGAATGTCATGTTCTTCTGGGACATCCATATGTGGTTCACGTACTGATCTGGAATAAAAAAAGTCTCAACTCAAAGTTAGAGTATTTATTTGTTTCGATTATAATTTCAGATTCGCATTTCAAAAATTCACATATAAGAATAAAGTTACACATCTAGTATTCTAGGAGGGCGTTGAACATCCCTATCAGGTATATTAAGTGGTCGATCTTCAAGTTCATCTGTGGTCACCCGTTGCTCGACTTCCATCAGGTCAGCTACAGCACTCGTAGTAGCGTGTAACATTGCTAGACTTGAAAGTGGTCTACTTCTTCTTGCGAGTTGTCAACAACCTGAAATTAAATATCAATAGGTTTTCTTATTAAGAAAGAAATTATGCATGCATGTTTTGTGTAAAAGTTGATCGCCGCGAAATTTCATTTTAAAAAATCAGTATTACTTACCGGAGACTTGCATATGCTACAGCTCCACTCGACCTCAATAACACCACGCACCATCATCCTGTAATCTGACTGCGTTATTCCTGAAAAATAAAGTTATATAATTGATAAAATGAAACGTAAAAAGAATCTTTATTCAATTGTATGATAGTATGATATAAATAATATCAAAAGAAGATTGATTTATTTACTTAGATCTTTCCATAATAATGGAAAAGGGTAATTCATATTTTTCAAAGTTATATATATTTGATATAGATCTATCATGAACATTATAATGATTAATAAAAATCAAGACAACCTGTCCCACATATACGATGCTGACAATTATTACATTGGTCGCATTGTAAAGCATGTTGTCTTCTTGTAACTTCTTTAGAAAAAAACTAAACAGTGTGCTGATTCCATTATTCGAATGCAAAATCTTTGAAAATGAGCGTAAACGCTTCTTAAAACCTTATTATTTTAGAAGACCAAATATAATCAAAACATCTGAATTAATGAATACTAACAATAAACAAGAACGTCTAAAATTAGGTAAATTTGTTAAGTGTATACTAAGTAGAATTTAAGGCATTGACCACTATGTAATAATTAAAATAGAACTTTCTTTTCTCCGAATATCAAAAGTGCTGCAAAGTCTCTGTTTCGTTTTGGGAGACCTAGTGGCACACATTTATAGTATCCCGCATTTCAACTAGACCACAGATCTTTGATTTTTCTAAAGGAAAGGTCAGAAGAAGTTGTCTATGTTTAGAAGTACTAATCAACTCCACTTCCGTATCTCAATATCTAATGCTATTTTTCACAATATGAAAATGTGTTATTTCTATCCACATTTTACAAAAGAACTATTTTTCCTCTTTGTGCCTATGATACAGCCTTTCGCTAATTAAATATTGTAAGATCGTGCGGGAACTGTGGCCTCCGACACCTTTGTATAGGACTCACCGTGAAGTCGGGGGTACTCCTGTCTCCCGACCGCCATTGAGAAGTCGAGGGACAGGAGTGCACTTGGCACGACCTGGGGCGCGTGTCATCGCAGGAAGACCTTATTGGAGCTTCCATGCCCCAGGTCGTGCTCTGATTGAGTTCAGGTCCACGATAGAGTAGACGGAGACCCCAGTTCCCGCCGATCTGAAAGTTTTTTTTATAAAATACATAACTGATCATATTCAAATTCATTTTGCATACCTAAACACTTCAATATTACCTAACACTTTAACTAAAGGGAAGTAAATGTAACAACATCTACGTACAAAGCTATTTTCTGTTATCTCCCCTCATCTACAAAACGCATCATGGAATTTCTACTCTATACCATACCTTTTTTGTTATTGTTAAAAATTAGACTTCTCCATTTATACCTGAAAAATGATTCGCATGGTTACTTAAACTTATGTAGTATATTCATTAAAAAATATTGATTGTCGTTATGATTATTGAGAAGTAATGTCAATTTAATACTACACATTTGTGAATATATATGTGTGTGCGTGTGCGCGTGAGTGTGCGCGTTGGTGTGTGTGTGTGTGTGTGTGTGTGTGTGTGTGTGTGTGTGTGTGTGTGTGTTACGAGAAAAATGAAATACTATCTTTGAATGTACTACCAGCTTTCTTAATTATTTAATATGTTTTAGTAATATATATATACACAACAGTTTTGGCTCTCCACGTACTTAAAAACTGGAAGCACAATTCTATTATATTTTTCGCTAGTATGTTAATTAACTACTATTTGAATCTCATTATACTTTATTCATGTTTATTACTCCATTATGTCATGTTTGTACATGGAATGAGAGAATAAATGTTTTTTGACCTGACTTGACTTGCAATACTTTACATACAAGTCAGACAGACAGACAGATATCTTTATTCACTCAAGCACATTGTATACGTACAATATGAGGATTTTCTAATATAATGAGTATAATACATTAGTTTTCCAGCAGTAAACATGCATAATTTTGCACAATATATATATTTTTTATGTAAAAGTGCTATGTACACTTATTTCTTTTTTTTATATAGAAAATTGTGGTCGTCGTAGGTGCTAATGATATAGCATCAAAAGAACCAAAGCAGATAGTGAGGGACATTGAGATGCTTTGCGAAAGACTGCATCAGTGTAGCCCAAAGTAATAATAATTGTAATATAGTAAATGGTATTATAAAAACATAGAAAAGTTACAGTCTTACAGATCAGTAGATGTATATAATTGTTCCTGAGTATATATGTATGTACATATATCTAGACATGTAGCAACAATATATCAATTGATAAACCTGACTCGTATACGCTGTAAACCTGTGTGCAACAAAGTTGTTCCTTCTTGATAATATTTACATAAAAAATTCTGAAAGATTATGCTATGGTTCTATTTATTCAACTACATTTATTATATGTCTTCAGGTCGAACGAACACATTGATATCTAATAAGTTTAGCAGTATATAAACTGTAATCGATGAATATTTTTTTCAGTGCTACTATTCTGGTGTCAGAGGTGTTGCCACGTGCACAAAATAATCATTGGTTACTTTCGTATAAAAAAGAAGAAAACGGTCATGTTTATGTAATAGATAGTTTGAAGTCTAACAGAGCTGTGAATGCAAATATGTCTATACAACTGTCTCAGTTGTATCACTCAAGAAATAATTATTTAGAAATTATTGTACCTTACGTTCAAAGACAAACTAATTCTTCTGAATGTGGTGTTTATGCAATTGCCTTTCTTACAGAACATGTCTTGAATAATCATAATGTCAATATGTCACAAATACGTTTTGATACTATGTCAATGCGATCACATTTGTTAAATTGTTTACTTAATGGAAACTTAGTAGTAGTTCCTAAAATTACTAAGATGCCAAAAATGCCAGTAAATGAACCTAAAGTTCAACGTATTAAACTGTACTGTACTTGTCTACTACCTGAAATTGTTGATAATATGATACAATGCTCAAATAAGAAATGTAAAATAAAATGGTATCATAACAAATGTAAACAATTTAACGCTATGTCTTTGTGCGGTATGTGTTCTTGGTAAATTTATGGTTTAAACTTATAAACCTGTACTTATATAACGTTTAAATAGTCAAAAGTATTGTAACTGCTTTAAATGATATACAAATAATGAATGTTAAAGTTATTATAAGTATTTTGTTATATCTTTTTTATGAATCTCAATATTAAATGACATTGAATGTTATACATGTGTAAATATTTATATGTATTTTAGGTGAATGCCCTATATATTATATGTAATAAAAAAAATTTCGTTGTCTTATATACTCTTATATGCTATGTTAAAAACAGTTTAAATAAAATTAATAAAATGTGTTAAAATGTGGTATCTTATTTTACGTACATGTTCATTCACACGCATCTTTAAACAGGTAACGCTAATCCAATTACTGGATTGTTTATTCGGTTAAAAACGTGCACGTGCCTACAATAAACAATTATAGCTGGGACAATCTAACATTCAATTGAAAAGAAGTTTATGTGCACAAATATCAATTTAAACAAAAACTATGACCATTATTTGAAAAATTACCGATTAATATAAAGTACCTTATGGCGGCGCCGAATTTGAGAGGAGAAATGCTGAACTTTTAATACTTCTACTTAAGTCATTTTTATTTAAAAGGCACCCCTAGAAAGCTTATTACGTAATCTTTAATTTCATACCAAATTTATGAAAGTTGATTTAAAAATAAAAAAGTTAGTAGGGGGCGCCGTGTTTTTCTTACCGATTTTAAGAGGAAAAAGTGTGGTTTTCAGAAGACAAAATGATAAACTTTGAGACAAAAATTTTAATACTTCTACTCAATTTATTTTAATTTTTAATGCATCCCTAGAAAGCTTATTAAGTAATCTTTAATTTTTTACAAGTGTGGTATACACACAATAACAATAACAATCACAAAACATACATGATCTTTAACTTGTATGTGCTGTTTTTGTTTGCAAATGGCGTTGTGTTAAAGGGAAGTAACTTAATAATAAAATAATTGCTTATAAAAGCTGTATGCTTGTTTATTACTTTATTTTGAAGATATTACACACACACACAAATAAACGTAGTGAAAAAATAGAACATAAATAAACTTGTGATCTATATGTACTAATAAATAATAAGAAAACACAACAGTTCACTGTTGAGTAGCAGATTTTTGAGTACCTAAATTGTCGAGATTAAATGTACACAGACACCGTTTGACTGACATTTCCGTCAACAAAGAATTGCTGATCAAGCCAAAACGTGTCCAATTTGTTTACCATTATTGGCCCTGATTTTACTGCTAAAGAAATGGCAGGTGTCGCAAAGAAGACGAAAGCAGCCGACGTTCCCGAATGTCCGTACGGAGCAAGATGTTACCGTAAAAATCCTCAGCATTTCATTGATTTCTATCATCCGAAAAAGGCTAAAACTGATGATTCTACTGACAGTACGGATAGCCCTTCTACACCAAAACTTCCAGCCAATGATGATAGCTCATTACCTCCGTGTAAATATGGGGCTAAATGTTACAGAAAGAATTTGATGCATTTTGCTGAATTTTCACATCCAACAGCAGTTGTTAAAAGTGTTCAGAGTGATAGCGGTGATGATACTGATGTTGTATCAGACGAAGATGACGTAAGTGTTCCATGTACGCTTTGCTTACATACATCTGATATCCAGGCGTGATCTCAAAACTTTCCAATATTTTGACCCGTATTATTATATTAATAACCCAACTCCCGATAAGGGTGTGAAAAATGTGCAGCCTGACCAGGACTTGAACCCGTCACCCTCGGAATACGTACCATGGCTCTACCGACTAAGTATCCGGCCACTTACACATCATCTCCCCTAAATAGTGAACAGTTTTGAACTGTGACATACTTCCCTGCTATATTAAAATTCGTCTTTGAATTGCACAGAGTTACAGAGCAATGTTAATTAAACTCTATGTTCAGTCATGGTCACCATTTGGTGCCAAATGTCACAGGGTGAGAAAAATGTGAAGCCTGACCGGGAGTTGAACCCGGGACCCTCAGAATATGTACCGCAGCTCTAGCAACTGAGCTATCATCTCCTCTAATAGTGAACAGTTGTTAACGGTGACACAAAGAATTCCCAATATACGTTTTTCAGTAAAAAAATAATTGCCAAAGCCCACATAATAAAGTGAAAAAGTGTTCAAACAGAATACCTATAAAATGTAAACAGCGCCTCCAGTCAGTGATGATTCCATATCCTGTATGATAGCAGATTCAAATATTGCACAGTGTTGCTTAAATTGACAGCAAAGTGATGTAATAAATCATTTACGTGGGAGGGGGTCATTGTTTTTCCTATATGTGTATAATGAAAACTTAAAAAAAATCTTCTTTTAAAAACCCCAAAGAGCTAGAGCTTAGATATTTATCATGAAATATCATCTAGTGGGTGTCTACCAAGTTTGTTCAAATAAAAGCCCTCCAGGGTTAAAATTGACCCCACCCCGGGGGCCTATATACAGGTGAGGGATTTCAGGGCCATGATGGACCTCTTGTTTAAGTCTAGATAATGACCAAGCTTTATAGTTTATGCAAAAGAATATAAATTTATATGACTGTACACTCTAAGCAAATACATGAAGTACTTCACAATCATTTTCCTTATTTAAAGCAGCACGCCTCTAGATTCATCCTAATTTTCATGAAAATTTTGAAAATGTATTTAAAGGTAAATTACTGTGAAGTGAACAAAGATATAACTTACACATTACAAACAGAACTTACAATCCACATAAAATACCAAAAAAAAGGTCAAAATATACTTAAAAACCTCTTACTGCTTTAGTAACGCAGTAGAATTATAGTGATTGCAGATACTGCAAAATCAGTCATTAATTGCACATAACATGTGAATTATTAATTAAATATTAAATACTTTTACTTTTCTTAAGATCTTAATACATTTTTCTAAAGATTGAATTTAATGAAATATTTTGGCTCATCTGGAGGCGTGCAGCTTTAAACTAAGATTTTTAACAAAATCTACATTATCATAGGGTACATCATCAGTGCATTATTTTTTAAGTTGTTTTCTTTTTTTCTGTAGATTTTCAAATTGTATGAGTGCAACGGGCTGTTATATTCTTCCTTATAATTTATGTAATGTTCTTTGTTATGTTAAAAGGAAAACTCTATTTAGCAATAAGGAAGTGTTTACTGAAAGGTTCATAATGAAAATGAAACAAACTTTCAAGTATTTTGAACAAATGTTGTATAAAATTAGATATGCTATAAGCTTAACAGTCCTTTTAAAACCAGTCTAGCAATTCCTATTACTAATGATATGGCCTGTTCACTTTTTCTGGTATATATACAGTCAGGGCTTTTTTACATTATATAACAGACTAAACAGAGGCATATTAAAGGCCTATTCCCATTTGAAATTTTCACTAAAAAAGTTGAAATGGTTACATGTATAATAAATTCATACTTAGGGGGGGGCAAAGGCATGCCTTAGTTGTTATGTGTTGCCACATGGTAATAAGTCAACATGATTAATTGAACTTAAGCATATAATTTCTTTTTTAACAACAACAAATGAATAAAAGACAATCTAAGGAAATTTATTAAATCATTTATGGAAGTCTTTTCCTTACTTTTGCTTGCTTATAAATTTGATGTAATTCATGAAAATGCATTGTTCAAAGGAGTGAAGCCCGTTATAGATTGAAACAATTTTAAATAATTTTTAAGATTCTCTAAACATTACTACAGGTATGATGAAGAATGTAAGTGCTACAGCACTTAGGAATTAGATTATTTTGATTACTTTCATGTATTGTTAACAATTGCTACAGTTATATATGAATTTATAAATGAAGATGTAATTTATTCTTTAGTCTTTTTCTTGCCTTGTAGTTAAATAATTTCCCCCTTTCATATAATGAAATTTATTTTTAATTCAAAATACAGATTTTAATGTTATATCATGTTCTTTATCATATTGATTCATTACCATCTGACTTATACATTTATATAGATAATAATTATATATTTAAATTAAATTTGACAACTTAAAGCTGTATTTGATGCAACTGAAATAATTTACAAAGGGATAAACCTTGCCATATTACAAAAGCTCACCTTTGTTACTTTGTGGCAGGTTGAGCTTTAAATGTGCTGCAATATAAATTTATATCAAAGACTTTTTGAGGTTAAATGGCTACATGTATGTATGGTTGTTGGCATTATAATGGTAAGATATATAAAATTACAATTGTTCATACTGAGCCATATAATCTGTCAATACAAATACGTCTTATATAAAACTTATTTGGTCATATCTTAAAAATGCCAGAACATTAGTAATAAAGTTAAACGAAAACGTCAAGTTTCCTTACACAATATCTCTTTCAAAGAGGTAAAAAATAAAAAAATTATATAAATTTTTGCACAGTCAGGTAATTTTCATAAATTCCAAGTAACAACATCATGAAATCTGACAGAGTCACAAGTCCTCAGGCGACCATCCGGCCGTCTGTAAACTTTTACTTTAAAGGATACCACCTCATAAACTGCTAAGCTCATTTAATCCAAACTTCATTGGAATGTTCCTTTGGTGGTCACCTTTAAAAATTGTTCAAAGAATTTAATTCCATGCAGAACTCTGGTTGGAATGGCAACCAAAAGATTATCTTACAACATGTACAAAATATCTTAAAAAATCTTCTAGTAAAAAACAAAATAGAGTGGATGACTACCAAGTTTGTTAAAATTAAAGCCCTAGGGTCAAAATTGGCCTAACCCCAGGGGTTCATTATTTTCTTTATATATACATGTATATAGTAAAAACTTTAAAAAATCTTCTTGTGAAAATCCAAGAGAGCTAGAGCTTAGATATTTGGCATAAAACATTTTCTAGTAGACGTTTGCCAACTTTGTTCAAATAAAAGCCCTAGGGTCAAAAATGGCTGGCCCCAGGGGTCATTGATTTTCCTTTTGTGTATAAAGTAAAAACTTAAAAAATCTTCTTGTGAAAATCCAAAGAGGTAGATGTTGAAATAAAACTCCAAGGGTCAAAACTTGCTCCAACCCAGGGGATCGAGGTCTACAGTTCAATCCCCAGCCAGGTCAAATGTTTGTTTTTCTTCATAGTGACAGGCTGAACTGTTAAATGAAATGGCTGCCAGAGCTAAAATTAGAAAACAACATCTCAACAGTCATCTCAGCAACTGGTTCAATTTTGAAATAATTTTACACAAAAATTTCCTAGATGACAGTATACAAAAATTGTTCAGATTAAGCTGTCCCTTGTTTTCAAATTGTGCTTCTGGGTAGAAAAGGGGCTCCACTTTGACCGTCAGGTGAGCAATCCAGGGCCCTCTTGTTTCTTGGAATTGATGGATTGACTGATGCATGTGTCTCACTAGAAGCCAAAAGAATGAAATAAAGCACAGTTATTTAAATACCAATAATGAAATGTCTCTTTCAATGTAAATATACAATTAAGTAACATAAAAGATGATCCCTCAGAAAAAAAAAGAATCTAAATTGCTGGTCTTTGCTGACATGTCACAACAAAATTTAATGATCTTTATATTAAGGCAGATCTTTTTAGAGGACTACTTTTTATATCTGTTTCTTAAACTTCTTCTTCAGCCACCTAAAACATCAAAGAAAGATGTTAAAAGTAGTGATATTCTTAAGCGTGGGATGTCTTTGGTAAAAAGTTACAGTAAAATGTCCGAGGAGGAAAGGAAGGAACTAATCAAGAAAGCTTTCGAAGCAAAGAAAAAACTTCAAGATGAATTAGAGAAAACTAAAGAGGAGGTGAAGAAGAAAACACAAGAAGTTGAGAAGTTGAACAAACAGGTATAAATATTACAGCTAAACTTTCCAGAACTGAGTGTCAAAGTTTCGGGAAATTTTCACAACTTTGTAACTTAAATGTATAATATTAGATTAGTTACAAGGCATATATAATTTTCTACAAGTTTACAAAATAAATAACAACAAAAAAGACAATTTTTTAAATAATAAAGTAAAAGATTGGAAGGGGGACACAACAAATAAAAACACCAGGCCGGGATATGTGTTTATTATAACTACAGGTTTTGGGTACTATATACCCTTCTTCAGGTTATTTGGGTTGCAAGACTTAAAATGTTTTTGTTGAAGATTTGTTTTTGTGCCCCCACGTTAGTGGCGGGCATTTAGATTTACCCTTGTCCGTCCGTCCTTCCGTCCGTCCGTCCGTCCGTTCACTTTTGTGTCGCACGTAACTCAAAAAGTATTTGACCTAGAGTCATGAAACTTTACAGGAATGTTGATCAGCATGTGTAGTTGTGCACCTGGGTATTTTCGTCTGGATATATTTAGTATTTTCAGAGTTATTGCCCTTGACTTAGTAAAATTTTGCAATTTTCAACTTGTGTCGCACGTAACTCAAAAAGTATTTGACCTAGAGTCATGAAACTTTACAGGAATGTTGATCAGCATGTGTAGTTGTGCACCTGGGTATTTTTGTCTGGATATTTTTAGTATTTTCAGAGTTATTGCCCATGACTTAGTAAAATTTTGCAATTTTCAACATGTGTCGCAGGTAACTCAAAAAGTATTTGACCTAGAGTCATGTAACTTTACAGGAATATTGATTAGCATGTGCAGTTGTGCACCAGGTATTTTCGTCTGGATTTATTTAGTATTTTAGAGTTATTGCCCTTCACTTAGAAAATTTTTACAATTTTCAACTTGTGTCGCAAGTTTCTCAGGCCATCCTTAAAAAATGTTTGTTTGCAGTAACGCGACCGACTCACAAAATTTGCCCCTACTCAAATTTTTTTTCCATGGTCTGGATAAAAAAAATTTTTTTGAATCAGAAAATTATGCCTTGTGCTTTGTTTTCGTTCTTTTAAAGGTTTGTTAGAAGAAATAAAATGTAGTTCTTATTAAATTAGAATTCAGTTATCAATTTATTAATTGTTACCAGATTATCAAAGCATATATTGTCCAGCATTTTTGAAATTCCATGTTTATTTGGGAGTACAGTTCAGTAAAAAAAAAAAAAAATCGACCTACCTACCCACCTTGAGGTTTTGCTTGTGGATTTATCCAGTATTTGTAGAGTAATTTCCCTTGACTTAGTAAAAAGATTGACAGAACAGTGGCGCGGTGGGGGCACCCGTGTCCTATGGACACATTTCTAGTTTACCCTTACCCTGCTGGAACCGGAAATGATAAGCCTTTGCTACCAGTATAGAGCCAGGCCAGCCTGCACATCCGTGCAGTCTGACCAGGCTCTATACTATTGCCTGATAAACTTTAAATTTTTATCTTGATATCCCCAAAATTGATAATGAACATGTCCAAAACATTTAAGCTGGAGAGCTCATTTAAGAAATTCAGCATGGTAAGGGTTAAAGCTAACAATTTGTTAATATACATGTTTACTTATTTATAACATAAACCAACAAATTTTGATATTTTTTTCCTCTTAATAGGTTGCTACAGGATTATTATTTATGGATGGTGAAAAGGAAGCTCTGGAGGGGACAGAGGTGAAATATTTTCAGTTAGCACCAGAAAGGACATACAAAGAAGGATCTGCTGACCAGACTCATTTCAGACTGGCAGAATCCCAGTTCTATAGACTTCTCTCAGGGAATACTGGAAACTGGAGAATGACTAAGGTGGAATATGTTGTTAACCCAGAGCTGGTCAAAGAGTTTCGGTAAGTTGATGTATTGATCAATAAAAGATTGATTCTTTGCTTAATGAAATAATTTCTCTTTGAGATAAAATGATTACAGATTAGTTTGGTTAATACAAATTATTGTAATCAAATTGTGTTTGAAGCTTATTGAAACTCTCTTGAACCGTTTCTGAAACCAAGCAGTACTAAGCAATGAATGTAAGTTTCTTCCTCAAAGAAACAACAGCTTGCCCGGGCCCTGATAGGGTTTGAACCCATGCAGTCAGCAATCCTCTGATAACTAGTCCGACAAGCACTCAGCCATGCCAACACTTCAAAGAGGGGCATTTCTTACTGTTACTTGTTAATTGTTATAAACAAGCATTACAGGTTCATGATTATTTGGGAAATTTCAGCAACAATAAAAATTTTAATAATGTGTAGATCATAGAATTTGTTTTTTAATTTGTGCATTAATAGTGAAGATGCTAAAAAAATCTTTACCTTTTAAATATTGTCAATGCCTTGTCTATTATTATTTGTTCCGTCAATAACGATAACTATTTTTTTTAAACTGTTCACAGAAAATGTAGAGAAAAGTTGAAGTCTTCAAGAGGGGAAGAATATTCATACCCAGTTCTAGGATTTCATGGAACAGAAGCCAAAAATATTACACCAATATGTGAGACAGGGTTCAAAATACCAGGTACATTTTACAGCTTATGAGGATATTTGAAATTATTTAAAACATTGTGCATTAGAGCTTAATTATAGTAATATTTAACCCTTTTGCTGCCAGAGGGTTATTGTTTTATTGATCACCTATTTGCAAGAGGGTTTTCTAAGAAATTACTGTATTATTAATTAATATAATTATTATTATTTGTTATAAGTATTATAATAATTATATATGATTCCAAATCTGATAGTATAATAATAATTATTGTCGATGGTATAATTTTCTTTATATTTATTATTATTTTTATTATTATTATTAATTTATTATTATTACTATTATTATTATAGAAACGGCTAAAGCCGTCCATATGGCAAATAGGCCGAAAATAACAGGGACTGCATAAGCCGTTTCTATGGCAGTGACAGGGTTAATAGAGCTTTATTTTAGAAACATTTGATAACATATGCATGTATGTATTATTCTGGTTGTTAATATTAAATGATGTTTTATGAGAACAGCAACTGACTGGATATGAAAACATTGGTATATATACCAGAATACAATATTATAGAGACCAAATACATGTACACTGCCATTGTTTTAAAGGAACAAAATACATAACATTATACTATCAGAACAGAATACACACATTGTTCTATAGAAACTAAATACATTGACATTGTACTATCAGAACAGAATACACACATTGTTCTATAGAAACAAAATACATTGACATTGTACTATCAGAACAGAATACACACATTGTTCTATAGAAACAAAATACATTGACATTGTTCTATCAGAACAGAATACACACATTGTTCTATAGAAACAAAATACATTGACATTGTACTATCAGAACAGAATACACACATTGTTCTAATTGACATTGTTTTATAGAAACATTCTGCCAGAGAGCATGTCACTATGTTTCAACTTTTAAGATTTGGTTTTATATATAGAAAGAAACAAGACAGAAGAGCCATGGATGGAGGGTCAAAAGACCGATAGTTAGGCAGTACCCGCTTCAAGGCAGATGAAGCAGGGATAGCAGAAGCCTACCATCTCCTGGCTAGAGCTTGATATTACTGTAGTCGTACACCATTCTAAGGAGGGCGTAGTGGGAAGCGCCCAAAGCTCAATGAATATTGCACCTACCTGAGGAAGGAGATGGTCGCAGCAGTTGATACTGTATCTTACAACATAATATTATATTTAACATTGATTAGATTTTTATCTTTTTGGTTAACTATATCATGTATATTACAATAGGTGATTCTGGACATAAACATCGTACAGATACAGGATGGTATGGTAAAGGTGTATACTTCAGTGAATACCCAAATTATTCCATGGGTTATATATCAGGTTCAACAAAACTCCTCCTCTGTCAGGTTTTACCTGGCAAGGTAAGATTATATATTAATATTCAGTCTTGCATATCAGACTGCAGTTTCTGTTTGTTTTACCCTTGCTGGAAATTTCATCTGGCAAAGGATGCCAGATTAGTCATGTACTGTACAATGGCACCCTTAGAATGTCGTAATTTAGCTGTTATGAATGAAGTTGTAATTTCATATGCTGTTGTTAGAAAATTATTACGGGTGCAATGACATAAATTTCAATGGAAAATTTGTTAAATAAGTTTAAGAGTTTGAAATATATTGGAATATGGTAGAATATGCAAGAAAAATATCTGACATGTTTGTGGTTCACATTGGAATATCAGTCCCTCTGGTACCCTCAGAACAGATACTCCAATCCAAATTGCGTCATATGACAAATATTATTATTCTTTTATAAAGGATGATTTATAGTGTACTAGCATTTTCTAGCTCTCTCATTATAATTGACATTTATCATTTATTAAAATTTGATTAACCTGTGTTTTAAAAGGTTAAATTAATTTTTATGAATAATATCTGTCATATATTGCTGTTCAGATCGGAATATCCGTCCCGAGGTGACCCGCCCATTGGGCGGTAATGAGGCTTGCCGAGATCAGAAATTCCGATCCAAACCTCAAACATATGTCAGATATTTTTTCTTGCATATTTTACGATATTACATTATAATTTAAATTCTTTATCTTAATTTTCAATGGGAATTTATGTCATTACAACAGTAACTATTTTCGTACAACAGCAAATGAAATTACAAAATCATTCATAACGGTAAAGTCACGTCATCCTAAGCATGCCATTGTACAGCACACAACTCATCTGGCACCCCCCATGCCAGATGAAATTTCTGGCATGGGTAAAACCAAGGGAAACGCCAGTCTGATATATAGAGAATAATAGGTTGGTGCCGTGGATGGAGAAAGTTTATCTGGCGAGGCGGAGGAATTTATTGGGTGAGCCGAAGGCGAACCCAATAAATTCCGGAGCAGAGCCAGATAAACTTTCTCCATCCACGGCACCAATCTATTATTCTATTTATCCTGTCACCGTTTTTTTTAAAGAATTTTATTAGGCAAACTACCTTTAATCACACTATCGGAAATGTTTCTATATAAACAAAGAAGGCCCGAAGCGTGCATTATTCTACAACAATGCACTCGCCGTTCTTATTATCTCCCTGTGTATTTTCACATTGAGGGCGCCATTTTGTTTGAAAAATGTGATAAATAAAAACAATTTTTTGTCGAATTTTGTTGTGAAAACTATCTAGAATGAAAGAAAATGGTCTAACTAAGAAAATGAATTCGAACACCAATATCTTTTATTCAGTCGTTAACGCTGTACAGACGTTTAAAGTATTGTTTACATGACGTCACAATGTAGCGCCAAACAGCACGTGCAAAACAATCAAATCAAGTACGCTATTTTAATGTCGCAAACGAGTTAAGTTTTACATTTATTTCACTTTTAATAATTTTCATTTCGCTTGAAAAATTATAGAGTGAAATAAAATAAACAAAGTTTTATCAACGTTTCCAAAATTTGTTATTCTACACACAGAAGATTTAACGACATATTTTATATTTTTTCTTGAAAAGTAGTCCGGCAAACATGCATATCACGTGATCAAGTGCTGTAGATCAATAAAAATATACGGCACCTTGTTATCGGGCCGAAATTGATACAAGTGACAGGATAAGCAAGAATATGCATTCATGTATTTTGTATTATTCTGTTGCATAAAACTGGATTATAGAGCTATTCTCATTTTGTCATATCATTTTATATTAAATTATAAAATTGTTTTAATTTGAATTCTGTTTTTGTTTATTTTATTTTATTGGAGGGGGGTGGGGGGGGAAACAACCATTGTGTGGCTGTTGCTAACCTCTTCTTGTGAATATTTAAACCATGGTTTTCAAAATTACTCATATCAATCATGGTTTTCACTTGATAGATAAACATATACTTGAACCAGCTTGATTTTCTCATGTTAAGAAATATGTTAATTCATAGTATTCAGTTTATTAACATAAGCAGCATTTTACTAGGCATTTTCGTAACAAGGTAATATATTAATAACATGGTTTTTAATTTCTAGGTTTTCAACTGTACAAAGTTAATTCACGGAGCTGCACTCAAATCAGGGTATGACTCACACATGTCCCCATGTAAAAGAGAAATTGTTATCTTCAATAAGTACCATATCTTACCATCTTATATAGTCCACTATCAGAACACAGTTGGTGAATTTAAATACAAGGTAAGTTCAGTTAGCAAATAGTTAAGATCCTTTATGTTTTTTATTGTCTTGTGTAGTTTAAAGAAGTCATTGGAGTATGAGTATTGCAAGTAACGAAAAGTCATATAGGAATATCATAGTGTCAGAGTTTCTAACTAGTCACATATCACAGTCAATTCCTGTTTCATTTTTGGTATGAAGATCAACATCTTATTAATTAAGTGTCTCTGCGTGTAATACACCAATATATTTTGTTAGAAAATTATATGAGACACTCACAATGCAAAAGTAATTTGAATGTTCAAGTGACTTTGATTGGTGTATTATCTGAAGTAATTGTTTTATAGATATATTTATTTTTGCATCTCAGACAGGATTATCTACCATTTATACCGGTGCTAGAAAACTCTGTCTTACTGAGACAAGTCGCATGCTTTAAATCAAATCATTGATGCGCGCCTTTTATGAATAAATCGAGTTCTTAAGATGACGTCAGTTTTTCCGTTATGAATGAAGTTGTATGTTCATACGCTACTTTCAGAAAAAAGTGCGTAATGAGAATATCAGTTTTCATCATTTCTGTTCCGAAAATAATTGACATGTAATATGCAAGAAAAAGAATCAAACACCGGCTGTTGGTACAGACGGGAATATCTAGCTCTCGGGTAACTGTTTAGCAGAAACTTGGCAGAGCCTCGTTACCGCTGTAAACAGTTACCCTTGTGCTAGATATTCCGGTCTGTACCGGCAGCCGGTGTAAGATTCTTATAACAGTACTATAAACTTATATATTGAAGGATGATATTGCCAAGAAAGGAGCTGGTGACTCAAAGCCGGCTGGTGGGTCAAAGCCGGCTGGTGGGTCAAAGCCGGCTGGTGGGTCAAAGGCAAAAGCAGGTGGAAGTAAATTAACATTCGATGAACTTCAAGATCCAACAGCACTTAACTTTAAATATTTCGAGGCTATAAGCAAAAAGAAACCATTGGGGTAAATTTTTATTCTCATCTCTATAGAAGAGCAAATATAGTATTGTTATTCATAAACTCATACCAGTTTAGCTGAAGTTTTGAAATATGCAAAACCGCAATTTTTACTGGAGTATATAATATGTCAAATTTAGAAAATTAATTTGCAGTTTTATATTTATATGTAAGATACTTATAAAACCTGAAGGTATTTTTTTACCTATTACTAAACTTAGCAAACTTTGTCTCTTTCCACATTTAGTATTTAAAATACTGTATTTTAATAAAGCAGTGAATAGAAAAGAATTTTTATGTAATCTTCATAATGTTAGCACCATATTTTATGGCATTGGAATAAATTGCAAATACATGCATATCATTTAATAATAGTGAATTTACTAGCTCAATTATATCTAGTATAATCTAAGCGATTGTTTTGACCATTAACAGATGCTTCAATGGGTATAAAATACAATTTACTGGGACATTTCAAGACACTCAGTCAGAAATGGTGAATTTAGCAACAATGCATGGGGCCACGCAAGGTTAGTTTATGATTTCCCTAAAAAGCAATCTTTTAATCTTTATGAGAATATCATTGTGAAGTCAATCATATCAATCTGTGAATTTGTATTTGGCTGTAAACAATACATTGTTAAAGTGTCAAATATTTTTAGCTTGTTTCTATTACGAAAAGAAGTCAAGTTGTTATGACAGCTGTGTAGTCATCCTTGTTGTTATCATGCAAAAACTTTCATGTTTTTTTAACAGTTGAGCATTTACACAGCATATGGTGCTTTTGTCTATTAAACAACATCTCCTCCTACAATGCTAATTTTACTTTGCTATAAAAGTATCAGTCAGAAAGTGAAAACTGATTTTCATATAACTGTAGGTTTGATCCTTCTGGCACGTGACAATTGATATCTGATAGTGAGTCTAATGGTCATATGTCTTTTACCCGTGATTTAGAAATCATGTGAGACTCAGTAGACTGTCACTTGCAGAGAAATTAGCAATTTCTCGTGATCCAGAAAAGCTGGATCTGGTAAGACTTTAAAGACTTAAGTCATCTTAAGGTTGTGTGCTGAGATATGAGAAAAAAAATGTGTGGAAATCTGTGTAAAAACAATCAATCATGTAACTGTTGAGACATTATTGTATCATATTTTGCTACTTTTATTAATACCTGTTCACCATGTGTTGTTCACTTGCCCCAGCTATATATGTGTAGTTTATTTTTAGTTCTGCTTGTACAACATACTTGGTTATACATTGTTATCTTCATCTTAAAAAGGAAATATTTTGTAACTGATAGCATATACATGTACATTGCATCCAAACTTAACTAAGCTTTAAAGACTTAAAACAAACAATTAAATATTGTGTATACTTGCCATAAGCCTATCTTTAAAATGCAGAGTCATATAAATTATGTAAAATGAGCAGCATTCTGTGTTATCATCAGCACTGGTTTATATTTTGATCAGCAGACAAATTATTGGTTGTCTGCCTTATATGACAAGATAGATAATAATAATTTATGTGTTTGTAGAATAATCTTAGATGTTGGTAACTTAGGCATCAGTTGTTTACAACTTATTTGATATTTTTATTATGTTATACCCCTGGCGTCCGTCCGTTTGTCCGTCCCTCCATCGGTTAGCAATTTGGTTTCTGGAGCATAACTTAAGTTCCATTTGGCCCACAATATTCAAACTTCATAGGATGATTGTCCATATTGGGTTGAAGACCCCTATTGATTTTGGGGTCACAAGGTCAAAGGTCAAGGTCACTAATACCTTAAAACTGAAAACAGTTTCCAGAGCATAACTTAAGTTTCATTTGGCCCACAGTGTTCAAACTTCAAAGGATGATTGTCCATATTAGGTAGAAGACCCCTATTGATTTTGGGATCACAAGATCAAAGGTCTTTATTACTTAGAAATTGAAAACAGTTTCTGGAGCATAACTTAAATTCCATTTGGCCCACAGTGTTCAAACTTCATAGGATGATTGTCAATATTGGGTAGAAGACCCCTATTGATTTTGGGGGTCACAATGTCAAAGGTCAAGGTCACTAATACCTTAAAACTGAAAACAGTTTACGGAGCATAACTTAAGTTCCATTTGGCCCACAATGTTCAAACTTCATAGGATGATTGTCCATATTGGGTAGAAGACCCCTATTGATTTTGGGGTCACAAGGTCAAAGGTCAAGGTCACTATTACCTTAAAACTGAAAACAGTTTCTGGAGCATAACTTAAGTTCCATTTGGCCCACAATATTCAAACTTCATAGGAGGATTGTTATTTGAAGGAGGTAATACTTTATTTAATTCCCATGTCTTACAAATGCTTCATCTTTACTTAAAAAAAAATCACTTTCGGGCATATAATGCTCCGCCTAGTGGTGTTCTTGTTTCTTTTTTTCTTTTCATGTGTTTATGAATATAATTTTACATAGGTTGAAGACTCAAATATGAAACAAAGTATTGTATTGTTTGTACTTTTGAATATTGTCTCTTGGAACATATTTTTATTCACTTATTTTCATTTAGGAACGAAAGCTGTTTTTAACCTACTTGTGGCTTCTCAGACAGAATTCGACATCAAAACAAGCAAAGTTGTACAGGCAGAGAAAAAAATGGTAACAAAATTGCTATATAGTATGGGGAACTAAGATTATGCATGTATACACTCTTCCAGTATTTGTAGAGCATAAAAGTGAACATTTGGTATCACCCAGGGTCCATCATGCAGTGTCCATTGTTAAGGTGTGAAAAGTTTTCTTTAAATTCTCCTGCTTCATCACATGGCCAGTAGAATAGAATAACTTATTATTCCAATCAAGGGTCATGTTGAATGACATGTAAATCACAATAATAATGAGATCAAATATCAAATAAAGACTTCAAAGAAACTAAAACTTATGAAACTTAGCAGGATCGTTCCTGGCATGAGGCTCTTTACAAATTATTTAAAGAATTTAATCCATTCTTTGCAGAAATATTGTTGCCCTTGCAACTAACAGAAAAATCTTCTTTTGAAACCACAAATATTAAAGCTTATATGTTTGGCATGAAACATTTTCTAGTGGACTCATACAAGAGATACATTAATCATGCATTTTGGGGTCACATAGTTTACACACATAGAGTTAACATACCTTAAGATCTTCTTTTCTAAAACTACAGTGCTCAGACCATATGTATTTGGCATGTAGCGTCATCTACTTTAAAGTGTTGTTGTTACTCTGCGGTCAAAATTGGCCTTTCCCGGGGTCACATAATTTAAAGACTTACATAGGGACAATAAATTTATTCTATTTAATCTGTTTTGTTGTTATTTCAAGGAAGTAATTGAATTATTTTAAGTTTTTAAAATAACTAATTTTGACACTGAAACTTGTTTTTATATCATTTGGTTCACTTCGAGCAATTTGACGGAATAAGTCGAATTGCTTTCTGTAGTTCTATTTTTAACTGTGGTTTTACCAAGCATTGATCATAACAACTTTTCATTGGTCATAGGAGTTTGTATTCCTACGCTTCTTAGTATTTATTCAGATTACTTACCATTTTTCATTGATATTAGAAATTTTCGTGTAGCATTGAAGTTTTAAATTTTCTGCCCTCCCTCCGCTCTCTGTCTGATGGTTCAAAGTTTATTTGAATTGATGTTAGTTCAGTACTTGTAATAATTTGTATAATGATTTCATAGTCTATCTGAGTTAGTGTAAATTGTTGCGTACATGCGGATATTTGAATCTCTTTGCAGTTCTTTGAAGTAATGTATTTACTCGATATAATTGAGTTTACTTATTCCTTGATTGCGACACTTAGGACAATAAATTTATTCTATTTAATCTGATTTGTTGTTATTTCAAGGGAATAATTCAATAATATACATTTAATTTCATTTACAAAATTTTCACAAAAATAAGCTGGAGGCATGCTGCTTAAGAATCGTAAAAATTTCTACTATGGATATCAAGTGAAGGCTTTTGGGTCATTGCCCTCTTGTTATCCCCCTGAAAAATTTTGGGGGAGCATATAATCGTCGGGTTGTCTGTCCGTCAGTCAGTCAGTCAGTGCGTCCGTACGTATGTCCCGAATTTGTGTTAGGCCCATAACTTTGTTATCTGAAGTTGGATTTTACAACTATTTCACAGAAATAATCACCATATTGAGAGGGCGTGTCGCACGCAACATTTGGGTCGTTACCTTGAAGGTCAAGGTCACAGCATGACCTTGCAACAAAATCGTGTCCGGCCTATAACTTTGTTATTTGAAGTTGGATTTTATTACTATTTCACAGAAATAATTACCATATTGAGACAACGTGTCAAGCACAGCATTTGGGTAGCTACCTTGAAGGTCAAGTAACAGCATGACCTTGCAGCAAAATCGTGTCCGGCCAATAACTTCCCTATTTGAAGTTGAATTTTACAACTATTTCACAAAAATGATCACCATATTGAGATGACGAGTCACGGGCAACATTTGGGTTGTTTTTACACTTTGAACTTTGTCTGTGACATAAATCTGACACTACAGATGTATACCTTCCTGTGTCCAAAACCTATTTAGGGAGCATCACCCACTTAAACCGGCTCTTGTTTTATTATTATGATCATAACTGAAATAAAACATTATGTTATATAATTGCAGGTACCAATTGTGGTGGAGATGTATATATATGACTGTATAATCAAGAACAAGAAATTACCTACAGACAATTATCAGTATAAATGAGAGCAACATTTGTTTAATCTTAATTCTGGAAATGTCATCATCTATAAAACAGGCTGATGTTAAACAGTGTGACCAGAATTTACTTCCTTTGCAGCTAATCTTAAATTTGAAGTTAAATTCTTGAAATTTCAATGATCAGTTACGGTACTGTGTAACACATATTTAATGAATTGTAAGAAAGATAGTGTCCAAACATTCTTGAATGAACCATACAATAAAAAAACACATTCAAGCAGTATTTTCTGGTGAACTTTTTGCACATCTGTTGATCATGAAGCATTGTACAATGTACATTTAAAACTGTACTATTGAAAATGGCATGAATAAAAGAAATGTTTATTCTGGTGAGTCAATTAGTGAGATCAGAGTGCTGTTATTTATTTACTTCTGTTTATCAATGTTGAAATCAGGTGCAATGGACCTTTTCGGTTTTTTGTAAGCAGAACATTTAGCCACACCTTTTCCATTTATTGCTAGGTCAACTGTTCACAAACGGTATCACAAACATAACCATGTGTTGTTTTTTGTTAACCAGGTCAACCAGTGACTGTATTATCTCAGTGTAGCAATTGGATTACAAGTTAGCCAATTTGCATAAATCTGTAAACACTGGAAAAAGACAAATATTCAATTAAAGTTTATAGTTGCAATACTTATGAATCATGTTTATGATTTTTTTAATTGACCAACATGTTATTAAGTTTACTTTATTTAGTTATGTGTGTATGTTTTTGATGTGTTTTACTCACAATTTATGTAAAGAATAAGATGTAACATAATATATTCATGAGATCATCTACATCAACATCTGTGCCGCGTCAGGACAAAACCAACATAGTGTGTTTGCGACCAGCATGGATCCAGACCAGCCTGCCCATCCGCGCAGTCTGATCAGGATCCATGCTGTTCGCTTACCAACCCTATTACAAGTAGAGAAACTGATAGCAAACAGCATGGACCCTGATCAGACTGCGCGGATACGCAGGCTGGTCTGGATCCATGCTGGTCGCAAACCCACTATGTTGGTTTTGTCATGGCGCAGCTCATTTATTTTATACCTATAATTTATAAACTCTAAAATGGCAGCTAATTTTTCAACCAAAAAAATCATGAACATTTGTTTGTTTTTATTCAAAACATGTGTAGATGATTTTGATATTACTATCACATGCAAACTTCTTGTTTATAAACATTCAGTTTAAATGACACATATTTTAGTTTCATTTACACATTTTCTTTGCTCATACCTCATTGATAAACATATGTATATTAACCCTCTAGAATTTTTTTAAAGTCATAAATTTTACCATTGTTATCCTGTATATTTTTGTTTATATACTTTTAATTTATACTCTAATACATACTCTAATTTTATTTACTTTATTCATAAATATGTAAATAAATATACAACTGTATAATGTTTTTAAAATTATCCCTCTTGAAATGAATTTGAATGATTTTTTTATCTTCAAATATTTTGATAATTTCATTTTATTTTTACATTCTACTTATAAACGTTTCTCTTTTTTTTATCAATGAACATATATTTATAAATACATGTACTTTAAAAAGAAAAATCATGCTCTAGAAAACCTTTCCATATTTACAATCTTTATAAGCATGATTTTAAATCAGTCTGACTTTACTTATTTTCTATAAAGGTTTTTCTGATGTAACCATCATTGTTTATTCTTGCAATCAAAACAATCTGAGATATGTTTGTAAATTTGTAAAATGTACAATTGTATATTGATATTTATTTATAGGAACTGGACAAAATAATAACAAATCTAAAACCCAAAATTTTAAATAATATCATATTGTATTTTATTCTGTAGTTTCTTGTAATTACTTTATATAAAGATGTGTACTGGAACCAGAATTTCACAAAGTTGTTATGATCTTTTGTTATAGCACATTAAAATAATTGCAATTTTTAGCAACTTTTATCTTTGTAGAACAGTGTTGACTTATGTACAAAGAAATTTCCTTGCTTTCATAATGTAAGTTTTCACTGTAATAAAATATAAACACAGTTTCTTGTGTAATAAATACTTACATATATACATGATTTTATCTCATGTAGTATTATTTATGTAGAATATATTTTGTAAGTTTTAATATTTGTTAGGTATTTGCTCTCATTTACAAATAAACATGTCCTTATAAAATCAGTTACAGTACATATATATAAACAATTTATAAGTGAGGATCACTTAGTTTATATAGTTTAGTCTAGGGTAAAAATATCTAATTCTTTTTTCTATGAAGCTAAAATTCAAAGAGGTTAGATATTTGGCATGTAGCATCTCATAGTGGATCATTAATAATGTTATATAAATCATGTCCCTGGTGTCAAAATTGACCCCAGTCTTTGGGGTTTCTTATTTTACAAAGACTTGTATTGTTAAAATGGCGCAAAAATCTTTGTCATCTAGAACATAGATGTTTGGCATGTGGATTCACCTTAATATGATAGTCTACAAATGTTATATAAATAATGCGGCCCTTGGTCCAAAACTAGTTCCATCCTTGTTCATTTAAAAAAATAACAAACCCATTACTGGTTTGAACATTTTCAAGCAATGTATCTCAGGTGAGCAATCCCTGGCCATCATGACACTCTTGTTTAGCAATTTTGATAATTTTGACTGAAATACTGAAATGTCTAAAAATAGCACAATATTTTTTGTGTAGAATTAAAAAGATATATGTTCTTGTGCAAGAGGAGGGAAAATACAAGGCCTTGTCTGCAGTTTAAAGTTAGCATCTTCAATAGTTAGTTACACAAAAGTTAAAAAATTTATGTACACATTAGTTGATATGATAATAGATCGTATATTTTTGAATTAACTACTTATATATTACCCTTGACTTAGTAAAATTTTGCAATTTTCAACTTGTGTCGCATGTAACTCAAAAAGTATTTGACCTAGAGTCATGAAACTTTACAGGAATGTTGATCAGCATGTGTAGTTGTGCACCTGGGTATTTTCGTCTGGATATTTTTAGTATTTTTAGAGTTATTGCCCTTGACTTCTTAAAATTTTGCAATTTTCAACTTGTGTCGCATGTTACTCAAAAAGTATTAGACCTTCAGTCATGAAACTTTACAGGAATGTTGATCAGCATGTGTAGTTGTGCACCTGGGTATTTTCGTCTGGATATTTTTAGTATTTTCAGAGTTATTGCCCTTAACTTAGTAAAATTTTGCAATTTTCAATTTGTGTCGCATGTAACTCAAAAAGTATTTGACATAGAGTCATGAAACTTCACAGGAATATTTATCAGCATGTGCAATTGTGCACCTGGGTATTTTCGTCTGGATTTATTAGTATTTTTAGAGTTATTGCCCTTGACTTAGAAAATTTTTGCAATTTTCAACTTGTGTCGCATGTAACTCAAAAAGGATTTGACATAGAGTCATTAAACCTTACGTGAAGGTTGTTCAGCATATTTAGATTTGCACCTGGGGTTTCGCTTGTGGATTTATCCAGTATTTGTAGAGTTATTTCCCTTGACTTATTAAAAACTGTTTCATTATGTTGTTATTTGTTCCTTGAGTGCTTGAGTTAGAATCAACCAACTTTACAGGAATAATAATCAACATAACTAAATTACAGGAATAATGATTCACATCACTGTGAAGCTATGCACCTGGGACTTTGCATGTGGATTTTTTTCAGTTTTGTTAGAGTTATTGCCCTAAACTTACAGTAGTATAAATTTGCAATTTTCAACTTGTTCATGCATAGCTCAAAAAGTATTTCACTTGTAGGCCTGAAAGTTTACAAGAATGTTGGTCAGCATGTGTACTTATGCACCTTGGGGTTTGCTTGTGGATTTATTCAGTATTTGTAAAGTTCTTGCCCTTTACTTAGTAAAAGATTTTTAGTTTCCAAAAATATTTGACCTAGAGTCATAAGATTGACAGAACATTGGTGCGGTGGGGGCACCCGTGTCCTATGGACACATTTCTAGTTTGTATCATTATAATAAATTGTAACGTAAAATAGTGGATGGATTCCCAACCCTATTTTACCTATTACGGTGACAATAAACAGAGTTACCACTTGGGCTTAAAAAAAACACACAGGCCAGTTCTAAATTTAAAGGAGTAGTTGTACATTAAGCACATTTAGCATTTCATGGTTTAGAATTTGATACTTGGAAATATTAGTTTGATGAGAATTATCAGTATTATATTAGAATATTTGTGTGAAGCATGAATAGATATAACCAGATCGTAACTATGATATTAAATGATATGTATTATTCATGACCAAACATGTCTGTCATTTGATTTAATGTACTTCAAAGAAATGTCAAAAAATGTATCATGTTTTATTCAGCTGCCATTTGAATAAGTATTTCACAAGCTTGGTATAAAAATGATCATTATGTACTTTTCTTGCATATGACAAATGTGTGTTTTTGTTTGCTTGTTGTTTTTTCTTCTGTTAGTTATTTTGCATTAATGTTCATTTGTATTAATAGCTCTGTGGGAGTTATGCTTAGTGCTTACCTATTGAGGTGTCTACTACTCAGGTATACATTGTTCACCACTAGGTGAACTGATAGGACTCTATTAGTGCCTATACCAGGGAATACACTAAAATAATGTTTGCAAGAAGTTCATAATAACAGAATCTTGTATCTTAATACATGCTTTATTTTATTAATTTATTATGATACAGAAATGTAAAATATTAAACTGAATGCCTTGTGCCATTTAGTATTCTCTTTAAAAGAATATTTTTTAAATAAATTATTTTTATTTAAAATTGTTGAAGACTAAGCAGTGTTTTAATGCTATCATACACATCATAAAACATTTATTTATATTTGTTTTTGTTGTATTACAGATATTTACAGCCTATTTCATGTGATATTTTACACTCCTGTTCTTTTTTAGACTACAGAGGCAGTACATAACTTTGTTACATGTATTGATTTTGCTTTTTAAGATTTTGTGAATTATTAATGTATAAGCTATGTTTGTCAGTTTTTTTAAGCAATTTGCATGTGTAGAATAAAATTTTAAAAACTTACCTGGTTTATGTTCAGATTTTAATTGTCCCCCGCCTTTTCGGAGAAAAAAGGGGGATATAGTAATAGACTCTGTCCGTCCGTCCATCACACTTTCATGTACGGTCCATAACTTTGTCATTTATGAAACGAATCTGATATAACTTGGCACAAATGTTTGTTATAATAAGACGATGTGTCATGCGCAAGCACTTGCTCATTCAAGGTCAACATTGTCTATTTGATGGTATATGACATGTCGGGTCAATAACTTTCTTATCTTTGAAGGGATTTTGTAAATACTTGCCACAATTGTTCACAATAATGAGACGATGTGTCATGCATAACAACCAGTCATCTACCTCCAAGGTCAAGGTCAGACTTGGAGGTCAAAGATTAACATAGTCTATTACAGGGTATATTTTGTGTACGGTCCATAACTTTTTCATTTATCAAAGGAATCTGAAATAACTTGGCACAAATGTTTGTTATAATAAGACGATGTGTCATGCTCATCAACCAGACCCCTACCTCCAGGGTCAAGGTCGCACTTGCTCATTCAAGGTCAACATTGTCTATTTGATGGTATATGTCGTGTCCGGTCCATAACTTTCTTATCTTTGAAGGGATTTTAAAAATACTTGCCACAACTGTTCACAATAATGAGATGATGTGTCATGCGCAACAACCGGTCACCTACCTTTAAGGTCAAGGTCACACTTGGAGGTCAAAGATTAACATAGTCTTTTACAGGGTATATTTTGTGTTCAGTCCATAACTTTTTCATAGATCAAAGGATTTTGTAAATACTTGCCACAAATAGTCAATATAATAAGACAATGTGTCATGCGCAACACCTGCATCCCTATCTCCAAGTTTAAGGTCACACTTAGAGGTCAAAAGTTAACATAGTCTGTTTTAGGGTATATTTTGTGTCTGATCTAGAACTTCTTTAGGATTTTGAAATAACCAGGCACAAATAGTCACAATAATAAGACAATATGTCAGGTACAACAACTGCACCCCTACCTCCAAGGTCAAGGTCACACTTAGAGGTCAAAGGTTAACAGAGTCTGTTATATGGTTTATTTTGTGTCCCGTCTATAACTTCTTCATAGATCAAGGGATTTTGAAAATACTTGGCACAAATAGTCACAATGATAAGATGATATGTCATGAGTAACACATGTGTCCCTACCTCCAAGGTCACACTTAGAGGTTAAAGATTTACATAGCCTGTTATCTGTTATAGGGTATATTTTGTGTCCAGTCCATAACCTGGGATTTTAAAAATACTTTGCGCAAATAATCACAATAATAAGATGATATGTCAGGCGAAAACATGGGTCCCTACCTCCAAGGTCACACTTAGAGGACAAAGATTGACATATTCTGTTATATGGTATATTTTGTGTCCGATCTATAACTTCTACATAGTTCAAGGGATTTTGAAAATACTTGGCACAAATAGTAATATTAATAAGACGATATGTTATGCACAACACCTGCACCCCTACCTGCAAGGTCAAGGTCACACTTAGAGGTCAAAGGTTAACATGATAGAATTTTAAATTTCGTGTTTCATTTTACTAGTATTTCTTTAACAAATTTATTGTTGCATTTGCAGATCTAGCATTGATCATTATTTTGGACTGAAAGTCCTGAAATCCATACCTCAATCTTTTGAAATAGCACAATTGTATGCTTCATGAGGCGGGGGACGTTGTTAACTCCGTTACAAATTCTTGTAACATTACACTGCAGACATAAAAGATATTAGAAATATCAAACTGAACTCTATCGAATGAAAGACTTCATGAAGGAAAATCACATTTTCCAAGAAACATTTTTTTTAAATAATGGAGTCATTGCCCTTTTTTCATTCTAGTTATTGCACTTTCATAAGCACTTTTTGCTCAGGGCATATCAATGACAATATGATGTGATCTAGACCAATATGTATCTATTACTGTTATTCGTCTAATTGGATTCATTGAATTTGATCATTCTTTTATTACTCTTGAATCCATTTATACCAAGTTATTTTAGTTCGGTTGTGTTGGAAACTATAAGCTTATTGAAACACTCTCGAATCCGTTCCTGGAACAAACCAGTACTAACCAATTAGTGTAAAGTCTCCTGCTCACGGAAACAACGGGGTTTGAATCCTTAGATTTACAAGTCCAACGAGTTAACCAGTCGTCCACGCCACCATTCCAGATTGTATTTCTTATATCAACATTCTTTAAATTAATGACCAAGTGGTATATGAATGTCAGTTTTTTAAAGGATGTCATTTTGCTTGTCACATATCATTTTGTTGGCTTTGTATCATAATGATGCTCTGAGGTACCGTATAATATCACGATTCAATCATGTGATTTGTGTCATTTGACAGGTGATATCTACTAAACGCTTACTATAACTAAATAACCAGTATTGTTAACACATGTTTGTCCATGTGTCATTTTAAACAGCGATCTGTAAGTGTTTCCAACATTAATGTTGTAACCGACTATAACTCATCTGCCCAACTTCTCTTCATACAAACACGAACTTGGATTACATATACATATAATTAATTTGAATTATTTGAGCTATATACTCTTGATCCTCATACACGAGCTTCTATGATCTTTTATGAGAAGCTATGAACTAGTGGTTTATGTAAATGCCTCTCAACGCCGTGATCTGGGATTTGAACCTTCCTTACTGGCAACCATATTTACCCGTCTGATACCGGTACTGGTTAATTCTAGGAAGCAGACTTGAGAGCTTATATCATGATTGCGATAAAATATTACTCGTGTTCAAACTAATACACAGTAATAATCGAAATTTGCAGAATTTTTCCACGAGAATAATTCCGGATGTAAGTTAATATAACAGAGTAATGACAACAAAACATTTTGTTTAATTTTTATCTTTATAACTAATTAACTTTTAAGAGATAACATTGATAAATAAATGAAAAGAAATTTGAACAAATAAAGAAACATAAAGATGATTACATGATAACATCATAATTTTGCTTTTACTAAATAAAATACAGCTGTACCTGTTCTTATTCAATGTGGAAAGTGATTAAAGCACGGATGTCAGTTTTGTTAGAAGGCACTTAATGTTGTTTATTACACAATTTATAACAAAATGTACTCACAAACGTAGACCTCTTATAATTGAAATTAATGGAAAATAAACGTCAACTTATTAAATTTTACTTTTAAAGATATTCTTATAATTTCAATTAGTAACAGGAACATGTACATGTAGGTAATTGTGACATTCCAGTCAGTGAGGAAATTGATATGTATAATTAACAGATGGTAAAACCAAATAAAGTCTTTATAACTGTTATATATACAGTATACAAGAAAATGATGAAAAAGAACTGATCAAAATAAACCATGAAAACAAATAATTGAAATCTCGTCTACAGTTGTTGAATTAGACAAAAAGTTATGCTAGAAAAGCTTTACATGTAAAAACTATATAGAGCATTTATAGTTGAAGACAAAATTATTTTAATTAGTAATTCAATTTCTTTGAAAAGAAAAATGTTGAAGTAAAATACCGTGAGCATACTTGATTATATAAATTAAACACGACATAATAATTAAACATCAATGGACTTTACAGTTTCACACTTTCCTCCTAATCGACACACAATAACTTTAATACATTTTTCTTGTTCATTTAATGTTTTATTCATATTACAAAGATTTCATAATCTATGATTACTATAGACATATTTGGAGGTTGATTAAGAAATAATCTTAATTACAAGGACACAATTTCACGATTCCAGTTTTAGTTTGTTCAACCGAAAAATGCATCGAACATGTAACTATACTAAAAATATTAGGTTTAGGTAACTTTTCTATTTCGTTTCAGTGACCATTCTTCAATTTATCATCAAAGCTGATTACTGTATTTAATCTTAAAGCAAGGAACACGTTGTACAACATAGGAATAAAAAAATTAAATGTGTATAAAGGTGGTCGAACCAAGCAACAAAGCAGCAGCAAATATGATAAAAAAAAGTGGAAACTATGTTCTGTGTGACATTTTCTTTGTGATAATTTCAATAATTCATTATATAGTCCATTAGGGAATATGAAACTTGATGAACTAATGGTATTCTAATGATACCAATTAATACCAAATTAACCTCGTATTTATACATAACAACTACACTTGGTAATATTGGTTTCTCTCTAGGACTTCAAAGCTCTTTTAATTCGCCAAAATAAACTTACTAATCCTATCCCATTACATGCTGCAACAAAAACAAATTAAGCTAATTAGTTCTACACATTTTGTTTACATATTTAAAGATATTGCCTGAAAGACTACATGTATGTTACTGCCTGCAGTGCCATGGAGTATCAAAAATTGTATTTCATTGAGTAACTAGCACAAAAACTGGTGAAATTATTACGTTCAGGCATCACGTGATAAACTATTATTTCATTAGATGTCTCATAGAAAACATAAACGTATATTTCAAAACAATAATCACAACACCAAACGATACTAAAATAGGTTTGACAAGGTATATACACCGCTTAATTAGCATTTCATAGTCTGGATGTCGGATAATAAATATCTAGATCAACTTAAAGCGTTATGATCGTCTACAAAATATCAGGCTTTCGTTTTACGTTCATCGGTGACAACGAATTGACATGTAAGTTTCTCGCCCACACCCCTCCCCTCCCTACCTTATGTTCCAAATTTAAGGCACTTCGGTTATTCATGAAAACATGTCTTTCCTCATCGCTTTACAAAGAGAGTTTAATTAAAACTAAACAAGCGTACGTGTCTTTGGAGACTGTAAAGGAGAAAGTCATTACATACTCATTTATATATTAGATATATGCCAAATATGTTATACCATTGTATATAGTGTAACAATCTTTACTTGTGTGTACATCTGTCTTTTTTCTTTTTCTTTTGCCAATAAAATATGTTTAAATCAATCATATATTAGACACGTTAAATGACGAAAATGTGTGAGAATTACAAAACCTGTAGAAAACATGACATGATAAAATAAAGCTGGACAAACTATAGGCAAATAAAACAATTAAGGGACACAAATAATTGAAGAAATTATATATTCATAACTTAAAAGCTAAAATAGTAACGGAAAGAAAACAAAGTAATCAAAACTATTTAAGTTTCTTTTCTGCGCTATCCTCAATGTCGTCCTCGTCGTCGGAAATGTTGAACTTTTCCGAAAGTAGTTCCGACGGTGCAACTTCTTCTATCATTTTCAAGACTTCTTTTGCCGTCGGTCTTTTCATTGGATTGGCAAGCGTGCATTTCCTTACAATTTCACGGAGCTGACAGGGGAAAGGAAAAAATAATATGACATAAAATACGGGTTTTTATGAACAACGTTTTAGCTTTTTATGATTATATAATACCACGATTCAGAGATCATTTTATGCATTATTTTCATCATAATGGTACAAGTGGTTCAATATAAATGCATTTTAACAATAAAATACCTTAACTCGTGTATGAAACAATTCTGAGCATAACAAATGCCAATGTTTCTACAGTAATGATTTTAGGACATACACATAAAAAATGGCATCATTAGTTTATACTACATGTACTTTATTTTAGTTTGGCTGTGTTGGAAACTGTAAGCTTAATAAAACACTCTCGAATCCGTTCCTTGAACCAACCAGTACTAAGCAATGAGTGTAAAGTCATTTGCTCACATGCACTTGACGGGATTTCAACCAACGCGGCCACGCCGCCATTCTTAACATAATCTGTTGACATAATAACGAACTACAGAGCATTTTTTCAAAGTTTATATATAAAACTATATACCGGTATTTTATTTTTCAAACCTGATTGTAAGTTAGAGATACATATAAATCTACGTACCATATTTACATATAGATCTACGTACCGCATTTAAATATAGATCTATCTACCATATTTACATATAGATCTACGTACCATATTTACATATAGATCTACGTACCATATTTACATATAGGTTTACCTACCATATTTACATATAGATCTACCTACCATATTTACATATAGATCTACGTACTAAATTTACATATAGATCTACCTACCATATTTACATATAGATCTACCTACCATATTTACATATAGATCTACCTACCATATTTACATATAGATCTACGTACCATACATATAGATCTACGTATCATATTTACATATAGATCTACGTACCATATTTACATATAGATCTACGTATCAGATTTACATATAGATCTACGTATCATATTTACATATAGATCTACGTACCATATTTACATATAGATGTACGTATCATATTTACATATAGATCTACGTACCATATTAACATATAGATCTACGTATCATATTACCATATAGATCTCCCTACCATATTTACATATAGATCTACGTACCATATTTACACATAGATCTACGTACCATATCTACGTACCATATTTACATATAGATCTACGTATCAGATTTACATATATATCTACGTATCATATTTACATATAGATCTACGTACCATATTTACATATAGATGTACGTATCATATTTACATATAGATCTACGTACCATATTAACATATAGATCTACGTATCATATTAACATATAGATCTCCCTACCATATTTACATATAGATCTACGTACAATATTTACACATAGATCTACGTACCATATTTACATATAGATCTACGTACCATATTTACATATAGATCTACGTACCATATTTACATATAGATCTACGTATCATTTTTACATATAGGTCTACCCACAATATTTACATATAGATCTACTTACCATATTTACATGTAGATCTACCTACCATATTTACATATAGATCTACCTACAATATTTACATATAGATCTACGTACCATATTTACATAAAGATCTACCTACCATATTTACATATAAATCTGCGTACCATATTTACATATAGATCTACGTACCATATTTACATATAGATCTACGTATCATATTTACATATAGATCTACGTACCATATTTACATATAGATCTACCTACCATATTTACATATAGATCTACGTACATTTTTACATATAGATCTACGTACATATTTACATATAGATCTACCTTCCATATTTACATATAGATCTCTACCTACCACCTATTTACATATAGATCTACCTACCATATTTACATATAGATCTACCTACCATATTTACATATAGATCTACCTACCATATTTACATATAGATCTACTTACCATATTTACATATAGATCTACCTACCATATTTACATATAGATCTACCTACCATATTTACATATAGATCTACGTACCATATTTACATATAGATCTACCTACCATATTTACATGTAGATCTACCTACCATATTACATATAGATCAACCTACCATATTTACATATAGATCTACGTACCATATTTACATAAAGATCTACCTACAATATTTCTATAAATCTGCGTACCATATTTACATATAGATCTACGTACCATATTTTACATATATCTCTACGTATCATATTTACATATAGATCTACGTACCATATTTACATATAGATCTACCTACCATATTTACATATAGATCTACCTACCTATATTACATATAGATCTACCTACCATATTTACATATAGATCTACCTACCATATTTACAATATAGATCTACTTACCATATTTACATATAGATCTACCTACATATTTACATATAGATCTACCTACCATATTTACATATAGATCTACGTACCATATTTACATATAGATCTACGTATCATATTTATATTTAGATCTACGTACCATATTTACATATAGATCTACCTACAATATTTACACATAAATCTACGTACCATATTTACATAAATATCTACGTACCATATTTACACATATATCTACGTACCATATTTACCTACAATATTTTACATATATAGATCTATTCACCATATTACGTACATATTTATAGATCACGTACCATATTACATATAGATCTACGTACCACATATATTTACATAATAGATCTACGTACCATATTTACACATATATCTACGTACCATATTTACATATAGATCTACCATATTTACACATATTTACCATATTTACATATAGATCTACCTACAATATTTACATATAGATCTACCTACCATATTTACATATAGATCTATCTACATATTTACATACATATCTACGTACATATTTACATATAGGTCTACCTACAATATTTACATATAGGTCTACCTACAATATTTAAATATAGGTCTACCCACAATATTTACATATAGATCTACTTACCATATTTACATGTAGATCTACCTACAATATTTACATCTAGATCTACCTACAATATTTACATATAGATCTACCTACAATATTTACATATAGGTCTACCTACAATATTTACATATAGATCTACCTACCATATTTACATATAGGTCTACCTACAATTTTTACATATAGATCTACCTACAACATTTACATATAGATCTACCTACAAAATTTACATATAGATCTACCTACAATATTTACATATATAGATCTACCTACAATATTTACATATATATCTACGTACCATATTTACATATAGGTCTACCTTCAATATTTACATATAGATCTACGTACCATATTTAGTATTTTCTCGTCATCTTCAATCACCTCGATCTCGTTATCTTTCTCACTAACAGCTGGTACTATAGCAGATTCCTCATACGGCGGTGGTTGATCACTATGTTCACTACTTTGCTCGCTAGGATTCGCACTCGATGTTGATGCCAGGGGTGGTTTCTCATTCTGGTAACCAGAGTTCGAGTACCCAACTGTAATAAACAATGTTTAATGTCAAGCTGAACCTTATACATCGATAAATATACATCGTGTATCAACATGACAGATTTGTCTGCTGTATACTTCAAGTGAAGGCAATCCAATAGCATGTTATTAGGCTATACATGTATCATCATTGTCAAGTTAATGTTTATTATTTCATATAATGATCTCACATATATGATGCATATGTCCTTTAAATATTGGTATTTTGGCTGGTGGACCGTAAATTAAGCAGTATTTGTTATAATTTCACTTTCTGGACATGAGGTTTGTCCGATAGTCACAATAAAAAAGTAATTATAGAGACCGGTTCTAATCAGACACTGACTTGACCTAATTAACATATTCGTTAATAACGGTTTACAGAAAAACATACAAATTCATATTGAATATGAGCTGTAAGTTATTAGTTCCTTATTTTTCACGTTACATATGCGTGCAGTAACAAAATTCGGTCGTTTAAATGTTAATATATTTTATAGTTAAGGAACTCGCTATAAACATATGTCGTACACTGACAGTGGTTTGAACCCCCGAACAATGCAAAAAGAATTTTTACTTGACAGTTTTAAGCTTATAGACTGCGGAATGGTCGGAGGTCATAGCACTGTGCTCATGTGGGGTTTTATAAATCTATTTACGATATTGAAAATTTTCATAAATGTTATCCAATGGTTATATAAATAATGAAACCAATTATCCGGGTCTTTTATGATACTAGTTCTTCAAACTACGTAACAATTGTATGTCAGCGTTCCTGTCAGCGTTCCTGGAGAACATTAATGATTTCTAGACAACGTAATACAACATATTACATATAATAAAAGATTTCTCGATTAACCTCCATAACATATAGATTCCCCTGGAGTGGCTATTTGATAGATCTAACATTTTTATATTTCAACGTATTGATATCAGGGTTCCCCGTGGACTAATTGTAATGCTTTTTGTTTAGATGATACTGCAGCGAAAGAAAATCATTCTTTTACAAATGATACCACATAGAAGAGATCATAAAAGCGAAGTCTATTTCAGATTCAAAACTGAACAAAATCTACCTAAACGAAAGAAACATAATGTTAAATTCAACTTCAAAAGATCAAGTCAATGTCTGAAGACAATGTTAAACCAGAGGTAATGTTATCAAAAATGGAAAAATCTCACTTTAGGCAAAAAAGCAAAGCAAAGAAAATTAATTAATTAATTAATTAATTAATTAATTAATTAATTAATTAATTAATTAATTAATAAAACTACAATTTCTGAAACACATATTGTTTCTTATATTTGCTTTAGATATTAGTAGTAATTATTTTTTTCAAAGGCCAGAATATCATCATGTCAAATATCAGTTAACAAAAAACGCCTTCTTAGAAAATGGCAAGAGTAAAGATTCGATGCATAGAGAATAATTGATTGTAAAAAAAAAAAGAAGGTAACTATTCTAGTACTGTCATGATTTGATTTGATACCTAGACAATAGTGTATTCATGAAACAATAAATAATATGCCGTCTGCTTAGAATGTTCTGACTTTTAACAGAGGATATTGAATGAATTTATTGAACAAGCTGAATCAAATTATATTATGCGAAATACTGAATTTATTGCACGAATTGAATAAAATTATAATATGCGAGCCTCTACAGTTCAATAAATTTAGTATTTGACGCAACACAAATATAATATACTAATTATAACATTATCCAAAATAGAATTGTTTATATACAGTAAAAATGAATTACTTTTTCATTGACGCGCGCTAAAATTTATACCCGCTTTAAAACTATATAATGTTTGTAAAAAAAACGCAAGTGACGTCACGTCAATATCAAATGCACGGCCGTGACAAGCCATTTTTATAGAGACGTAAACGCGGCACGGGTATATAATAAATACAGGATATTTGTTTAGTTCACAGACGCTTGGGGGTCAGATCCTGCCCCCCAACGTGATACGCCCCTGTAAACACTCTACCAAAATAGAATTGTTTATATACAGTAAAAATGAATTACTTTTTCATTGACGCGCGCTAAAATTTGCGCGCTTTAAAACTATATAATGTTTGTAAAAAAAAACGCAAGTGACGTCACGTCAATATCAAATCAGTACTTTATTGAGACTTGATGGTATACGGTATTTTTTCATATATGTAAAAATTGTTTGAAAACCATTTTTATCGTTGCAATAGATGTACCATTCGTGTTTAAATATTAAAATAGTTTTGGTAGAGTGTTTACAGGGGCGTATCACGTTGGGGGCAGGATCTGACCCCCAAGCGTCTGTGGAATATATTTCACAGAGTGAGCATCAAAAGGTATATTTCACGAGTGGCGCAGGCACGAGTGAAATGTGAACTTTTGGTGTTCACGAGGTGAAATATATTCCGATCTTACACTGAACTAAACGAATTTTCTTTTTATTATATGCATAAGAAACGTTTAAAAAAAGACATTTTAACCTAATACTAAATGAAAAGCGCGCCAGATAATAATTAAACGTCATTAGGTTGGTTTCCAGTACTGTGTACGCTGGTATTTCACTGAAACAACGTAACGGGAGTGAAATTATCAAATTGATAATTTCATTGTTTGAAACTGAAATTATCAGTTTTTTTATTTCACTGATATATTTCTATAAACCACCGAAAAGCATGTAACAATGCAGAATAATTTGTCGGCTGCTTACAATATTTTAAGACTTTTATTACATGCTTTTCGGTGGTTTATAGAAATATATCAGTGAAATAAAACTGGTAATTTCACTGTTTGAAACAGTGAAATTACCACTTTGATAATTTCACTGTTTTGAATTTAAGCCCCTTACGTTGTTTCAGTGAAATACCAGCGTGCACAGTACTGGGTACCAACTTAATGACGTGACGTCGTAAATGACGTCACGTTGTATTATTATTTGGCGCGCTTTTCATTCAGTATTAGGTTTAATGTCTTTTTAAAACGTTTCTTTGCATGAAATAAAAAGAAAATTTGTTTAGTTTAGTGTAAGATCGAAATATATTTCACCTTGTGAACACCAAAAGTTCATATTTCACTCGTGGCTGCGCCACTCGTGAAATATACCTTTTGGTGCTCACTCGGTGAAATATATTCCGATCTTACACTGAACTAAACAAATATCCTCTATATAATCTTGTCACAACTATCAAGTCAAAATACACACAATGTATCAACATTCGATAAATGTTCGGTAAATTTCGTGAGATGTTCGCAGTAAGATGTGATTAAATTTAATTTGTCTCTATGAAATAGTTACACTGACCGTTAGAGCGAAATAGGGTAAACTACGGTTTTATAATTTCAAAACGTTTTGTAAGATCGAGACCGCGTTAAGTCCATGAACTTACACGAATTTAATATTCTGTTTATCACATACCTAAAATAAAGACCGTTTAAAGTGAAAAACGAGTCATTTTTCATTGACGCGCCAATACTATTATTAGTATAACGCTAACATTTAGCGCGTCTTTACACAATGTTTGTATTACGCTAATGACGTCACGTCAAAATATATGCACGGCCGTGCAATCCCATTTTTACGGAGTCGCAAAATCGGCACTAGTGTGTGAGAAAACACAATACAAAACGAAACAAAACAATAAAATTCAATAAACAAATTATCTAATTTAAAGGAATTCAAATGAGATCCAAAAGCGTAAAGCATAATATTTGAATTTCTTACATAGGTTAACTTGGGCACTTTAAACAGAAATAATGGCAAAAGATAACTAAGAAATACACTCAGAAATAAATTATAATCGTATTTTTGTGCTATTCTTAGCTAGATTTGAGTGAAAAGCGTTGCAACGCTTTTTAATTTTAGGTCGTTTTCCACAACGAGAATTTCTGGATAAACGGAGTGAGCGAATGATCTGAAATTTTGTACGCAATATATTAGTCTAGACCTTTATCAAGTGAGACATTAATCTCGAAAAATAGGTTTTTTAACATGACAGGTCTAGAAATCTCATTGTAAGGGGAATATGAATAAATTATCTAATGAATTTTACCTTTCCAGTCTTCTCCATCCTCCGCTTTCTCAATCTTGTTTATATCATCAAAGTTACTGCTAAAAATAATATAAAACAAAATGATAAAAAGATGTATTTGTGAATTTGCACAAACTGCATGCACATGTACATACATGCGAATACTTAACACTTCTACAATGTAATTGAAATGTACAACAACAGGTAAATTACTTGGAAACTCAACTAACATTTTGTAAAATAATTAAGCTCAAGTGATATCTATTTTATAACGCCGGAATTACACATATGATAACACAAGTTCTATAGCGCTTTTATCATTATTTTTTATCATTATTAATATCCTATAGCATACAGTATAATATTAATAAGCAATCATCATCATCATCATCATCATCATCATTATTATTACTATTATGTACAGTATTATTATTATTATTATTATTATTATTATTATCATCATCGTCATTTTATTATTGTCATTGTTGTTGTTGTTGTTGTATAAAAGCGTTCACCGGGCGCCAAAATGAATGTTTGTACGTAAACGTCACAAATGTTTAAATTACGTCATCAATAAACCGGAAGTTTTTTAACGTTAAACAAAATGGCTGCAAAGTAGATGTTACCGCAAAAAGATCAAATAATGTAAATTATAATACAATAACCATGAGTGGAAGAAGATCAAGAACGCCGGGAACTCCGAGAAAAACAAGAACTAGGCGAGAACAAATCGCTTTTGAAGAAATTCCAACAAAAGATATCTCGAAGTCCAAATCAGTCGGCGGTACACCAAAAACTAGACGCTTAATTACAAATTCGGCACCAAATTCTACAAACAGGAGAAGTTGTCCAGAAATCAGCGATGTAAAAGAACAAAAGAAGCATTTTCGGCGACACAGTGAAAACAGGGCGTTTGTGGTTCAACCAAAGCCTTACATCAATGAAGCGGATGTCAGAAGAAAATCTTTGTCACAAAATAATTTGGTGCAACCCAATGTAACGAATAATTCCATAACATTAGATCAATCAGATATAAGTACGAGATCATCAACAAGTAGTTTATCAACTAATATTTACAAGTTGTGGAAAAATGGAAAACTGTGTGATGTGATTATACACGCAGGCGGTACTCAGTTTCATGTTCATCGTTTAGTATTGGCCGCAAGTTGTGAACAGTTTGAAGCACAAAGGCAGACGAGATATCAGTATGACATACCAAATGTTAGCGCAGAGGTAATGAATGAAGTGCTGGATTTCTTCTATACATTTAAATTGAAACTAACATCCGCAAATATTGAAGAAGTGTTGGAAATCAGTCAAAATCTGGGCGCTCGAAAGCTTTTAGATCTGTGTATAAATTTTTTAATGAAAATAAACTTGAACAATGCTGTGAGAAACAGAAAAGCCGCACAAAGGTTTGGACTTAAAAGTGTTATGTCTACAATTGACAAATATGTTCATGAGCATTTCTCAGCTCTAATAACAACGTCATCATTTCTTGAAAGTGAGTTCAATTATATCTATGACATTATATCGTCAGATATTTTAACAAAACCAAACGAACTACAAATATTCCGCGCATGTGCACAGTGGATTGACTACAAACGTACTGACCGCATCAAATACGCCATCCCGTTGATAAGTCTTATCAGGTTTGCTCACATCGCTCCTTCAGATATTGTCTCACAGGTAGAATCAGTGAACTTCATTTTTGAAATTCCAGAATGTAAAGAACTGCTCTACAATGCATTCAGACATCATGCTTTGTTTGATGAGGGAAGCACTCCAAGTCGATCAACTGTAGTTTCTCAAAGCGGTTTGCTGCATGATAATGTACAGAAGAACACAGGTATAAGTATTAGCACAGCCCAAACTCAGCATGATGCCGAGTCCTCAGAAACGGCTGCAGATTTATCTTGTACGGCTACGTCAATGGAATACGAGGTACATAGCGTTCAACCAGCTAAGTTCGGACAAGACTGTGGTTCGGATAATGATCCGGACATAATTCGCCGTTCAAAACGTTCCACGTCAGAGCCCGCTGCACACAGTCAGACTACAAGAGAAGATTCAAGTATGGAAAGTACATTAAACAACAGTAGTTCTACAATGACAAAAGAAATGCAGGGAAGCCCATGTGTGAAAACACTGACTGAAAAGTTTTCAAAGGGGGGTGCTGTTGTAAGTAACAAAAAAGTGTCAAAGGGTGCTGCTGTAAGTAACAAAAAAGTGTCGAATGATTTGGCACATATCATAGACTTCTTTGAGCCGACAAGTAAATTTTCTGATCAGACTAGCACAAATAAAGCAAAGAAAAAGAAAAGACTTGAAGACCTACTTATGGAGCAAAGGAACAACACACGCACAACAAATCATTCAGGTTCTTCATCAAACGCAAAGAAATCTACTTTCCATGACAGAATACCTAAGAAAGATTCCGACCACGAAGTAGGTCGCATACCCTCTACCGCTTTCACATACCTTTCAACACAGGGAGGGAAATTTCCTGAACACCAGAAAAACACCGGGAACTTAACGGAATTATCCTCAATCAAGTCTGAATCAGAGTCTGATCTTCCACCACCACCAGTACCTCCCGTAATATTGATTGCAGGTGGCGCTAGTGCATATGAAAATAATTCAAGAATGGACTGTGTAAACAACTGCATCCAACAATTAGATCCTGAACTAAACTCATGGCGCCTAAGGTCCCGTATTCCAATGTCCGTGCTTTACAGTGGCATAGTTTTGCTGGATCCATATCTATACATGATGGGCGGTCAGACGACGAAAGAACAATGTCCCGTGCCGATAAAAGATTGTTACAGGTATGATGTTACGAATGACCAATGGGATAAAGTTGCTTCGTTAAGAACGGCGCGATATCGACATGCGGCTGTCGTATTAAATAGAATTATTTATGTGATCGGAGGCGAAGATAGCATCGGTATGAGCTGTAATACGGTTGAAGTATACAACCAGATGAGTAATACATGGAAATTTGCTGAAGGTATGCACGAGGCACGTGTCAGTCCGGCTGCTGCTGCTCATCGCGGACGTCTATTTGTAGCCGGCGGTATGATGGACATGGATGAAAAACTAGCCTTGAACACCATGGAAGTTTATAACCCAAGAACGCGATCCTGGACATTTAGATATCCACTTCCGGTTGCATTGTGTGGCTCATCGATGGTGGAGATTGCCGGAAAGCTGTATTTAGTTGGCGGATTTGTGATACGCGATGGAGAGCCGTTAAGCCTTGATTCTATATTCCGGTACAGTGACGAAGCTGACACTTGGATTGGATACAAGACATTACACGTACCCCGTCACGACGCCGTCACTGTCACCCTTGACAACAAACTTTTTATCCTAGGAGGTCAGAGTTCTGCTGCAATGGGGCACGCTCTCTCAAATGTAGAATGTATCGATGTTGAGACTGACAAACACCTGACTGGGGTTGCACCGTTGTTAACACAAGCTTACGGTATATGTGGCTGCGTATTATCAAATTAACATGAATGATGTATAACTGTTTATCAAATTTAGTCATAACAATTGCCAAAACATTTTATAATAGTGGTTAACTTAATGAGTAACTTTCGGAAAATAATGTGAATTTTATCAACGAAAAAAGCAACAAAAAACAATCTATTTGGAGAAGTCATCAAATAATCATTTAAACAGACTTGAATGCCTGAACGTTAATAAAGCTCAATCTATTAAGATATATGGTTTATGTAATAATATATAAATAAATAATCTAACAAACTGTAAGAATCTTTCTTAATTCACCCGTACAAAAACAAGTGAAATTACAGAATGTCTGCATCGTGTGCAGAATGCATCTAACAATGTATGTATGTATATAAAATTAGTTTAAACTTACCGCCGGGAAGAAACATATAGGTGAGCATATACTTCATTCATAGTACAATTCGATCTACAAGTTTCTATGTTTGTACCATAACTCCCATATGTACATACAATGAATGATAAAAGAATAATATGGGATAATTCCCATATACTTTGTTGGGAATATACAAGTGGGCACGATAAATCCTTTAAAACATATCAGCCATGGATAGAACTATAAGGATAATACACATCGTTGAGTACAATACTGAATTATATTGGACAAGAACACTGCTGCCGAACCTATATTGGACGATATACTATCAGTATTGTACTCAATAATGTATGAAAAGCAACAATCGTTTAACAGATTTTGTTTTACTTTGAGTACAATATGGATTTTGAACTCAGAAAATGAAAACAATGTTAGACGGATTAGAACAAGTCTGTATTTTTTGAACTCGGAGAAATTTAAACGAGGCTAAATTTATATGATCGGTTCCAATAATCTTTTCTTTTAGAACATCATGTGTTGCAAAGCTCATTTGTCACATCTTATAAGGAGTGAAATAAATAGATATCGAATGGCTGTAGGTTCAATACTGAATTTATTGAACGATTTGAATAAAATTATATTATGCGAGCCTGCAGTAAAAAAGAATTACTTTTTCATTGACACGCTTATAATATAACGCCAACATTTAGAGCGTCTTTCGCTATGTTTGTATAACGCAAATGAGGTAACGTAAAAATATACGGCCTTTTCATATCATATTAAAATTTTACAGAGTCGCAAAAGCAAGCAGAGGAATATTATTAATATACTTATCACACACCCGTGCCGATTTTGCGACTCCGTAAATATGGTATTGCACGGCCGTGCATATATTTTGACGTGACGTCATTAGCGTTATACAAACATAGTGTAAAGACGCGCTAAATGTTAGCGTTAAACTATTGGCGCGTCAATGAAAATGACTCTTATTTCACTTTAAACAGTGTTTATTTTGGGTATGTGATAAATAGAATATTAAAATCGTGTAAGTTCATTACTGAATTTATTGCACTTGTTGAATAACTTGTGCAATAAATTCAGTATTGAACTTACACTCATTCAATATCCTCTATGTACTAAAATAGTAAACAATGGTAACCTTAAAGAACGCCCAAAAAGGCAAAATTGAAAATGTTATTGAGCATGTTCATGGACATTTAGTGCAAACTACCGCTACTACTACTAGCGTTTGACTACGGTGGCATAGAGGTGACATTTGCAGTTTTATTTTATCTCGTGGCCACGACTTATTATCTTGAGGCCTCAAGATATTATCTCGTGGCCACGACTTATTATCTCGTGGCCACGACTTATTATCTTGTGGCCTCAAGATATTATATCGTGGCCACGACTTATTATCTCGTGGCCACGAGTTATTATCTTGTGGCCTCAAGATGTTATCTCGTGGCCACGAGTTATTATCTTGTGGCCACGACTTATTATATTGAGGCCACGAGTTATTATCTTGTGGCCACGATTAATTTCACCCAATGAAAATGGTCGTTTCATCTTGAACAAAAGTTAATATCAATAAGACCTTATATCACACTGGCCACAGCTTTCACAAGAGCGGCGGGTCAAGCGCTGCGGCGGTGAAGAAAGGGAACGTTTTATGATTATTCTTCTTCTTTTTTTGTATGGTCAGGTGTTTCTTTCATTCTTCTTTAAAGATATACTTTGCTTAAATTTAATATTAGAAAATATTGATAATTGTTACACTGTCCCTTTGTACATGTAAACATAAAATGAACATGTTTTGACTTCAAAGATAGTAGATATGTTATGTTTAAAATTCTACACAGTATAGGTGTTCACCATGAATATATATATTGTCAGTTTTTTAAGTAAAGATTACCTGACCTGTTATAGGGAACGCAGCTTCCTGTACATAGTTTATTGATTTCTTTATTCAAGTTAGACGCATTAAGTTAGAATACCATAGATTTAAAAAAAAATCTGTGATTTTAATTTTCAAGGATGAGCACGGTATATCTAATTTAATTGAGATTAGATTAAGAAATATATGCGGTTTATGTATACTTTTAAGGTCGTTCATGGAAATAACTTGCCCCTTTTCCCTGTGGATTCGAATCCCTTTAAAGACTTGTATCTAGATAGTTATTATTGAAGATATACTACAATGTCACAATGATAAATGACTAACTTTGACGGGTTATCTGAACCTTTTTCTTTTTTTTATTATAAAAACTGACATACTAGTATACAAGTTTCAAAGACATATGTCAATTCTTTTAAGATCTCCTCTTTGATTGGTACTGCTTATGCTGTGCTTTTGCTACTGCCAATTTCACGTTTTATAATTTTGTCACTGCTACTTCTGTGCTACTGCTACTGCCAACTTCATGTTTTATAATTTTGTTACTGCTACTGCTCAATGCTACTGCTAACTTCCTACTGGTGATGACCACTTATAAAAGTGAGTGTATTTTATGAAAAACTGCATCTATAGAAACTTGATCCTTAAACGTTAGGACCATAAGATAAGAATACAGAGGGCCAATTAGTGATGACAAGACTCTACTCAGTGGACGTGTTAATGTGGTCAATACAGTTAATAGTGATATACTAGCTGATAAGCCTTACTGAAATTCAGCACGTCTCTGGGAAAATGCGTGAACTTAAGTAAATATATGGTGGTGATTGACACGCCCCTCCTGTGACTGCTATTGCCAGTGTGATATTAAATTTTGTTCAAGATGAAACGACCATTTTCATTGGCTAAAATAAGTCGTGGCCACAAGATAATAACTCGTGGCCACGAGAAAATAAGTCGTGGCCTCAATATAATAAGTCGTGGCCACAAGATAATAACTCGTGGCCACGAGATAATAAGTCGTGGCCACGAGATAACATCTTGAGGCCACAAGATAATAACTCGTGGCCACGAGATAATAAGTCGTGGCCACGAGATAATATCTTGAGGCCACGAGATAATAAGTCGTGGCCACAAGATAATAACTCGTGGCCACGAGATAATATCTTGAGGCCACAAGATAATAAGTCGTGGCCACGATATAATAAGTCGTGGCAACGAGATAATATCTTGAGGCCTCAAGATAATAAGTCGTGACCACGAGATAAAATAAAACTGCAAATGTCACCTCTATGCCACCGTATTTGACCTTATGTTTTCGTCATTATTTTTCTAAAGTTTAGCGTTGATTTGATTTTGAGTTGTTCTTTTTTTCTTTTTTTTAGGAAATACTAATCCTATGAAGAAATAAAACTGATGATATGTTTTCACTTTGACAAAAAGTTCATATTATTATTGACTTTGAATAATAACTTAAAAGTCTTTATTTCAACAGTTTTTATTAAAGCGCGGGAAACAGACGTAAAGATGACGTCAGATGTTCTAAGTTTGCGAACAAATGTTTAAAGGCACATTATGCTTTAGAAATCCATATTTTTGAAAGTATTTCGAAATGCCAAACATGTTAACAATTGTTAATGTTTTAATAAAGGATTAAGAGCATGTTAGATATTCAATTCTTGAAAAAAGTAGCACTGAACATATAGTGACGTGTCGTAAAGGTAGCAAAATGTAAACAAAGTAGTATTTTGACTTCCATACAAAATACATATTCACTAAATTTATATACCATTTGAAAACATAGCAAAATATACAACAGATAGTTTAAATAATATGTATATGGCAAATGAGTTGCTTTTTTAAACTGTGAAAAAAAACAAAAGATAGAAAGTTTTTGGAAAAAAAATATAGCATTTTCTAAGGGTTAACGGGGCTAAGTTTATACCAGTAGACATCATTGCGGTATTATTATTTAGTGAACAATGTGAACAATGTGAATTAATGATAGCTAAATTGTAAAAAAAAATGCCATAAAGTACTAAAATGTTAATTTTGTAGATCCAGCTTTGCCAAATAATCATGAACGACCCCGAGAAACTCATGTACATTTTAGAAACATGACACATGCTTTCTTACATGTCTTATGAAGACTACTTTGGCAATGGCTACGAACAATAAACATAGAGAAATCAAACTTCGCTTTTACAAGAAAAGTAAACACTTTAGAGAAAAATCCTGAAAAATCTTAAGGGTGACGTTTTAAGTTTACGAAAATAGGTCAGACTATAAACTCAACAGTTTCATTCAATATAACCCTACAATTTACGGAATCATACAAAATAATAATAATACGTATGCCCACCGTGAGTGGCATATTGTGGGTGATATGGATTTTATATAGTGCATGAACAGGTGATATTCTAATTAAATCTACGTTTTGCCATAATTCCTGTCAATTTAATCATTTACTTAGCATAAACGACAAAGAAGTCACGTGGTCCAAGAAAATTTCTGTAAATATCCATCGGAATTAGATCTATGCAACGTTCAATTTACAAAAACAGTGGGCAGTCTTTTTACTATCAACTGTTTGGTCAAGTCAATCTTTTGAAATATGTAGTCAACTCAACTTAGCAATGAAACAAATGAGTTGTTTTTTTTTCATAAATATGGGATTTATTTGCATCGAGGCTTAAGAAAATAAACAATCATTTTTCTCTCCTTTTACCGATTTCTCCTTTGATTTGTGTATTGGTGGGATTTAAGAGAAAGTAGTCCAACAAGATACAAGTGAAAATACGAGAAATCTGTTTCACTGCAACGCATTTTATTTAATCCATAATACCTTAGTACATAATAATAAAAGTTTTGAAAATGTCCGATAAACCATATGAAACGCACCGGAAGCTAATTTAAACAGTACATTCTAATATCCGGATACCAGTCAATATATATTTCCCGAAATTAATAAACATTTTTGTTATATACTTTTAAATGAACTATTGAGAAATATTGTTGAAATAAAATACCTATTTTCATTTTCCGTATTTTCAGTGTAAAAATATATATATTTTTCAGTGCAGTAAAATGTATTTTTCTCTATTTTCACTGGTGTCTTGTTGGACGTCTTTCCTCTTACTTCAGCCAATACACAAACTTTAAGGGAAAAGCCTTTCAAATTGTCATCTCAAAAAATAGAAAAAAATGTATATGATGAACAGAAAATTCAAGTTTTTTCTCTATAAATACAGGATTTATTTTCACTTCGTGGTATCTCGCACTCTTGAAGTATTTTCATACCACTCGATGAAAACAAATCCTGTATTAATAGAAAAAACTTGAATGTTCTCCATATATTTAAATGAAGTTAATGACTTTACTCAAGACCAAATACAGTACTTTTCAAAGAATAACTTAAACACAAATTCATATAATATCTTAAAACAAATCGCAAAGTGTTTTAGAATAATTCTAAAAAACATGATTGTAATAGTTATAGTATATAAAAGGAGTTAGTTACGAGGATATAACACTGGCTGGGGCGGCATCAAGGGGTGTTTCTGCTTCCAAAAAAATGGCGAGGCAGTAAGGCCGAGACGAATTTTTTGCAGAAACAGTCCGAGATGTCGCCCAGTCAGTGTTATATCCTCGCAACTTACACGTTTCATATACTATAACTATTACAAATTACACTTTGCTATTCGTTAAAGAGCTTTTACATACTTGGTTGTAAATCATTATGACTTACCGATTGGCTATTCCATTCACTTACATTTAGTTATCGATTTATCGGTGTTTACAAATTTTTATATTGACAGACAGACAGACAGACATATACTTTTATTTATAATCAGGTTCTACAGTACATATACATGAGAGCAACATGATTTATTTACTTAGACAAATATCGAATATGTATACACATGGCAGTTTGCATGCAGATTATGGTATGAATATAAATTGTGGAAAAGGTATTATTATTATTATCAACAAAGGGGCGTTTATACAACAATTTACGTAGTACACATTCACAAGTGTGGCACAGAAAAGGTCAGTAGATGGGTGTTTTGAAGATCTCGTGCGACTTGTGGATGTGTACACGTGGGTTTATATAAATATGGAATTAAGTTAATAAATAAAGAAATGAACAGATTAACACATGAGTTGAAAAAGTTCACTTTCATTTGAGAGTCACTCACGATTTTCACGTTTTTCTCATGCTAAATTGATCTTACTAATCCACTCATGTAAACAATTATGTAAAGTATAAATTGTATCGTGTATTGTATTGTATTGTATTGTATTGTATTGTATATTTTGTTTTACATTGATTAATTGTTGTTTACATTAGTCAGCCATTCCAGAAAATTACGCGCAATGTGTATGTCTGTGTGTCTTTATGTGTGATTTCAACAAAAATGCACGAAAATGCAACTTTAATTTGTTTGATACAAACTTTGGCCTATTACTCAAAATTGCAGATCATTTTTATTGAACAGTTCAGATAATAGAGCTACACAGTACATCTATTTATGCATTTTCCCGTGTCGCTTGAATGGGTTACATCTCAACAGAATAGTTTACGAATAATTAAATTGCTTTCAACAAAAAGAGAAATATTTTAAACTTTGGCTGAAGAGTCCTTCTTGATTTTTCATCACATTAATAAATATATATTGAATATCATTTCGTTATTTTTAGGCGAGAGCGAAAACAGTTCAAAAGTCAATTAACTGCCATGACAAAAAAAAAATCTTACTTAACATACATACCGGTTGATATTCTATGTTTAAATAACGGATAGCTTGCCTTCTTCACAAAAACACATGCAGATGTTTCATCACTGTCGCAATGTTAATTACCAGGACGTTGTGTAAAACTTTATTTTCTGTCTGTCACGAATAAACGTTTATGTTGTTGTTGTTGACAGAGCAAAGATTAACTACATTAAAGTGAAATGGTCTACAATGGACACAGTTTCCAGAAGTTTTTTTTTCAAATACGGATAAAAACAATAGAAATGTATTATTTGCATATACTTATAAACTATTTCTTGAAGAAAAAGCATTGTTGATAGTGAGTTAGTGATTAAGTATGAACAAATATATAAAACTGATTGTTTTAGAACAAATTTATCATAACCTAAATATTAAAATGATCGTAATCAAAAGTTGTATCTCACAATGACCAACAGCCTCCATAATAATATTATTTTATTACATGCTTTTCGGTGGTTTATGTAGAAATATATCAGTGAAATAAAAACTGATAATTTCACTGTTTTAAACAGTGAAATTATCAAATTGAATATTTGAATATTTGAGCCCGTTACTTTGATTCAGTGAAATACAAGCGTTCACAGTACTGGAAACCAACTTAATGACGTGACGTCGTAAATGACGTCACGTTGTTTTATTATTAGGCGCCCTTTTCATTTTAGTACTGGGTTAAAATGTCTTTTTAAACGTTTCTTTGCATAAAATAAAAAGAAAATTTGTTTAGTTTAATGTAAGATCGAAATATATTTCACCTTGTGAACACCAAAAATTTATATTTCACTTGTGGCTGCGCCACTCGTGAAATATACCTTTTGGTGCTCACTCTGTGAAATATATTCCGATCTTACACTGAACTAAACAAATATCCTCTATATCTTCTTGTTTGTTATCATATATGATACTATCAACATATTAATTATTTATGGAATAAAGACAAATTCACTTTAGATATATCAACAGTTATCTTCAGATGATCAAATATTGAACAATTTATTATTCATAATGGATTATTTGATGAGTTTGTAGAATTTAATTTTCTCCCCTTTGTATAAATATCTATTTTCCTCAGGTGTCATGAACGCATTTTGTTTTGCAATTATCTTGGGTGTGGCAGATTAAATTTACCATCGAAGAGCGCTGTTTTAAGCAGGAATCAATATTTTTTCTTTTTCTTTTTTTTACTTTTCATTCTTTTACTTTTTTTCCAAAACAATCATTTCAGTATCATAAAACATTCACCTTTTACTAGTTTTTTTTGTGTGTAGACAAAATAAATTACTGATGAAATTAACTTTACAACTTGTGACTTCATCATCATTATTTTCACGTTTTCTTTTTAATTTTGTGACGATTGTTTTGCAATTAAATTCAACAAAAATAGTTTTTAAATAACATTATTAGATATGTATTAATGCTCTTATATGACATGCGCTGGAAAATGTAAATAATGATATAAATCAAGTATATGTCTGTTTAAAGAAATGAATCAAAATAATTTTCAAAAATTGAGTGATATGATAAATTCATTATTTTGCTTTTCTTTGGTTTTAATCGACTGTCAACTACAGTGGTTGATGAAGACAGTCACAAATAAAAAAAAAACGATTGACAGCATTCCTTAATTTAACGAAAATTAAATTTAAAAAAGGAAATACACGAAACTGACGATTCAGATGGTATATGAATGTGTAGATCTATCATTCTCATGTTTGTTCTGTTCTGTTTATTAAAAATGTTTTTTTTTTACTTTAAAATAAACCAAGCATCGAAATAAATCACTCATAATAATGCATGTTTAAGATTTTTTCTAATATTTATATGAAGAAAAAAATTTTTTTTCCCTAGAATGCTAAATAACCTTAAGTACATTATATAATAATCACAAATCAAAATGTGCATGTGGAAAAACATAGAACTAATAATCTAAGCGGAAATAAATCATGCTCATAAACCACTTTACCTTTTCTCACCTCCGACAGGCATTTTATCCTTTTAAAATAGTGTATGTAATCCTTTGATATAATTATATATATATATTTATATGATTTATTTTTTATTTTATCTCCTATTTATGGTGATACCAATCTAATATATAATTATAACACAGCCCAGTTTGTCAATCTCTGCCACTGTGTAACGGAAAAAGATAGAACAATCTGACAATTCCGAGAAAGGCAACGGTAATGACATTCTGTGGTTCCTGTAACTATATGTAGAACTAATTACGTATGTTTTGTAGCATTATTATCCATTAAATAATAACGACGGTAGATGTATCATGGCCTTTATCATAAAGAAAAAAAAACACGATTATTTAACAATTGTAAGTCGGATGTTTTTCGGGTGATCATAATGAGGATTGTATAGTTCTGGAAGTGATACACGCACCGGATAGTTCAGGGCGTGTAGGCCGGATAGCTCAGGGCGTGTAGGCCGGATAGTTCAGGGCGTGTAGGCCGGATAGTTCAGGCAGTGAAGATCTGATAGTTCAGAGTGTGAGTGTCGGATAGAATAGTCCATGGAGTGATGATCGGATCGTTAAGGAAGTGAGGGTGGTCGGGTAATTTAAGGAGTGTGGGTAATGGACAGTTCAGGTAGTAAGAGTGAATATCAAATAGTTCAGGGTGTGAGATATATTATTATTAAAGGAGTGAGGATCTTTGGATGGAGTGATGATGAAATGATGTATCTAATGAGGTTTTATAGGTGGTATAACACGGTTCACGTGAGGATCGGATAGTTTACCTAGTGTGGATCGAGTCAGGAATTTAACAACTGGGAAGCTAAGGTTTGTCTAGTAAGGATCGAGTTAATTTAAGAGTTTTAGGACCAAGATGAGAAAAGTTTCATTTTGTATACATGTATATCAGTTAGTTAGAGTGTAATGAATTTCTGCATTATTGTCAAAATAAAAATTACATAAAGAGTCACAATCATTACGTTTTGTATTTACAGGGTTTCATGCAGTGATTTCCATTACATACCATATAATGTTCTAGTTACATCAACATCTCATCGTCATTTTACCTATATAAGTATGACATTGTTAAGTAGCAAGCTGCCTTCCCCTTCACAGTTCTTTTAATGTTCTAGAGAGCTTTTTTACAGGAAACAATGATAGTTTTCTGATAGCCTGATTTTCGTTGTATTTCAATTGCGAAATTTTCATATAGGCATCAATTAAGTAAATTAATATTTCATCAGAAATTATCAGTCAATCTGTATTTATGTCGATACCAAACGATCAATACAAATCTATTCATTTATCATGAAGTTCGTTTCCAAGGTGACGTAAAGTAATGAACTTTTTTATTGTCAACTAAAATCATCTATAGAGGTAGTTAATATTCCCTGCGGATTTTTAGTTTTCAAGCGTCAATATCAATGGTTTAATTTGGTCATATACATTGTGTATTTATATATTTGAACTAGAAGACTAGCTGTGACTCGCAAAAATACTTTTTAATTTCTACAGGACCGAAAACATTTGATTAATAAAAATATGCTTTTATGTAACTGTACAAGTTTGGTATTTTTAGTAGATGTATAGTTAATTTCCGGAAGTATTATGTTTCACAATCGTTACACATGTGAAATATATGTTGTTGTTTAATAAACTACTGCATTTGGGGAGATCGAATATTTAGACAAAACTTAAAATTTTCAGCAACGAAATATACCTCAAATATACACTGTATCGACATGTCATGTACGTAAATTAACCAAATGGCGTCAACGCAGAATATATTTCAACATAGTTCATTTAATTCTAAATCCATATGGAGGGGAAAACAGAAAAAAACGCCGTGTCTTTCGTACAATAGTGTTAAATTTCCTACTGCATATCTGAACTTGAGCTTATCTTACTGTGTATCTAAACTTGAGCTTATCTTTGTATGTAGATGAACTTGGGCTTATCGTACTGTGTATCTGAACTTGACCTCATCTTACTGTGCATCTGAACCTGAGTTTATCTTATCTTTGTATGTATCTGAACTTGAGCTTATCTTTGTATGTATCCTAACTTGAGCCTATTTTACTGTGTATCTGAACTTAAGCTTATATTACTCTGTATCTAAACTTGAGTTAATTTTACTGTGTATCTGAACTTGAGCTTATCATATAGTGTGTATCTAAACTTGAACTTATCATACTGTGTATCTGAACTTGAGCCTATCTTTCTGTGTATATCAACTTGAGCTTATCTTTCTGTGTATATAAACTTTGGCTCATCTTACTGTGTATCTAAACTGGAGCTTATCTTAATGTGTATCTAAACTTGAACTCATGTTACTTTGTATCTGAACTTGAGCTTATCCTACTGTGTATCTAAACTTGAGCTGATCTTACTGTGTATCTAAACTTGAGCTTATCCTACTGTGTATCTAAACTTGAGCCTATCTTTCTGTGTATATTAACTTGAGCTTATCTTTCTGTGTATCTAAACTTGAATCTTTCTGTGTATCTAAACTTTGGCTCATCTTACTGTGTATCTAAACTGGAGCTTATCTTAATGTGTATCTAAACTTGAACTCATGTTACTTTGTATCTGAACTTGAGCTTATCCTACTGTGTATCTAAACTTTAGCTTATCTTACAGTGTATCTAAACTTGAGCATATGAACTGGAACCGTGCAATATGTGAAACACACAGTATCTCACTGTGCATGTAAACTTGAGCTTATCTTAAGGTGTATGTAAACTTGAGCTTATCTTACTGTGTATCTGAACTTGAGCTTATCTTACTGTGTATCTGAACTCGAGCTTATTTTACTGTGTATCTGAACTTAACTTATCATACTCTGTATCTAAACTTAAGCTTATCTTACTGTGTATGTAAATTTGAGCTTATCTTACTGCGTATCTTAACTTGAGCTTATCTTACTGTGTATATAAACTTGAGCCTACAATAGTGTGTATCTTAACTTGAGCATATCTTACTGTGTGTCTGAACTTGAGCATATCTTACTGTGTATCTGAACTTGAGCTTATCTTACTGTGTATCTAAACTTGAGCATATTGTACTGTGTATCTAAACTTGAGCTTATCATAGTGTGTGTCTGAACTTGAGCATATCATACTGTGTATCTAGACTTGAGCTTATCTTACTGTGTATGTAAATATGAGCTTATCTTACTGTGTATTTATTCTTGAGCTTATCTTACTGTGTATGTAAATATGAGCTTATCTTACTATGTATTTATTCTTGAGCTTATCTTACTGTGTATCTGAACTTGAGCTTATCTTACTGTGTGTCTGAACTTGTGCTTACCTTACTGTGTATCTGAACTGGAACTGTGCAATATGTGAAACACACAGTATTTTCCTTACCCTATATAGCGTAAACTTTTAATATGTTATTTCGATACATCATCTGGCAAACAATACAATGTAATTGTTTCTTAATAGATATTTTCCTTGTAAATATGACACTTCTTATGTATAAATGGTGTTTCCTGCTGGTATCTTTATAGCAATGAAAATTAGAATTCAAACAGAGTTGTTTAATCATACTTCAAATAAAATCTTTATATCTACAGACGGGTAATTTCAACATTTAAATGCACTTATTGTAGTTCATGGCTCTGCTCTATTGTGAAGGGTAGTAAGAAGAAATATTACTATTGTTTTGCTATTGTCAATAACCAGCTTTTTGCCTTCTAACACAATGTTACTAAGAAAATGCTAGGTCAATTACAATTCGAGATAACAAGTTATCAGTCACACAGACTATTTAAATCATATGTAGCAACTTCCAACTGTTGGCCCACGATTTATGCATAATAAACAGTCACCTGGGTTAATTCTAACGCGTTTTGACAGATTCCTTTCTGGAAACAATTGAATGTCTCTGGCAAGAGTCGAATACTGACAGACAACAGTAAGTGAATCAAAGTCAGCATCTCTAAACACTTAGAAGGTATCCAATAACATACTTAACTAATACTCAGAATAATTGTACTGGACAATGTTTTAACCTTTAATAAAATAAGATAAAACTGCCAACATGTTAAAGTATAATTTATTTCACAAAAAAAGATAAATATCTATCACAGACAAATAAAAGTAATAATGTAAAACTAGTAATGGTTAGCAAATGAGCAGCACATGCAAAAATGTACAATATAAACTGACAACATTCCTGTGCTAGAAACTTTTTTTTAACCAAACCTACAGCTGACAGAAGTATTTTCAGATCTAAAATTGTAGCAGTGTATTCATGGGTATAACCCGAGGTTAACTGAAACAAAATATCAAAAACAATTTATAATAACATTATAATGACATTATATTGACAAAGGATCATGATGCTACATACCGGTAGATTAATCATACCTTTCTAAGTTAAATTCATTATTGACATATCCCCCCTGTCTAATATTCTTCTAGTCAGTCTCATTATTGACATATCCCCCCTGTCTAATATTCTTCTAGTCAGTCTCATTATTGACATATCCCCCCATGTCTAATATTCTTCTAGTCAGTCTCATTATTGACATATCCCCCCCTGTCTAATATTCTTCTAGTCAGTCTCATTATTGACATATCCCCCCTGTCTAATATTCTTCTAGTCAGTCTCATTATTGACATATCCCCCCTGTCTAATATTCTTCTAGTCAGTCTCATTATTGACATATCCCCCCTGTCTAATATTCTTCTAGTCAGTCATGTTATTGACATATCCCCCCCTGTCTAATATTCTTCTAGTCAGTCTCATTATTGACATATCCCCCCTGTCTAATATTCTTCTAGTCAGTCATGTTATATATATACTAAAATTTGTCTACAAAAATAAAGACTTAGAGATCTATAAAGTAGAAAACTTCTGGTTTACAAGTTCTATGTTTGAAGTATTAATTTTGAATTGTTCACACAGAGTTGTGAGAATTACATGCTATTTGATCTAGATAGAATTAGAATGGACGGAAATCAGGATTTTGCTATTGCATTTTCTAACTGACTAACTGAAATATGTATTTATAAAAGCTAACAATATATCTTGAATGATAATGAATACTTTTTTTAAAAATGTACATAAACATAAATAATTGTCACTTAAAGCAAAAAGCAAACATTTAAATTAAAACATAAATAATTTACAAAAAAATAATTTACTATGACAAAAAGCATCACCAATTTATACCTGAATTTGCCCTCTCCTGTAAAATGTTATCATTATGCCTTACTCTGACTGTATTTATGAAATGAACTTGCCCTGGCTTGGATTTGGAACTGTCCATTTGTGAATTCAGGGGTGTTAAATACAAATATATCAATCTTGAGCTTAGTTAACAATTTAGAACCTGGTTGGATGGCAACAATGTAAAATGTGGGTCTGACATAGATTTATTACCACTATGGCTAACACATTAACGTTTAACTTGATATTATATAATAAATAAAAGGAACTCCACTGCAAATGGCCTAAAAGGATCCCCAATGAGGGCAATGGCCTAAAAGAAGCTCCACTGGACAATGTTCTATTTTGGCCAGTCATCATATTTGAAATCAGAACAACTAAATGTAGTGTAGACAATGTAGTGTAGACTACAAGTTAATGGTACTGTTTGGTCTTTGCTGATGTAACATCAGACTGTGTATGTCAGTTAGTAGTTAGTAGGTGAAAACTTTATATACATTAATCAATAAAAGATAAAGCTTAATGTTATCAATAACAAAACAAAATACACAGTGTATACAAATAAAATAACTAAATGGTACTAGTAATTACCTAATGACTGATAAACATACAGTTAGATTATACTAATACAAACAGAATTACTATGCACAAGATGAAAACAGCCATTTACAAACATAATTAACATTTATAAATCTTTAATTTTCCATTAAAAAAATGACAATGAAAATCTTTATTCATTACAGAGTAAACAATAATGAAATGACTATGTCCATACATGTAACATTAAAAACAAAAATGTCACATAAAGGTCAATTAAAACACCGACTGCTTCTTGATCTAGAATAAATGTACAATTTGGAGCATGGATGTAGCACCTTCATTTCATATTTTAGCCTGAACTTTTCAATTACGTAGAATTTTTTACAGACAACCTAACATTAAAATGATAAAATATTGTACACAAAATTAATGTCATCTTTCATATCAAAAAAAAAAATAGCTGGGTGTGTAACAAGAGTTTTAAACTAAGAATTATATAAAAATTATATCATTAATTCATTCTTAAAATAAAAATCTTAAAAATGCAATGCACACCAAACATAAAGCTTTAAAGACTTGAATAAAAAAGCAAAACCTGACAAGAATAAATATGTTCTGTTTTTCTTTTGTCTTTTTTCTTCTTCTTCAATACTCCATTAATTCATTTGAAATTTCCATAGAATGACGTTTTAAATTGATACACAAACCCTAGAATGTTTCTCATTTTTTTCTATTTTCATACGGAAAATAAAACCTGGAAACATAGATGCATTAAATCATAGGAAATATTTAATCACGTAGTTAAACTAACAATACTCTTTCACCTGAACATTTTCTTCTGATATTTCAGAGATAAATTGCTCATTAAAATTAATCTACAGTAAAAACAGGTCTTACGTTTCAATCTTAAAACAATAAATAAAACAATAAAACATGAGAAATTGAAGAAAGGAAACTTGATCAAAGTAAGGTACATGTACATTTATTCTGTGATATAAGTAAGCTAAAATTCTATATTTACTTTGAAACACTGCCTCAATTCATAAAATAAATTGTGACAAGTTGTTATTTAAAACAAGCCTTTATCTGAGTGAGAATTATGGAGGATTTCTTAAATAAATGAAAAAACCAAACCAAATAAACATTAACTTCCAGCCTATTATTTGAGTTAATGTTAACATTTTGGAGAAGTATCTCTAGACACTTGCAGAAATCATGATCACAAAATTGATAAATATCGTTTTTTTCTCCAATTCTTACATTTTTCATTCATTATAGTATATAAATTGGTGTAGAGAAGAATTAGACATTTTAAAGTTCATTCTGTTGGGTGAAAATGCGAGATTTTAGCATTCAATCAGTCAAGTACCTTGCCCGGTATATACTGGAATACAGTATTTAGTGCTCCAAACCTTTTTTTAAAGTCTCACTCATGTACATCTGGATATAGATAAAACTGATAGGAAGAAATGTAGAAATTTATATATCAAAACTGAAGTCAATTTAAATTGTTTCAGCATTGACATTCTGATCAAAGGGATCATACATACCGTTGAGACATTAGCAAATTAATACAAAATATATATATACTTCATTAAATCCAAATGAAATATTTGACTTTATAAAATCACAAATCAAACAGTAACATTTTGTGTTGCCATGGAGACAATCAGATAAAAGTTTATGTCTTATAAGAAAATGTGGAGAAAAAGAGAAAATAATACAATACATGACAATGCCTTAAATCCTTACAATATACATGTATATACATTAACAGTAGACTAAAAAGTCTTTATTAGCGATTTCATTGAAACGATATTAAATTAAATGCATAAAAAATAAATTCACAAATAAATTCAAGACATCACATTAAGGCACAACTGTCTCTGCAAGGATATAGTGCTTTAAAATGATTCAATTTATTTCATGTATTTCTATAATTCACCATTATAAGAGGTTATTACTGGTACTCTAAATAAAAAAGTTTGTACATAGTTTTCTTGACAAGAAAAACAAAGTTGTATGTTAACAACGTTTTTTAATCTATGAACTATTTGTATATTTTCTGTAGCTAAATGATACACCTCTATGAACATATTAAAATAAATAAATTTTGCTGTCATGAAAGTTTGTCATTATCTGTATTTCTCCGGGTTCCAGGCAGATTTTGGTCTTGTCTTTGTTCGTCTTCTTGGTTTTCTCTCTGATGCCGGCCGTGGTATATGTATAGGTTGCCATGGCATCGGATTGTAGAATGTTGGTACTGGATAGGCACAGGTGTCATGGTAACCTGTATAAATACAATAATATATCATTCTATATTGTATTGTAAACTAATGACTTTTAGACAAGGAATATATTGTGACACTTTAAAAGTAAGAAATATGACCTCAAGGTATCACGTGAGAGCAAGTAGAAGTCAATAATTGTTTCATATAAATCATAAAATCTTATTCCAGAGACACACGTTTGCTAAATGAAGCGCTGATAAACATTCTCTTCTGTTTTAAGATCTTTCATTTCAAAAGGAAAAACATGAAAATGGCATAATGAAACCACACAGTGTTTATTGTATAAAAAATGATAGGTAATATTATATCCTTTGAGAGGCCCACACTTTTTCAAGCATTATCATAGAGGCCCCAATCTTCAAAATTTCAAGCTCAAGTGCAGTCTGTCAGTTTAAAGTTCAACCCCCCATAAAAAATGCGAATTAGGTATTATTGCATTTCCAGCTCTACTGGTAGAGGAAGGACTCAGGTGCCCCTCCCTGCATTATTTCAGGCAGGCACATAAGTAGCACCGCAGACAATTCAAAGCAGAACAATTTAAGTCATAAAAATTAAAAACAATATGTACCATCACACATGTAACAATTGAGGCAGAATTTTGACCACAAATGCATCGAGTATGTGACCGTGTCTTCAATTAAAGCAAATTATCAAATTATTGCATAATTAACATTTTTGATCCAATATATTAATAATGCTGTAATTTTGGTGAAAAAAAATCCCAGTCATTTCCTGGAATTTCCAATATCATTAGAAAAGCATTATTTATACTCCATGAACTTGAAACATTATATACATGTATTATCTAGCCTATATAGCATATGTTATGATTGCATTTAAAACATTTATTTCAAGTTGATCCAGCTTGTATTCAACAGATGATTTAGACTAAACCGTCCTGGTTTCCATTAAATTGAGATGAGATAATTGATGTTCCAGTTTACCAAGCTTAAACAGTGGTTGTTCAACCTGACATAATTTTGTCTGTATTTGATTAACACATACTTTCCAGAAAGAAGGGTATTTAAATATTCATCATAACACCATAATGGGTATAAAATTGAGTGAAATAATGAGAAATAAACTGAAAATTATTGAATTTTTCAATCTTGTAAAATACAATTGAATATACAATTTAATTTACAATTTAATAACAAATTTAACTTAAATGAAAGGTATATTATATATCTTTATCATGTCTGATAGCTTTGATATAATATGACAAAGCTCTTATTGTAACATTACATCAATGAATAATTCATAGAGTACAATTAATTATCTATAAGGGAGATTATCTTCAATATTATTCATTTATGAAGTATAAAGCCTATACAGAGTATTAAGCCTATACCACAGGTGGCAGTATCAGTGTTTGGACACCCTACCCCTATCTGCCCCTGGACCCCTACTACAACCCTTAAAAAAAATAATTCAACACTCTTAGGCTTACTATAAGGTACCAATTTTTTAATACAAAACCACCGATGAAATTATTTCAAAAAAAAATTTCCACTATCAAAATTATAGTTATAGATAATAACTATAATTTTGATAGTGGACAAATTTTTTTTTTAAATAATTTCATCGGTGGTTTTGTATTTGGTACCTTATAGTAAGCCTAAAAGTGTTGAACTATTTTTTTAAGGGTTGTAGTAGGGGTCCAGGGGCAGATAGGGGTGGGGTGTCTAAACACTGATACTGCCACCCGTGGCCTATACAGTATAAAGCCTTACAATAATAGCTTCAGGTTCAAATTTCTCTAAAGAGATAATAATTATGATATAATGTTTGTCTTTCTCTTTAGTTCATGCATAATATTTTTTTCTTTTTTCTTTCATTTTCAGATTTTTCATACTTGATTTTTCACATCTTTTATACTGTGCAACAAATACAAACGAATCATCACTAACTCAATATTTAAACTTTAATTATTGGATCATTATAAAACTATGGTATAAAACTTCAAAATAATAGCTGAAGGTCAATAGTTTTTTTTGTTTGTTTTTTTTTCAAAAAAATATGGTTATGTGATTGTCTTATCTTTTTAGATTTGCGTAGATCTATTTCTATTTTCTTTTCTTAATTTCTTTTAATTCAATTTCTTTTTATCATTTAAATATTCAACTGTGCAACGCCAGCCAAACATTATAATCACTAACTCTTAATATCTAAATTTTATTTTTGAAGCATTTTATTAAAACCATTTAAATCTATTATTGGTGAATAATGAATAAACAGCAAAACTTTGTCACTACAATTAAATTAGCTGATCCCATGTTATTTCTCTTCAAGTTTCGACCCAACATGTCTAGTCAAATGCAGAAATAAAGATAAATATTTGATATTCAATTCAGGCCTTCACGCTTCACTAATGTCCTTTTCAATCGACTACCGTACAATGGCTACCTGGTTGCTAGGATAAATAAATCCCTGGTTACAATGAAAGTCAATTTGTGTGTGTGATCGGGAAACTAAAATCTTTTTGTTTTATATCGAAATTTGAGTGGAAATATAACACCAATTGCTGTACAAAAGGTTGTTATTTGATCCTGACATTAAAACAAAAGGTAAAGTTACTTCTTATTCTTCACAAAGCTTTAAATCAGCTTGTAAATCAGGGGTTTATGTAGCATTAACCTGCTTAAGATAAGCTTCACCTGGCTGTAATATATACCTGATTTATATAGTGATTACCAGCTTAAATTAATTTAAATCTAGTTTGTTAATTGATTTAAGATTTAAAGCTTTTGTGATCAAGGCTTCTTACCATTGTTAACTTCTTAAATCAAATCAAAGCTTGTATTGTTTTTTAATCAATTTTAATTGCTTCTTGCAGAGTTCATGTTTTGACATGAAAATTGGCAAATATTTTTTTTTTTTTGGAATTTCTTTTATTTTTTTTTTTACACATTTTTGAAGAATTTTTAGCTTTTTAACATTTATTTTTTCCATAATTATAGAAAAGAAAATATTTATATTCAGATTGTAAGGTTGAGACATGAAAAGTTTTGGGAGGGAATTTTTGTTACATTTTACATCAAGAAAAAAAAATATGAATATCAAAAACTAAGTTCATATTTTTCTATGTATTTGGCATAAAGCTTGGTGAATAACATACTTCATAATGATTTCTTGACACTTTCAAATTATAACTGACAAAAATAAATAAATCAAAACACAAAAGTTCCTTAAAGATTTCCTTTAATAGCTCTATCAAGATTTAATGACTTTAATTTTTTTTTAACATCTTTTTCAATAAACAAAACTTCACCTATTATCAGTATAGAGCCTGGTCAGACTGTACAAAATGTGCAGGCTGGCCTGGCTATATACTGGTGGCAAGGGTTAATCACTTTCAGTCCTAACAGGTTATGAGTTTCTTGCCTTTTTAAAATCCAAACATCTCTATTTTCTTTTGTTCTTATCAGCAATACAAAAATGGAATCCTCCAAAATCTTCCTGGCTCTTTGTCAAAACAATGAAGAAGATGCTATAAAGACAATAGAAGAAGATGATAATGATGATGACTTTAAAGTTCGAGATGAAAGTGGCAGAACTCTTCTCCACAATGCTGTTCTGAAGATGAAATCTGTCAATGTTTTCAAGTCTCTACTAAAGAAGGTAGACTTCAGTGTAAAAGATGAGAATGGCGATACAGCAATTGACCTTGTTTTTGAAGATGAAGACTTTCCCGAGGAGAGTGAACACGTTTTTCGGGATTTTGTCAGAGAGAAAATCATGGGAAGCAAGAAAGTTGACCTTGAGGATCTGACTCTGAAAGGTTGGCTGGATATTTGGCTATCAGATGGTGATGACATTGATGATGATAAAGATGAAGTTAAAGAGTTTATGAAAGAGCTTCCTGATACCAAGGTAAAACTATTTTATCCTGCAATAACTTTCCCAATTAACATATCAAATACCAGCACTTATGGAAACTTCAATAATCCTACAGGATAAAGAGGATATTAATTTTGTTTGTTTTTATATAATACGCGGATGTTTCAAGTATTCAATGAAACATTGACTGGTGATAATCATTATTTTCAAGAAAAGTGATATTTAAATAACATCTCACAGATATAATACAAAATCAATAATCTTAAGTCTACCTATCCAAAACCTTTTAATAGACTTGCAGCTCAATTATAATATCAACTTAAGCTAATTTATATAGAGAAATATAATACAATCATGTAAACTCAGGTATTTCAATAAATGCATTTTTAATGTGGAAATTATATCAAATCATTATTTTTATCTTTAAACTTAAAGGCAAAGGTAGAAAATCTTCATAAAGCTGTTGAGGAGAGCAAATGGGATGATGTTAGAGAGCTTCTGGAAGATAAAAAATTGATCAAAGCAGCTGATAGAACTGGACTTCCAGTTCTCCATAAGGCCATAATACTTGGTGAAGCTGATATTGCTGAGAAAATTGCCAAAGAATTTATTGAAGCACTAACAGTTACAGATCATGTAAGTGACACTCCTGATTTACCTCTTTGTTTACTTCATTTAATAAATAGACAATTAAAAGGGCTATAAACCTTATTAAAGGGAGATAATGAAATAGAATAATTCAAACAAATTTTCTGGGAAAAAAGGTCCAAACATAATAAATATCATCCAAAACATACATTTACAGTTAATCATAAGGAGAATAAAATTCTGCATAATTTTGGTCTGGTAAGTAAAACAATTTTTAAATATGAATAATTTTCCTCAATTGAAGTAACTGAGATAATAATTCAAACTTCTATATAAACAGATGGATCGGACACCACTACATTATGCAGCTGGACTTAGAGATGCTGGACACCTTTATAAAGTTCTAACAGACGCTGGTGCTCAAGATGACGTCAAAGATATTGTGAGTATTTATAGAAAATAAAAATTATCTATGCCCACTAAAATTGTTTTTATTTGTTTTGAAAGTATATAGGAAAGTTAGCAAACTAATAGGAAAATAAACTCAAGTTGCAAAAAAACAACAACAATATTTAGTACTCATAATTATGTTCAAACACTGGTCTTTATAAAATTATGAAAATACATTGTAAATCAAACATGTTATTTTATCATGGAACAATAGACGTAAGCATTTTTCTAGTGTTTACTTAAAAGATATAATAATGCAGTTTACTTTGAAAATAAACAATGACCAGAGTCCAAACAATATACAGACAGTACAATAATAAATATGTTATTAATATTTTATTAGAATGGTAAAACACCCAAGGACATCTATGAGGACCCAGACTTATTACCTGGTGAGAAAGTAGTGGAGAAAGTAAAAGAAAAGCTCAGGAAACCAGTGTTAACATCAAAGAAAAAGAAACAAGAAGTATCTCAAGAGGAAAGCACTCAGCAAGAAGAAAGTTCCCAAACAAAAGCAGATTCGACAGAAGAGCAAGCTGATGAAAAATCAACATCTCCTCCACCCCGCTCCTCCCCAATTCTTCAAAAACCGAAAGAAGATCCAAATAAACCAGTCCAGATGTACATTTCACCAGATGTCCGCCCAAACCCACCACCTACAACAGTGGATGGCAGATATGTAGCTGATCATCTGGGTCATGCATTGACAATGGCTTTATCTGAGATATCAGAACGAAGACCTTGGGATCCCATAGAGTATCTCGCACATTGGTTATACAAATACCAGGAAAATGCAAACTACAACAAAAGGGTAAATCAACATTTCTATAATGCTGTTTGTCTCTTAAATTTCTAAAACTAATTTAAAGAAATAGTCAAATACTGTATGTTGAATGAAGAGGTTAGTTGCAAAATCATGAGCTTATATTTAGTTTTCATTAATATGCTCTATTCAAACTTTTCAACATCATCTCCTTTTCATTTCAAAATGATCTTTCTATCAAAATGTTTTCACTTTTTAACATTCTCAAGTCTTTTGGTCGCACATATTAATCATTCTACATAAAACGTGGCTATCTTGCACAAAACACAAATTACGTTCTCACTCCTAACACATATAACTTGACAAAAACATAAACAATATCAAAAGCCATTTTAACAGAATCACCACATTCTATTCATACATATAATTTCAGCAACAAGATTTATTAAATGAGATAAGAGAAGAGGAAGCAGCCAAGAAACGAGAACTGGAGATTAAAGAGAAGAGGAAAATAGAGCTAGAGAGGTTGAAGGAAGAGGAGAGAAGAAAACAAGAGGCCATGGAGGAGGAGAGGAAGAGGAAAGAGCAAGAAGAACTTCAGAGAAAGTAAGATAATAATAACTCCTTATCTGCCTGAATGTACACGCCCAACTTTCACTTTAAAATAGTCCATTATCATATAAAGATGTTATTAGGAAATCTGGTAGCTATTTAATGGACATACACAGCTTAATAAACAAAGTCTATCCCTGACCTTTGTGAAGATTTCTTAAAACAAACAGACTAATTTTTTTAATAGCCTTAATACAGAACATAATATTACTTCTTTTTTTTCAATTAATGAGAAAAATAAATATCAATTACATATCAATTAAATTATTCAGGGCAAAAGAAGCTGCCTTGTCTCAGCAACCTGGTCTGGAGACTGTCATGGAAGATAAAGAAGAAGATGAAACTCCTAAAGAGAAATCACACAAAGATGAGAACGGACAGACAGAACTACACAAGCTGGCAGCCCAGCAATCAGCTGACCTGACCACTTTGATGTCTATGGGATACAGCCCGGCGGATAGAGATGTCAATAATAAAACACCAAGAGATATAGCTGTTGACAGTAACATTAGAGAAAATGTTGAAGCAATAGGTACGTAAAATGTCTTTTTATTTCATATCGTATTGTAATAAGAAGGAAATAACATGGCCAGCAGGATAATGTTTCCACCTAACTAAAGTACAAAACATACAATTTTATCTTATCTTACACTACACTCATGTTCTTATCCTTGATTTGAAAAAATATATTCAAAATTGGAATTCTCTTGAATTATATGTAACTGCTGATTTTAAACATGTTTTTTTCTTCCCAAAATTCTGAATGAAATTGGTATATTCATCATTAAAATACATGTACTGGTAGTAACAAATGCCTCTAGCTTAGCTACATTCAACTTGATCACAAATATGTATGCCATTTTGCTAATAAATTTCCTTTTCTATAAATCTCCCAGGATTTCCATCAATCATCACAAATGTTTCCCTTGTAACACACAATTATAATTAGCACAAATTATCTGTATTATTTATTATGACCTGAATATTGAGCAATCATAAACAGGAAATTGGTAAATGTCACAGAGGAATTCATGAATAAGTCATCATTACATTATTATGTTCTAATTGCCAACAAAGTCAATATCAAGGGCGTCCCAGGCCAAGTGAAAAAAAGGTCGATGACTTTAAAGTACTTGCCCCTATCTGCTGCGGGTTTGTCTGTTGCAGCTTTAAATTCCAACAGGGACTTTGGAGGAAGCTATCCAGCTAGCTTACATAACATCGGTGGTACTTCCAAAAAATATCAATATCAGAACATTTCACTTTTTATGTCCGATTCTAAAACTGATTCTACTTGATTTCCTATATTTATCTTATTACATCAATTTTTTTTTATTTCAACAATACATTATTCATGTTTATACATGTAAAAAATATTTAAACATATAACATTCTAATTATTTTTAGGTGTCGGCATAACTATTTAACGATATTACATAATTATTATCATCTTTCAAACCATAGCAAATTATCAACACTTTGTAACATCTTATACCTTACAATTTACAGATAAGTATGTACAGAAACTGGTAGAGATGGAAGAGTTTGATAAGCTACAAGATCTGTTACTGGAAGGTTATGACAAGATTGATGTCGTTCTTGACAAACTTAAAGAACAGACAACAAGTTTACCTGAAGAAACTCAAACTTTCCTAAAGGAATTACCAGATCTCCAGGTTCAACATTTTATATTTACTGTCTATTTCTATGCACTCTACAATACTAATCTAATAATGTGTCATATACAAAACATGTTTTGTTGATCAAAAATCTCATTAATTATATACCTACAGCTTTAAATTTAAGTTTTGATAAATACACGTACAATGTAAATATATTATAACCAAGAATCATCAAGACAAAATGGTTGTGATTGAAGCTCACAAAGAATTAAGAAAAATTTATTTAGCAAGAAAAGAGTATTAATTTTGATGACAATATTTACAAATAAATAACATAAATGCTTCTCCTCCACAGGAAAGAATTGGTGCAGTTTTTAAAGCAGTACAAACAGAGGGTATCAGAGATCTAAATCAAGCTTTAGAGAGGAAGAAACTAGCTGTAGCCAAAGACGAGTACGGTCGTTCACCACTACATATAGCCGTCCTAGTGGGACACAAAGATGCTGTGGAACATTTAACAAGCAATTTTCCTGCTGCCATGAAATGTAAAGATAATGTAAGTAAAACAAACAACCTGAATACAAATTTCTACATAATCTTTTAATGGATTTAAGTTTTAACTTTTAGTGTAAGTGAAAGTAAATATAAGTTAACGCCTCTATAATAAATTGTATAGCCTTAATGTTTGCAATATAGTTAATATTCCATCAGATGAATGCATACACTTTAAAAAGTTTATATAATCTAAAAAATTTAAAAACAATATCAAATATTTCATCAATAAGTCATGTTTTATCTTCATTATAAACACAGGATATAAAACCTTTGTTTATTTTTTGTATTCTCCTTTCATAAAGCTTTAACTTAATTATGTTTATTTTACTATACTATATTGTTTATTATAGTTGGACAGAACACCTCTACATTACGCTATGGCAGTCTCAGAAGAGATGGTATCACTTCTACAAAAACATGGAGCAGACACCCTGGCTTTAGATGTTGTAAGTTTTACACACTGACCTTGATATGTTAATATATTAGATCAACAGTTAATACACTTACAATGATTAAAGACCTAGATGTTCACCATTTTGCAGTCAGACTGGCTTGCATACTTGTATAATCAAAGTAGGCTCTTCACAAAAAAAAACTACCTTGTCAATCATAACAATGGATAGGTCTTGATTTATTTTTGCAAATTCAGCAGTGTATTAAGTTTAATATAGGAATTTCTAGCAAAAAGTTTCGCATCATAATATTGGAAACTAGTTTATACCTATCATAAATATTTGTATTATTTTCTCTACAGAAACAAAGATCACCTTCATATTATAAAGAACATTCAGATGAGATAACTTCAATGAGGGGATCTCTGACTTCAATTTTCACTGGTACCCAAGAGCAAACACAAGATGAAACCAGTCAACAGGAAGCTACTGGGCAGGATACCAGTCAACAGGAAGCTGTTGAACAAAGTGAAGGACAACAGGAAATGGGTCAGCAACAAGAATGAGCTGCTTTTTCTTGACCTCTACTGTTAACTTTCAGACAATTGAAGCTCAAAATTACATAGTTTAAAAAAAAACACTAACTGTGAACTGGACAACCATTCATTAATACATGAGGCAAATATATAAAAAATAAATAAGTGCCAATTTATCATTAACAATTATCTTTGGAGAAATTTGTCCATTAAATTCCTTCTGTGCTAAAAATCTACGCAATGTGTACAAATTCTTACTTTTATATATTTACCATGTACCTATTTAGATTTACAGACTATATTTTGTTTGCTTTTGATATTTTTGAAGAGAATGATATTTATAATAATGTGATATATTATATGTTTTATATGTTTTAGTTTTATTAGCAATTTTCTTTTTAATAGATTTTTAAATTTCTACAAACATTTTCTATGAAAATAAAACAAAAAACTCAACTGTGTTGAAATAGTTATAATTATTTCAGGCATGCGGACAAACACTTGCCAAGCCTTATTTACAGAAAATGACCCAAGATTGTTTATAAAATACTAAACAAATTACTGTGTTCAATTAATCCAGCAAAATAATCTGAGTAAAAATGCTTAAAGTAGTGTACTTGGTTTAATAGCTTAAATGTCACAATAATACATATACTATTTATCAATGGAATTTGTGTCAAGTTACTGGCAGAAACTGTTTTACACTCATGTCAACATTTAATCTGACATTAACTAGTATATCTAGCATGAATGAAAACTTCTTGTTTATATGAATGACACATTATTTATTAGGCTGTCGGGGAGATTGGAACAATACTATTTTCAGATATTAATCTTTTCATTATATAGCCAACAGAACTAAGATGACATTTCCTTTTTTCCTAAATTTTTAAATTCTAAAATGTTATTATATTATTAAGATCTCAATTGAATTCTATACATTTACAATATCAAATTGTAATGTTTTTCATGGGAACAGTTAATATCTTTTTCATGTAAGTTGGACTTATTTTCTTGTGTTACTTATTCAAGTCAATTTATGAGCTAAGTTCTTCAAATAATGTTACAATTATTTTTACTGTAATAATCCATCAAATTTGCAGTCAATGCCAACAAAACAGGAGCTGTCAAAGGTAGATGATAGTAAAATAAAAGCCAAACAGACATTTTTAAGGTATACAAAGGGGAATAATTCAGTAAGTCTATGCTAGAGATAGGAATCTTATTCCTTGACCTATAATTATAAATCTGAAAACATCAGTAAAGATGAATTTCAAGAAATACTTCACCCTCACTTCTTTTTTATGACATTAAGGCCATCTTTATAAAAGTGTTTGTTTGCAGTATTTGTTTGTTTGCAGTAATGCGACCGACTCAATTTGACACAACTCAAATTTTTATGCTCCCCGAAAAATTTTGGGGGAGCATATAGTCGCCACCTTGTCCGTCCGTCCGTCTTTCTGTCCGTCTGCCCCTTTTCTTGTGCGGGACATAACCTTGAAACAACAAGAGGTATCAACATGAAACTTTGTAGGTAGATAGATCTCATTTAGTAGGTGTACAGTGGACAAGAACTGTTACTCTGCCTAGCCTAATTTTTGAATTATTCCCCTTTGTTTATTTTTACACTTTGAACTTTGTCAGGGACATAACTCTAAAAGTATAATAGGTATCAACATGAAACTTTGTAGGTAGATAGATCTCATTGAGTAGGTGTGCAGTGCACAAGAACCATAACTCTGCCTTGCCTAATTTTTGAATTATCCCCCTTTGTTTATTTTACATTTTGAACTTTGTCCAGGACATAACTCTAAAACTATAATAGGCATCAACATGAAACTTTGTAGGTAGATAGATCTCATTAAGTAGGTGTGCAGTGAACAAGAACCGTAACTCTGCCTTGCCTAATTTTTTAATTATCCCGCTTTGTTTATTTTTACACTTTGAACTTTGTCCAGGACATAACTCTAAATGTATAAGAGATATCAACATGAAACTTTGTAGGTAGAAAGATCTCATTGAGTAAGTGTGCAGTGCACAAGAACCGTAACTCTGCCTTGCCTAATTTTTGAATTATTCCCCTTTGTTTATTTTTACACTTTGAACTTTGTCCAGGACATAACTCTAAAACTATAAGAGGTATCAACATGAAACTTTGTAGGTAGATAGATCTCATTGAGTAGGTGTGCAGTGCACAAGAACCGTAACTCTGCCTTGCCTAATTTTTTAATTATCCCCCTTTGTTTATTTTTACACTTTGAACTTTGTCCAGGACATAACTCTAAAACTATAAGAGGTATCAACATGAAACTTTGTAGGTAGATAGATCTCATTGAGTAGGTGTGCAGTGCACAAGAACCATAACTCTGCCTTGCCTAATTTTTTAATTATCCCCCTTTGTTTATTTTCAAACTTTGAATTTTGTCCAGGACATAACTCTAAAACTATAATAGGTATCAACATGAAACTTTGTAGGAAGATAGATCTCATTAAGTAGGTTTGCAGTGCACTAGAACTGTAACACTGTCTTGCCTACTTTTGGAGTTATTGCCCTTTGTTCATTTTGACACTTTGAACTTTGTCCGGGACATTACTCTAAAATTAAAAGAGATATCAACATGAAACTTTGTAGATAGAAAGGTCTCATTGGGTGGAAATGCAATGCTTACAAATCATTACTCTGCCTTGCCTTATTTTGAAGTTATTGCCCTTTGTTTATTTTTACTTTTTGACTTTTGTCTGGGACATAACTTTAAAACTATTAGAGATATCAACATGAAACTGTGTAGGTAGCTAGATATAATTGGATAGAACTGCAATGCTTGAAGAACCTAAACAAAGCCTGGTCTAATTTTGGAGTTATTGCCCTTTGTTCATTTTTACACTTTGAATTTTACCCAGGACATAACTCTGATATCATCAGGAAACTTTATAGATAGATAGATCTCATTGAATAGAAGTGCAGTGCAAAAAAACATAACTCGTTCTTTTAAAGTCCTTAGTGTGAAAGTTTCAAAGGACACTCATTTTAAAATGTGACACTGTGAGAGTGTCGACCTACCTACATATCTTGAGAATTCTGGGTCAGGTTACTGCAAACAATCATTTTTTAAGGATGGCCTAAGTATCAGTAATTTTCCTACCTGTAAGTTTTCCTGATGTATATCCAAAACTGTTTGGCATGGGTTTCGGTCTACTATCAGCCTTCCTACACCACTCCTCAAACTGTTGTTGTGCTTTTATTTTCTGACTCTTTCTTAACCTTTCTTCTTCAGCCTGTTTTTGTTTCTCTTTTCGTTTCTTCTCTTTTTCTTCTTCTTTCTTCTTTTCTTTCCACTCTTCAAATATCCTCTCAGCTTTAACAGATTCCATTTTCTTTTTCTCCTCTTTAATCATTTTCTCAGTTTTTTCTCTTTGCTTTTCAACTTTCTTTTTTAAAGTTTCTTCAAAGTTTTTCTTCTCTACCCATTCTTTTCTAACTAACTCTGCTTGTTGAAGTTTTCTCTGTTGAATAGCTGCTTCTTCATCTTTCTTTCTTTTCTCTTCTCTCTTTTTTTGTCTTTCTTCTCTTCTCTTGTCTCTATCTTCCTTCACTTTATCAATCAGCCACTGTTCCCATGGAGACATACCAGGTTCAGGAGAATCTGCTTCAGTATCATCAGTTACAGAGGATTCTACAAACTTTCTGAAATTTCAAAAAATATATATATTAAAATATTTTTTTTTGTCCAGATCAACCCATTATTGCTCCTAATGTGACTTTAATATCTCTAAAATGAGGTGATAATAATTATAATCTGAAAATAAAGTGATACAGAATCCCTACAGAACACCCAAAATGGAAACAATGAAAGTGTTGCAAACTTGCTTGATTTAGCCTGTTCATGGCCAGTAGGAAGAAATTACATGTCTCTTTCAACAGTTATCTCAGAGACTTTCAGATTCCATTCCCCATGCCAATTTAGACAGCCAAATATGACAATTTTTTTGTGTGCAAGGGTCAACCCATTAAAATACTTTGTTTACATTGTTAAGTGCAAGCATTATATCAATATATGTCAACCAGTATACTACAATCAAATTTTAAAATCGAAAACAATAGAAATCCTTACCTGATTACTTTCTTCTTCATTACTTTTTTATGCTTCACATTAAAAGTATTGTTATGAATGTCTTGTTGATTTTTAATTGGTACATTTTCTTTTCCTGGTCGCCTTTTTACCTCAGATTGTCTTGGAGATCTCTTATCCTCAAACTCATCTTCATCATCACTATAACAAAAACAAAATGTTAATGAAAGAAGTTCAAAATGTTACTTTAAAATAACTTCTACTATTCTTTTAATTTTCAGCTGTATATAGAAAGAAAACAAATATGAAAGTCGGATAATTTACACTCTATTATGCTATGTTAAATATGTAATCAGAATTGATCAATATTATAACAGCATGATGAAATACTATAATAATTATCATTATATGTTTAACTTCAAAGTATGTCCAAATTATATTTAAAGTGTATATAGCAATATAAGCTATAAATCTAGTACCAGTTATGCATAAAATTAATCTTTTATTTTTGAAAAAATAATAATCCCAAACTATCTTTATCAAAGAAATATTTTTGTATATTTCCTTAACAGCAAATGACACATGCAGAAAATCAGTTGAAACTAAACTTAAAGATCCTGTAACACAAATTTTAAAAGTTTTATATCATAAATATGATGCTCAAATTAAGATTTATAAATTTTGCTAGTTCCAAAAAGCATTATTTATAAAGATATTACCGAATTTAACATTTCATGTAAATAAAGGGAGGTAATAAAAAATTCATTTTCTATAAAGTCTAAGTCAAATTTTTCAATAAGAAATGAATGCATATATTTTAATGATTACATATAATATGTACAAATATTTGCAGTTCATATTTTACATATTCTTCGATGTTTGAAAATTGTTTTGTAGGCATAATTATATACATATATATAATTTCACTTAAGTGTGGTATACAACCTCAATTACAACATACAGGATCTTTAAATAGCAGCATCATATTTTGTTCCATAACATTTTTTTTCTGATATCATATAATATTCATGTTTGTTAAATAACAGAGACCTGCTCCTATAATGATCATCCCCTATTTTATATTTAAGGACAGAATTATATCTAGTATTTAAACCTGCAGCTGATGTAGCTATCATGATCTAGGACTGAAGTTAATGAGGCAGTCGAGCCCCGAGATTCTACAGAGGCCGATCTTGGACCAACAATCGCTTCCGGCTGCATCCATTTTGGTTTTGTTACTGTAGCAGTTACAGGTCTTGGTCGCAAACTTGTCATTTTCTCTTTCGATCTGAAAAATACAAAATACTGCAAAATCAACCTCCATATTTTTAAATATTAAGAGCTAGTTTCATAGTACATTTTCTTGTTGTATATCAGGGACTGGTGTACCAAATAAAATAAAATAGAGGACTCAGCCTAGCTTGGCCTTTGTCTTTGAAATTATAATTATAATATTGCCCTTAGGACAATTATGAAAAAGCTGTCCTTAGGACAATTATGAAAAAGCTGTCCTTAGGACAAATATGGAAAAGAAAAAAATAATTTTGGATTCTTTAAAAAAAAGTTATTTGAAATCAACAGTTTTATTGGTAAATATTAGGTAAAATATTGAAATATTTCCAACACATGGCGGAAAGATGTGGATTTTTATATCATTTTAAGAAACTTACAAGCAATGAAAACATTTCCCCAACACAGAAAGTAACACTTATAAAAGTTTCACTTTAATGGTAGAAACAATTGATAGGTGGTGTTATGTATGCAAATTTTTACATATTGTGATTACATTAGAATGAGTAAAATGGGGAGTACTATGAAAGCTACATGTAAGGACTGGGTTGACCTAGTTCTGACTTGCAAAACTTTATAAGCCCCTTTTTAACATTTTTATGCCCCCGCCATGTAATGGCCGGGACATATAGTGTTACCCTGTTCCGTCCTTCCGTCATTCCGTCCTTCCGTCATTCTGTCATTCCGTCATCATCAGTTTCCGTTCATTATCTTAGTAAGGGTTGCACACATTCAACTCAAATTTGACATATGGATATGTCGTGAGAAAATACAGGTCAAGTTCGAATTTGGTCATGGTTCGATGATTTTTGGCAGAGTTATGCCCCTTTTACTTTAAAATAATATGAAATTTTCAGTTTCCGTTCATTATCTCCCCAATGGTACAACACATTCAACTCAAATTTGACATATGGATATGTCATGAGAAAATACAGGTCAAGTTCGAATTTGGTCATGGTTCAATGATTTTTGGCAGAGTTATGCCCCTTTCACTTTGGAAATAATATGAAATTTTCAGTTTCCAGTCATTATCTCCCCAATGGTACAACACTTTTAACTCAAACTTGACATATGGATACATCACAGGAATGCGCAAGTCAAGTTCAAAGTTGGTTATGGTTCAATGATTTTTGGCAGAGTTATGCCCCTTTCACTTTGAAAATAATATATGAAATTTTCAGTTTCTGTTTATTATCTCCCCAATGGTACAACACATTCAACTCAAATTTGACATATGGATATATTTTTTGGAATGCCCAGGCCAAGTTTGAATTTGGTTATGGTTCAATGATTTTTGGCAGAGTAATGCCCCTTTCACTTTGAAAATAATATGAAATTTACAGTTTCTGTTCATTATCTACCCAACTACTCAAATTTGATATATGGATATGTCAAAGGAATGGGCAGGTCAAGTTTGAATTTGGTCATGGTTCGATGACTTTTTGGCAGAGTTATGTCCCTTTCACTTTGAAAATAATATAGATACATCTTAGGAATAAGCAGTTTTAAGTTTGAATTTGGTCGTGGTTCAATGATTTTGGACAAACTTATCTTTCTTGAATGTTGTAAAAATTTTGAACTTTCAGTTTCAGCACTGAAATGTATGTAGCCAATGCCCATTATTTTGGCTACAAATATGAAATATGCTATTTTCAAAAAGTTTAAACTGAATAATTTCAGTGCCTTGAACATTGTATGAAAATGGTTTGTGTTAACATTGAAAAGTTTTAAGGGCTTTGAACTTAAAATGAAAAAAATTATTTGTGCAAACAAATTTGGAACTAAATATTATAACATCTGAAATTTTGGCTGCATGCGGGGGCATCCGTGGCATGATGACACATTTCTAGTTTCTTTCATCTGATGCTGCATTAACGTTTTGGATCAGACCAGGGTCTTTCAAATAGAATGGTCCAGAAACGCCCTATATAAACCCTATTCGCTACAATTCAACATGTCTCGGCAGAACTTGGTATAGTTTGCTCTACGCAAATTATGTACGTGTTCAAGCAAATGGCGAAAAATTAAATACAAGAGCAAAAATGAAAATTTATATTATTCTAACGACATGATGTTCTTTAAAAAATTATAACTTGTGAAAAAGGATAAATATTTCAGAAAACAGTGTTTTTAAAGCCATATCTATTGTAAAACATAGATGCTTGTTTAGAAAATTTGGCAATAGGCGCCATTTTGAAAATGCACCAAATTAAACATTAAATATTTGTAAATAACATCGTGAAATTTTATAAACTTTTTACATGATTATAGAATAAAATAACATTTCGAAATGAGAATAAGACACATGTATTGTTAAAACCTTGTTTAAACTTGCAAATATTCTTTTCATAATTCTTTCTTGTGCATCATTTGATAAAACAGTCATTTCAATATTGTTCTAGTATTAAAATATTAATACTGTCAATAAAAAATTGCACATTATACTACAAAACATTAATTACACTCAGCCAAAATAAAAATTACCCATTTTATAATTTTTCTTTTATCTTTTTTCATTACTGTATTAACACAAACACGGCTAATGTAAGATGTACACATAATCATTGGTTTATGTGTTGACCGATTTTACATGCAGTGACCCACTGTAAAAAAGTCATTTAAGTCTTTTTGCAAGTGCGTTTCGTGCAGCACATATCCTATGTCAGTATTTGACTACACAGAATTTTTCATAAACCGTCGAAGAAAATAATGACGAACAAAACCAAGCTATTAAGATGCTAAAAACAGGCATGTCAGTAAACGCTGTATCCCGGCCAGGGCCTTTTTACCCTCTATTACAGGGGCCGGTATAGGGCTGCTTCCCCAAAGAAAATTTCTTTAAAATCATGCAGTTTTCCCCAAATATTGAATTTACATCAAGTTTTTTCTTCCCCTTTTGCAAATATACCATGTAATTTTTCCCCAAAATTAAGGGCTGGGCTGCTTCCCCAACTTGTGAAAAAAAGCCCTGCCGGCACTTTGGTTGCTCTTAAAAGACTATCAAGCATTAATGGAGATGATTCCATGTCGCAGGAAACGTTGCCGACTGTCCTAGAAAGTGTAAGGCCACGTATGTCTTCTGTTGCCGATGTTAACTATATTGTCTTGAAGCACCTACGTAACAGGCGTATTACTGCAGCAGCAACCTGGCGACAGTATGGTATTCATCCACAGACTGTATGAAATCAACTGAGACAGAACCTTCAGCCTGTTCGTGCAAAGCGACCATACTTTGGTCAAATTCTATCCCGAAGTCATCAAACTTCAAGGCTGGTTTGGTGCAGCTATCATCTGCGCTTCACATGTGCTGATTGGGAATTGATTTTTACGCAGAAGACCTTATTAGCTACAGCCATCTGGTTAGCTCAATAGTAAGAGCAGGGTTCTCACTAGGACTTTAAAACATGGAGTCCATGGACTCCCAACCCTGAAAAAGTTGGAGTCCAAAAGCGCGTCGCAATTAATATGTTTACAGATTAGTCATTCAATGCTCACAATAGCATTGCTGATATTTTGAATCTTCAAAAGACTTCCAAAGTTTATAGTTATTCAAAAGAAACTCTGAACTACATAGTATAATTATTGTTTTGTTGTTAATATTTATTATGAAATTATCTTATTATAATGCATCAACACATGGAAATCGTTTTTTGTTGTTTTTTTTTCACTTTTATACCAAATTAAATTTTTTTCTGGTTAAAAAAGTTCACTCTAAAGACAAAAAGTTTATATTTGTAAAAAAACGTAAATGTATATAGGCAGCGTTTAGCGGAATGAATAGGAAAATCGTGTACAGCTTCACACAGTGTGTAAGAGATTCATCCGATCGACAATTATTTTAGCAAATATCTTTAAAAGGGGGCAAATTGAAGATCGATATTTAAAGATTTAATGTTGATTAAATATTAAAGGAACAATTCCTTCTCATGTTTGGCTTGTAAACCGAGAATTTTTGCGAATTTTTAGGGTTTCTGGCGAACGTGAAATCGCCGATGTTCGGGACCAATTTTCGGATAGAATCTAAATATCAACGAAAAGCGTATGTGTATTTTGGTTTGTTGTCCTGGCATTTCGGCACAATATCTTAAATTCTTAATACTCTTATAAAAAGTTTTTGCAAGAATGAATCTAAAGCAAAATTGTGCGTAGAAAATGCCGAAAATATTCGACAATCATTCAAAATTACACTCATTTGTAATTTGAGAAAACAGTCTTTAAACTTGCGGCGTAAATAGTCGATAATTTTATCCTTTTGTCGGTAAAATTTGCTAATTTCCAATCAACTGTTGATCAAAGATATAAAATTATCATCTCGTGTTATATCTGGTAATTACATGTACTATACAGCGCGTGTATACATTAGTCTGATCACTATTGCGTGATAATGATCGGAAGCGTTATCGCTGATTGGCTAATCGCTTCACGGGTCGATGTGCATAGGACCGCCTACCTATAGACTGACACGCGCTGACGCATTTGTGTATTTGCGGTTGTAAACAATCGGTAATGTTTATGCGTCCCCAGGCAAAATTAAGCGTACGTGGAATCCTTGCTCTGAAATATTTGCGTCCAGCTGTAATAAACATGCGTACCGGGACGCCGAAATAAGCGTCCCCGAGAACCCTGAAGAGCATTCGGTGGACACTGAATCGCGCCACCCTGGTTCAATTCCCGGATGGTGCAGGTCACTTTTGTTGTGATTGATCATGAAATCATTTCTACGGTCATTCGTACTGTTACCTCTGGTCTGTCATGTACAAAAGATTCAGTTCCTTGCGGAAGTTAAGGCAACTACTACTGGCAAACTACTTGACGGCCTGCCCAGGAATGATGCGGTGACTGAACTGCGCTCTGGTAAATTTCGATATGATCAAATTGCACACCATCTCAGCAGCCCAGCCCATTGCATTGACAGCAGAGCACTGACCTCACTGGCTGCTGAGATGGTGTGCAATTTGATCATATCGAAAAAACAATTGTCGGGATTTCTTTAAAGAAAACACATTTTTATGTAACATAGCATTCAAAACTCTGTATATACCTGCTTTTTCTGTTCATTGTTAATGTTTGACTATAAGCGTTCTTAAGAAAAGTGTAAATTTATTGACATTTTCATGAAAATTTCAAGTCACAACAAAGTAAATCACAGGCGCGAACAAAACAGGAAGTAGATAAAAACGAAATTTGGTTGGATAATTTACGCTATAAAAATGAATTTAATTAGATAAATTAATCTAATGTTAATTAAGATTAATTTGTTTTAAATAGTTCAGATTTTCTAAGCTTTTAGTGAATTTTTTATAATGGAAAAATCATTTATGAAATATTTTCTGCGAGCCTAACAAATGGCGACCTGGCAACAGACGCCGTAACAATTGATTTTAATTAAGAGGATGTTTAAATAAATAGAGGCTTTGATGGTATTATTTCCATAAATAATTTGTTTCTAACAATGATTTTCTAGTCGTTTAAGCGGGTGCCATTTTCATATGACGCAGTTTTTAAGCAGAACATGCATTAATTCATTAAGCAGGTGCTTGTTTCTTAGTGGGTGGGGTGATGTAAACATCATTGATTTATGAGCAAAATTCAGTGGAATTGCTTTCTGGATTGAAAATATTGGAAAACCAACTGTTTAAACCTCTTTAACATAATATTTTTGAAACTGTGACATATATATTGGTCATAAATATGCTATTGGATGAATTTTTTCTTTTGAAAATCTAATTTCAAAATTTATTAATTTTGAAAGCTTTTCATTGATAAGCATATCAAGAAACAAAACTGGTCAAAATAATCCTGACCTGGTATATAACCTGCTAAAGAGTATATTTGCCACGAAGAATTTTCCACTATAGACCATTCCCTTCAATCAATAGGTAGCAAGACACCTCACCCCCCAGACACTTCACCCCTCAAATTTTGAAGACACTTCACCCCTTAAGACACTTCACCCCCCAAAATCAGTAAGACACTTCACCCCTCATCCAATTTTGTTCTATAAAGTAAATAAAACAAGTTGGTCAACAACAAAATGCTTATATATGTTTATATTTATTATTTTTAGTATTATTTGATTAAAATTTTTGCATATTACCTTTATTTTTACTAAGTTTAAAGCTGTTTTAGGTTAATTGGTTGTATTGCCAAATGATATATCACAGCACTTTCATCCATTAAGTGTTAATTGCATGTCACCTTGTTTATTCCACATGTTGATTAGTTGTTTATTCAACGGTTATCTCACAATTGATTAGATAATTGAATTAAAATGGTATAATTGTATGAAAATTAAATTTATTCTTAATAAATAAATTAAATAAATAAATAAAATGAATATAAATGAATATGAATGAATGAATCAGTTGCTTTATAAAATATAGTAAATATAAATATAAATTATTTATCATCATTATCAGACACAATTATCCTGCATTTAATACAAAGATCATTCATAATGTCATTTATTAAACAAATAAATAGCACCAGTTATGTTAATTAAGCACAAGGTTAAAGCACAAACCATCACTAAATGAACGTAACTCAATTATTATTATATGGTAAGGATCAAACTGAAATCAAACTTAATTAAGTACCAAAACTTCAAGAATTAAATCAACTCAAAATTTATTAGACAATGGCTTAAAACAATAAACATACTCAATCACTATTGAATGTATTTAACATAATCTACATAAATAATTGTTTAACACAAAATTAAAAAAATGAGGGGTGAAGTGTCTCAATCAAATTTCTTAAAATGAGGGGTGAACTGTCTGAGGGGTGAAGTGTCTGCAAAAAAGGGCCTAGGGTGAAGTGTCTGGGGGGTGAAGTGTCTGTAAGCCAATCAATAGGTCACTCATGTTGCTTAAAGATGATAATGAATTAAATAGTTTGATGTTGACTGTCTGATCTTGTATAGCATGTACTACAATGATTTTTTTATCCAAGTTCCCTCTTTCAAGAGATCAGAGAAAGGTCAATAACGCCAAAAAATGTTGGAGTGTCTTTGACAGAAGCAGAACTTTTCAATAATTCACCCTGAGTGATAGACCGGCTATACAAAACTGCAATGTGTGACTTCAGTGGTCAGAAACACATATTAATTATAAGACAAATGTTTCTTAGATCTAGGTTTTAAATGATTTTGGTGTCAGATTTTTTTAACATGTGCAGTTCCGGTCCTGATGAATTATTTAAGGGCCGGGCTAGTAAACCCTCCAAATTTACTCACCCTTCATAAAATGCACTCGCCCTGCTTTTTGACGAACAAATTTGTAAAAACAAAACTCAAATTGACTAATTACTGGTCTATATCGGTATAATTGGCTTTATTCAATTACATATTGTTCAATAATGATAATATTACTTTTTAGCTCACCTGTCACAAAGTGACAGGGTGAGCTTTTGTGATCGCTTTTCGTCCGGCGTCCGTCCGTCCGTCGTCCGTCCGTCCGTCGTCCGTCCGTCCGTAAACTTTTGCTTTAAATGACATCTCCTCATAAACCACTGAGCCAATTTCATCCAAACTTCACAGGAATGTTCCTTTGGTGGTCACCTTTAAAAATTGTTCAAAGAATTTAATTCCATGCAGAACTCTGGTTGCCATGGCAACCGAAAGAAAAATCTTTAAATATCTTCTTTTAAAGAACTGTAAGAGCTAGAGCTTAGATATTTGGCATGAAACATCTTCTAAAGAGTGTCTACCAAGTTTGTTCAAATAAAAGCCCTGGGGTCAAAATTGGCCCCGCCCAGGGGGGTCATTGATTTTCCCTATATGCATATTGTAAAAACTTAAAAAATTTTCTCTTAAAGAACTGTAAGAGCTAGAGCTAAGATATTTGGCATGAAACATCTTCTATTGAATGTCTACCAAGTTTGTTAAAATAAAAGCCCTGGAGTCAAAATTGGCCCCGCCCAGGGGGGTCATTGATTTTCCCTATATGCATTTAGTAAAAACTTAAAAAATCTTCTTTTAAAGAACCCAAAGAGCTAGAGCTAAGATATTTAGCATGAAACATCTTCTAATGAGTGTCTACCAAGTTTGTTCAAATAAAAGCCCTGAGGTCAAAATTGGCCCTGCCCCAGGCGGTCATAGATTTTCCCTATATGCATATAGTAAAAACTTAAAAAATCTTCTTTTAAAGAACCGTAAGACCTAGAGCTAAGATATTTGGCATGAAACATCTTCTAGTGTGTGTCTACCAAGTTTGTTCAAATAAAAGCCCTGGGGTCAAAATTGGCCCCGCCCTGGGGGGTCATTGATTTTCCCTATATGCATATAGTAAAAACTTAAAAAATCTTCTTTTAAAGAACCCAAAGAGCTAGAGCTAAGATATTTAGCATGAAACATATTCTAATGGGTGTCTACCAAGTTTGTTCAAATAAAAGCCCTTGGGTCAAAACTGGCCCCGCCCCGGGGGTCATTGATTTTCCTTATATGTGTATAGCAAAAACTTAAAAATCTTCTTTGAAAAAACCCAAATAGCTTTAGTTTAGATATTATAAGCATGAAACATCTATAAGTAAATATCTACAAATTAAAGCCCGGGGGTCAAAACTTGGCCTGCCCCAGGGGTGTCATTGTTTTTAACTATATGTGTATAGTAAAAACTTAAAAAATCTTCTTTTAAAAAACCCAATGAGCTAGAACTTAGATGTTTAGCATGAAACATCTTCTTATGGGTGTCTACCAAGTCTGTTCAAATAAACAAATAAAAGCCCTTGGGTAAAAATTGGCCCGGGGGCGGGGGGGGGGGGGGCTATATACAGGTGAGCGACCTCAGGGCCATCATGGCCCTCTTGTTTTATATGCATAATCTTCAACATAGCCTGAATACTTATTCCATTCAAATTTTACGTACTCGGCTATAATATCTACCTCATGGCTAAGTATAAAACATTACCGAATGCGTATGTATTAAACATTGTTGATTGCTGCTGTCATAACAGAATTAATTCATCATACGCATTCTGTTAAGTTTTATATTTAGTCATAAGCTCAATTTCTTGTTTTCCGTTGACAGTATGATGAATGAAATGGCGTCTGCTGTTTGATTTTTTTTACCGAATAACTTCATTTATATTAAATATTTAGAGAAAGATCATTTGGATCTGGAGAAACTCACTCGCCCTGTCAGCGAGTTTTATCAATTTTTTACAAGTTGGACCCGAACTTTTACTTGCAAATGCTAGCGGGCTAGTGGATTTGTCGGGACTTGCAGTTTTGCTATTTGATGTAGAGGTTTCTATGCATTGTAGATGTCATTGAGACTATATTTCCATTAATTTCAGGGATATTTTTTGTGCTTATTTTATAGCCGTTATTGGGTTATATTCCCAATTGAAATTAGTATATTATTTTCCCAATCCACAGAAAAATATTCCCAATTGAAAGTTACAAAATGAAAATATTGAATAAAAAATTCTAAATTTTTTAAAATAACGACTTCATTGTAAATTGTTTGAAGATACCATCCTAGACACTCACAGAGATTGTTTGCATTCATTTATCAGTGCAAAATTTCAGTCATGCATTTGTCCCAATTTTTAACAAACATCGCTGAAATTCCCTATTCCATGGGTATGGGTCATGTTCCCAAAATGCTGGAAAAATCCCTGATTTGCATAAGTCGGCCATTGTGAGTATTGGTGATTTGGGGATAAAAATCCAAATGACCAAACAATGTAAAGTAGATAGTTATTTTTGGTTAGATACTTAACTTTATCTGAACAATTAAATATTCATTTTTGTTGTAGTTAACATTCCAGATAACGTATGAATTGACGTTTTTTACGCTTCAAAATCAACTAAAAACGCACAAGGTTACCTATTAGTTGCATCCATTTATGCACCCTACAATGTAAAGTAAATCTAAGAATATACAAAGGCCTTTCAATTGAAGTGGAATTCATGCTGAATGTCTGCTAAATTTTAAATGGTCTTTCAGGGAAATACATAAAAGATATTTATTTTATATTTTCGCCTTCTATACCTGAGATACTTTCAATGAATCAAATTATTTTTTACAAAAGTGCGGTCTTTCATCATTCATTCTGTTCATTCCTTAATGAAAAATGAAATACCGCTATATTAGTTGAATGCTATTTTAGACTTGAAGAGATTAAAAAGACCACACTAAGTGACTATATTTTGAAATGTTATGATGCAAATAGAAAGATACATGTAATTAACTTAGTTAGAGAATGGTGTGTTAATTTTAATGTAATAAAAATATGGTGCATTAAAAAAGAGTAAGTCCTTTAATTTTACTCTGTATTTTTATGATATATTTAAATTTACCCCCCACATTCCGAAAAGTTGGGTTGTATTTTTATGATATATTTAAATTTACCCCCCGCCCCCCACATTCCGAAAAGTGGGGGTAATTAGACCCCAGTGTCAAAAAATTATCTGGAACCCTGAAACTGTTAAGAGAGACATGGATGCTTGAGGTACATTTTGTATTATAACATATTCTACGGAATATCATAGTCTTCAACAACGAAATATATTTGTGTTTTAATTTTCAGAATTACTATGATATAGTAGAACTTTGTTTTAAGAAAACATGACATCACAAGTTGATGTTGGCCTTGAGCCAAGGACATCACCAAAGTTACCAGCCCTAAGGGAGGGACAAAGTAGTCTTGTATGTCAAGACAAACTACCCTCACCACCAACGCCAAGGGATCAAGCATCTGAATGGGCCAAAGACATTAGGACCAGGTGATTATATCATTTGTTTGCTTTTTATTTCAACACTTTATGTAATGAAATATTTTTATAAAATTTATCAACAGTAAAAATAAATTGTTTCTATAATCATATGGTCAATTCTCAAAAGAGTTGTGTCATAAAATGTACCTGTTATTTAAAACACATGAATATTGTATGTAAACAGAATAAAATGTTCCGGAACAAAATATTGTTCTGCTATTTCAAGATTGGTTTTATACGTTCAGCAATGATTCCTTACATTCGCTGTTTGCTTTAAGGGTAATTTCCTACCTTATTTCTTTCATACAGGCATTTTGGAAGTATTCTTTTTTAACAGAAACAAGGAGTAAAGAGAAGGAAAAAACAACAAAACAACAACATAACTTACAAAGGTTAATATTTATTGATGTATAACAGACAAAAATGGTTTGATAAATGAGTGCCTGGTTTGTGTTTTCATTATTGCAGGATAAACCATTATTTAGACCAGCAACAGGAAGTTACAGAAAATGACATCAAATGTTTAAAACAAGAACTTATTCCAGTGTTTGTTGTCTGCCTTCAGCAAGATAGGTAAATACACATCTGTAAATTTATATATAAGTTTATATACATTTCATGTTAACTACCCGTATTATAAGCTAAATACATCTCCATATTTATATTAAAGTTTATACATGTTTACTACCCGTATAGGTAAAAATATATTTGTTAATTTACAAATATGTATATCTCAATTTATTAAATGATATACTTTAAAACTAAAGTTTAAAGCTGAGTGAAATGTCCACTATTTTGACAAGACATGTGTCTGTAATCTTCATGTGATGTTTATGACTGTTGTTCAGACATCATGTTTTCATACTGTCTTTAAGTTTAGAAACTGCCCTTTAAATTTTTCAATTTATATTTGCTACCAGCATGTTACAGAGGCCAAATATAATTGAGTTTTGAAATTCTGTATTTAAATAAAAAATAAAATACATTTATACATTTTCATTTTGATGTCTTTTTTTAGTCGACATGGATGGAAATATTTGACAGAGGTGATAGATTTACTGGAACCATACAACAGTTATCTGGACCTGTATGATATGAGAGCAGAGGTATGTTTGTAAAATGTTTATTTCTTTTGTTATAATTGTTTCTGCAGTACATACAGTACTTGACAAAATCAGTGTCTATTCTAGGATTCGAAAAACGGGGATTTTAATCGAAAAGTGAGAGTTAATTACATTGTTGATCATTTTCCTTCTTTCTCTTTGTAAAATTTCCCCCCTGCCTGTGAAAAAATAGGGGGAATCCTAAAAATATGAGTGAATCCCCCCCACCCCACTCCTAGAATAGACACTGCAAAATTTCAAAACATCACATCTTAATATCATAATTGTCTTTAGATAGAAAAAAGGTAAGATGTATTTACTAAGATCAACGTCTGTATTCAATGCCTAATTTCAGCAAAAAAAAAAATGGGTATTTTAACATCAATATTTGGGTAAAATAATACTTTTAGGCTTTTATGAATGTCTTCTTTTTATCAAGTGTATCTTCGTTTAGAAAATAAAGGTCTCAGTCATGCATATTTTTTTCAAGCAATAAAATAATACCATGCATGTTTTCAGTTGTTTTGCTATTTAGAATTTACCATGTAAAGTTACAATGTTTATATATATATTTACAGTTATTCCACTATTTAGAGAGAATATACTACCATGTTAAGTTACATCGGGAGAAGCTCTTTGATCTACAGATTACAGAATCTCTTCAGAAAGTCTTCCCTAAGGTAAATTAAAATGTTTAAAAGGAAATATGACACAAGATCAAGGTATTATGACAGAAGTTATTGTCTTGTTATGTTTTAATAATCAACAATAAAGTTTCATATTCTTCTTTATTATTGTCATGTGCAAGATAATAAAGTGAAATTGAATATTTTTATTATCTTTCTATTGCTGGTATTACATTCTCATGACTAGTTATATTGTATCATAACATTTTATTTCTAGGTTTATCCTTTAATTAAAACGTTTGTTTGAAACTAACAATAATTTTTTAAAGTTTATGTAAAGAAGATATGAGATTTTCCTTGTCTAAAATATGTCTGCAATAAAGCAGGAAATAACATTAAATTATATAGAATGGTGAGTTTGTAGAATTCATTCTTGTAAGTACAGAATGCAACTGATCACCTTGGTTGGCTGGAAATTCAGGTGTTATTTTCTGTAACTTATATGTCTTTTAAATGATTGACATACATGTTTTCATTTCTTACACAGGAGATACAGCAGCTTAAAGAGAGTGATACAAGAAAACTGAAAAATTATTGTGTTACCATTCCATCAGTGAGATTTTCAGCTGAAACGCCAAGTCCGAGGGTAAAGAAAATGGTTCCCACCCCTCCTACACTACTAAGTCTACCTGATGGAACAAACCCCTACTCTATGTATATCAATGTAAGAACTTTTTGTTATACAAATTTATATAGTATTAAAAATAGTTCAAAAGAGTTTATTATTGACTAATCTATTGATGTTGAGTTTTTAAGCCTATCTATCTAAGCATTTTTTTCTTGAATAATTCTATTTTACCACATTTTTTGTTGATTTTTCCCCAGACGGGGAAAATCAAATTAGAAGGGTTAACCATTTAAATTTGGTACCTTAGAAAATCCCCTTTTACGTAGCTTGAAGGCAACAAAATAATTTATTTTTATATTTTAAAAATTTCATAACTTATTTGATATGCATTGAATACTAGTATTTTGTGAATGAAAGCATTCTAGCTATTTTTCATGTTTGTTTAATTTTGATAAGGGTTTACTTGTGACTGTGATTATTCAGTAGCTATAGCAAACACGTTCTGTGCAAGCATTAACTAATAACTGAAAAAAAAGATAGGTCTTCAAAATGATTTGTTTTCTTAACTGTCTCCCTTTAGCAGTTTTAAATGTTTTCACATTGTATTTAACATATATATTGGTTTAGCAGAAACTATGAAATGAGTTTTGTTTTCTATTACAGGAGAATCAATCTGGAGTCATGCTTTAGGTCCAGTAGCCCAGGCTTTACAAACAGACATTCCTGATGAGACCACGGTTAGTGAGTTAAATATAACATTCTAGCTCATATTTGAATTTTTGATACCTTACTGGAAATAAATTTATGTCACCAACTGGATACTTGGATATGATTATGTATATGGTACCTTTCTTGACATAAGGACAACTAAGAAGTAAATAAAAAACAGAGACTATGATATAATGGGATGTTATAGCAGATTTTGTATGAAGTTAAACTACTACTTTATTTACATTTTGCTACTTTTATGGCTAATACTTTCCCATTTAACCTTATTTTGTCAGGTGATAAACATGTCATATGCTATTTATATGTGCTATTTATATATATGTTTTATAAAAACATATTCATTTCTGAGGCATAATGTGCTTTTAAAATTGTATGTACAGTATTTAAGTTCTGAGTGACACTGTTACAGTGTTGTTTACAGAATGTAGAGAAATCCCCAGATAAAGAGCCAGGAGGATATAAACTGACACCCAGGAATACTGTAGCCACATATACTGCTGCTGAGAGAAAGTTCAAGAAGACCCCTCGTATAGAGGTCAGTTACTCTATAAACAATTTTATTATAACTTTCAAGCATTCAATTTTCATTATGTTACAATTTTTACCTGTGATGATTATATACAGTTTATGAAGAATTAGAAGTATTATTTTTTAGCTTGACTATTTGATAAGAATAATTATTTAGCTCGACTATTCGATAAGAATAATTAGAGTCATTGTAGTCACCCGAGCGTCGGCGTCTGCGTCGGCGTAACCACTTATGTTAAAGTTTTTGTAATAGTTCAAATATTTTCAAAGTCCATTGACATATGGCTTTGAAACTTTGCACACTTTTCACCATCATAACCCCAACCTGTAGACAGGAGGAGGTAACTCTATCAAGCATTTTGACAGAATTATGCCCCTTTTTCAACTTAGAATTTACGTTAAAGTTTTTGTAATACCTCAAAAATTTCAAAGTCCATTGACATATGGCTTTGAAACTTTGCACACTTGTTCACCATCATGACCCCAACCTGTAGACAGGAGGAGGTAACTCTGTCAAGCATTTTGACAGAATTATGCCCCTTTTTCGACTTAGAATTTATGTTAAAGTTTTTGTAATAGTTCAAATATTTTCAAAGTCCATTGACATATGGCTTTGAAACTTTGCACACTTGTTCACCATCATAACCCCAACATGTAGACAGGAGGAGGTAACTCTATCAAGCATTTTGACAGAATTATGCCCCTTTTTCGACTTAGAATTTACGTTAAAGTTTTTGTAATACCTCAAATATTTTCAAAGTCCATTGACATATGGCTTTGAATCTTTGCACACTTGTTCACCATCATGACACCAACCTGTAAACAGGAGGAGGTAACTGTATCAAGCATTTTTTTTTACTATCAAGCACTAAGAATAGTCGAGCGATGCTGTCCTACCGACAGCTCTTGTTTGCTTTGAGCTTTTTCAGCTATAATATTGATCAATTATACAGATGGCCATTTATAAGATCATCAGTTCTTATGATAAGATTTGACAATGATCATCATTGTATAAATGGCTAATGAATTTAGAAATGTCTTATGTCAATCAACAACGAAAAAACGAACATCACTGTGACCAAGTTATTCATTTGTAGTAAAGTTCCAATGTCATTACAAATATTATTTTACCATATTATACAAGATAATTTTTACACAGTCAGAATTTGTGTCAGGTAATGACAATGTTCATATTACCTAGTAGCTAGTGACCTTGTTGAATGTATATTTGCAGGAGGAAAAGGTACCTAAGATGACTGGGAGAGAGGCAGTGGCTTACTTTGTCAAGTGTCATCATATGGGAGAAATCAAATCCCTGTTCTTTAACTATGCACCAAGCAGACATTTCACTCCATACGATCTAATATGTGTCCACAAGAATAAGGTTTGTATATGTAGTTATGTTTTTATTTAGTTTGTGATAAATTCCCTAGGACAAAATATTTTACTGTATAAAATTTTATTAAATAAGCTAAACTACACATTAATATATACATGGTACAATTATCAGTTTTAAAGATCACCTTCACATAAATATCACATATGGAAAACCTTTCAATACTTTCAACTTTGCTATTGAATAATTTTAGTGCCAAATTACCTGTTTTGAGAGACTGTTTGTCAACAAAGACATTTCAGTTTATTGTCCCTTACCCTGCTGAATCATTATACATAAAAAATGTTCTTCTTTGAATTTTGAATTGTCCATGGTAAAATACAGGGATTTTAATATTGAGATAACAGAATTAGGCATCAGCAGTTGAGCCTAGTTAATATGTAGGGGTTCGTATCTTTTTATTTGTGGCACAGTCAAATTGTAATGGTTTATATCTTTCAAAAAGGTAAAATATGGTAAACAAGATCAACAAGGAAAGGTGGCCTTCAATGAACGCAACTGTTGACTGCCTGTAAGACTGCCTGTTATCAACAATTTAGATTTTTTTTTTGTATAAAACATTTGATAAAAGAATATATTTTCTACACAATATATACTATAGGTTGAAGATGAACATTTTGTGTTTTCTACATTTGGAGTACTTCATGTATTACCCAATGCTCCATCTGAGAGTAAAACCCTGGCTGAGTGGCAGAGAGAAGCTGTCTTATGGAAGGCTGTATCCAGTATACCATTTTTCAAACATTACCTCATCCGTAAAATGTTTGATAGGTAAATAATACATAAAATTTTCTCATTGGATTTCTGATACAAAAATATTTTAAAACATTTTCTAGTCATAAAAAATATATGAGCCGCGTCAGAACAAAACCAACATAATGGGTTTGCGACCAGCATGGATCCAGACCAGCCTGCGCATCCGCGCAGTCTGATCAGGATCCATGCTGTTCGCTATCAGTTTCTTTCCTTGTTATAGGGTCTGTAAGCGAACAGCATGGATCCTGATCAGACTGCAGGGATGCGCAGGCTGGTCTGGATCCATGCTGGTCGCAAACCCATTATGTTGGTTTTGTCATGACACGGCTCATATAATGTTATAATTTAAACTAAAAGTTATAAATATTGAACATTGCAGAAGTTTTATATAATAAAGAAATTAAACATGATTGTATGTTAAATATTTTTGTTATGTTTTTATAGATGGAGAGCAAACAAACGTTACTTGGATTATTTAAGAAAACAACAGGTTATCTCTTCCACCATGTTACAGAATGTACCTGTATTTGGAGCAGCTCTACTACAAGTGTTGAGGTAATTATATCATAAAATGTTTACTTTGAAAATGAAGGTATTGCCTTATTTGATTAATTGTCTTTTCTCTGTTTTATAATCTATTTCACCAGATAAATTAGATATTAACAGTAAAGGCAAATTTGTAAGTTTGCCAAATACATGTATACGCAAATTTTTATGATAAGGGTTTGTTTAAAATACAATGTAGGTAATTTTGCATATAATATTGACATGTTTCTATATATGTTGTCACTAGCATAAGTCTGATAGTATGTATCCTGTCTAAGAGTCAATAAGTTTATAATATGACTGATTTATTATCTATGTAATCATTTCAGACTGTTGAAGGAGCTTATTACAGTGAACTTTCTCCCATTTGAAACAGAGTAAGTAATTGTCTTGTAAGGATTTGTTTTACAATATGTTAATATTTCTTTGTCTAATTGTAATATAATATTTACATGGTTTCATTTTGAACTATATTTTTTGTATCCATAATATCAAGCACATGGCCAGCATGTTACATTATTTAATTCTGGTCCTGTCAAGTAGGATATTAAATATGGAATTAGAGCTCTTCAAATGTTAGTCCTACAAACCTCATATCTACAATATGAGTCCTGCTTGTGATAAGACATTCCAGGAGGGTTCTGGTTAAAGACAGTGTATCTAGATACACATGCTGATAATACATGAGGAGAAAGTTGGCATTTGAAAGTCATTTTCCAACATTATATGATTGATATACCTCTTTAACCAAACAGACAAGTAAGCTAAATAGAATTGGGAAGGTTTGTCTATTGTCTACTTGAATATATAACATACAAACATCACAGGTAGTTGGCAGAGATACCTTACTTTTATGTTTCCAGCAAAATGTATCAACTGTCAGATTTTGAGAACAATATCAACTACAAAAACATCCAAGCTGAAAAGATTCTAGAAAAATTCTTCACGTAAGTAAAACAATGTCTAGTTATTTCAAACAATCTTTTGTAGTGAGATACATGTATAGTATATATATATATGGCTTAATCCATTCAGGGTTAGTGCTTGTAAAATTACTTATTTATTGGAATTAGGTCTAAAATTATTGTTTAGATTGATTTTTAGCTCGACTATTCGAAGAATATGAGAGCTATTGTAGTCGCCCCGGCGTCGGCGTCAGCGTCCGCGTCGGCGTCTGCGTTGGTTAAAGTTTTTTGTAAAGTCAAATATCTCAATTATTGATTGAGATATTCAATTGAAACTTACAATACTTATTTATAGTAACAAGGTACATCAGATTGACAAGTTGGATAACTCTACCTACAATATTGACAGAATTATGCCCCTTTTTAACTTAGAAATTTTGGTTAAAGTTTTTTTGTAAAGTCAAATATCTCAATTATTGTTTGAGATATTCAATTGAAACTTACAATACTTATTTATAGTAATAAGATACACCAGATTGACAAGTTGGATAACTCTGCCTACAATATTGACAGAATTATGCCCCTTTTTAACTTAGAAATTTTGGTTAAAGTTTTTTTGTAAAGTCAAATATCTCAATTATTGTTTGAGATATTCAATTGAAACTTACAATACTTATTTATAGTAACAAGGTACATCAGATTGACAAGTTGGATAACACTGCCTACAATATTGACAGAATTATGCCCCTTTGAAACTTAGAAATTTTTGGTTAAAGTTTTTTTGTAAAGTCAAATACCTCAATTATTGCTTGAGATATTCAATTGAAAATTTACAATACTTTTTTATAGTAACAATGTACATCATTTTGCAAAATTTCATAACTCTGCCTGCAATATTTGCAGAATTTTTTCCCCTTTTGAAACTTAGAAATTTTGGTTAAAGGTTAAAGGTCTTCAAAGATATTTACTTGATACTTTACACATGTACTTAGGGTCATAATTTGAGGGTCATAATTGTATGTCACTGACCAAGTTCCATAACTCTATCTTGCATTAAGGCTGATTCATATCCCCTTTTCTACTTAGTCTCTTGGTTAATGTTTACATGCAAGTTTTACATATCTCAATAACTATTAAAGATATTTATTGAAAACTTCACATATGCAATTAGGGTCGGAATTGTAGGTCACTGACAAAGATCCATAATTCTATCTTGCATTTAGGCTGATTTTTCTTCCCTTTTTCAACTTAGAAATTCATGGTAAAGTTTTGCTTGTAAGCTGTTATCTCCATAACTACTGAAGGGTTTGTGCCTTTTTTGGGACAATTTTATGCATTCATAATAATAAAAGCAGTGATTTACTTGATAAAACATCTTAATGCCTTTTCTGTCAATTTTATGTATTCATAGGTAATTAGTATTATTATACTCAATAAAACACCCTTGTGACATTACCTTCCAAATAGTCAAGCCAATACTGTATAATTAGACTCTCTCTAAGGCCTATAACATGAATTTATAAAAAAAATTAGCCCTTTTGTGAACTTAGAAAATTTAACATTATCAAGGCTCTTTAACTATCAAGCACTTAGAATAGTCGAGCGTGCTGTCCTACCGACAGCTCTTGTTATGGATATGGTGTGACATACTTACATGTAGTTTACAGTTAATACTGTGTTTATGCTGTTTGTTTATCATAGCAGCTTTTGGTTTTTAACTTTATGAAAGTATGGATACATGCAGATAAAAAGTTCAAATATAAATGACCAATTATACTATGTAGGTATTGTAAGATGGTTGTGGACAAAACAGCGGAGGAATCGTTCAACAAGTTGAAATACTGTGAGGAACAAGTGAAGAAGAAAACCTATTTGTAAGTCTTTATATTTCTGTTTGTCATTATCTAAATCTGTACTGTTATTTTTGTTGATTTAATTAGGTGTGTGAAAATTACACAAGTTTTGTTGGGGCTAGAAAAAAAAAAAAAAACCCACCTGATGTGCATAATGCTACGTTAAAGTAGGTTAATTCTGACATTCAAGTACTGACACAATTTGTCTATTGAACCATTTATGTTTTTCTTGTATATTTTGTATACAATTGTCTCCCTTTTATTCTATTTACTCAATAAAGATAATAGATTTATACTGTACATAGAGTTATCCCCTCTTCATTTTAACATGAAATGAAATCAAGGGAAATAAATAATCACATAGTTTTCCTTTAAGTACAACATGAGAGATGGCTTAAGTTGTCTCTCTTAATTACAGCTTCAATGTTACAGGAAGTTGAAAGATAGATATATAATAGAATTATCTCCCCTTTCAGTTCCAAGGATTCTCTACACATGCAGAAATACAAGAAGGAACAGAGAGAGGAGAATTTGAGATTAGCAAGAAGTGAGACTGGTCGTCTTGGTAACTTTGTCAAGTTGGTAGATCAGTTGATTGTAGAACATATGTTTTATCTGACCAAGAATCAGGTGACCATGTTTGTAACTACTGTATTACTAACTGGGCAGTCTCCATTGAGAGAAGGTTTCCTCAAAGCCAATCTCACTTTCACAAAACAAGGTAACTTTTATCGTGTTGTCATCCTTCTTCTATATTAGTTAAGTTAAGGGTTTAAGCTAGACGTTTAATTTTTCTAAAAAAAGATTTTTTTGAATGATTATAGTTTACTATGATATCAGAATCAAAAATAATAATTGTATCACATAGCATTTTGCATTATTGATAATTAGTCAATTTCTGTGTATTTCTTTACTTTATTATTTATTGATAATAAAATTAATGAGGTGTAGAATCAATAAGATAATAATTGTGTATTGAAATATTGTTTGGTAAGACTAAGCAAACACTTTTGGTCTGTCTGTAAATGCATGAAGAAATTTAGAGATAATAAAAGTAGATCACAAATAATTATTATAATGATAAACATGAATGTGTATGATATGTTACAGATGTACTTGGTATTTCCCCAACAAAGGAAAAGCTGACAAGAGCTGTAATAAACACATTAAAGGGTATACCTACAGTGTTATGTACCAATGCTGTACCCATGGACGGTTCTATAACAGATCCACATACTGATACACAAACTATTGGTGATGAAACAGAATCATCCATCCAGAAATCGGAACAGGCTAAATCAATCACAGATTCCAGGTAGATGACTTGTCTTTGGCATTTTTATTTATAACAGAAAAATGAGAACTGGAAAGAAAATTAATAGAACTTAAAATTGTTGTTCCTGTTTGTTATTGTGTACATCAAGTATATTGAATGAAATATTTGATATATTATTATACTTAAAACAGGCATTGCTGTATGCTTCAAATAAAACAATTCATTATGTTCAATTCTGAAAAATATTCAATAGATAGCTTATAGATTTTCTTAGTTGTATATAAAAACATGTATGCATGTGTGTTAAAGCAATTTAGGTTATTTTACATGAAATCTTTTTTTGATTGTTGTTTGTAAAAGAATAAGTAAGGCCATTGACTGATCAACAGCATGTACCAAAATCATTAAAGAACATGCCTCCAGATTCATGCTAATTTTCATGAAAATTTTGAATGTAATATTGTGAAGTAAGCAAAAGGAAGCAATTTATACATTATCATTGGCACTTACATATGTAAATTACCACAAAGTGGTCAAAATATGCATAAATAGCCTTACTTCATAACTCAGTGGAAATGTAGTTGTAAATACTGAAAAATCAGTTATTAATCACACATAATATGTAAACTATTACTTGAATCTTAAAACTTTACTTTTTCTTACATCTAGTATATTTTTTTCAAGTGATTTTATTGAAATATTCTGACTCATCTGGAGGCATGTAGCTTTAAGGTTGTGTAATAATATCATATTTTTGTTTCAAGTTGTAAACCAGCTCTGTCAGAGAGAAGAAAGAGTACTGCGGCGACAAGTTCTATCAAACAAGAAAGTCGAGGTCAACTATCAGTGTCACGGTCACAAGCTGGGGACACAATGACTGTTATCTCAGGGGCACATACAGAGAGAACTATTCCCATGTCTAAAACAAGATCAACTATAGGAGATGACAGTGATATGAAATTACCAGATCTTCCTACTGAAGGTTACAACAAATTTTATACTCTTATTTTCTTCAAGTTGACTATGATTTCTTACAAAATGTATATTTGATATATATGTCAAGTATTAGGACCTCAAAATACATTTTGTCTATAATGACAACCATTTTCATGCTTTGGCTAATTACAAATGTAATTTTATTGGAATGATTTACAGATCTTTACCTAACTGATCTGTGGTTCAAAAATATATTTTCATATGACTAAAGTTTTCTTATGTTTTTCCTTCTGATAGAAAACTGATAATTTGAAATGATTTAACTGATCCGTGGTTCTGCCAAGAACTTTCCTACACTTGAAATAATGCTTAGAGGGATAGGCGCATGTGATCTTACTCCATTAGTAATATGTTTTTGTAATTTAAAACACTTCCAAAAGTATATGCTCATTATTTTATTATTTCATTATATTGCTGGATAGTCTTGATATATATCATTAAAAGTGAACCTGCAAATTTTGCTGATATAATATTGACCTAATTTTCAGACACCAAGACAAAGGAAGAAGATGAGATTGGTATAGCAACCCCTGACCTTGTGATAAAGGATGAAGGTCAACAACTGATAGTTGAGGGAGAGGGATTTATGGGACAATATAAACCATTGTCTAGAGCTAGTCTAGAGGAAAAACTACAAAAAGAGTGAGTATCATTATATTGAGGTATCTGTATTTACTGCTAAATTTGCAGCCTAGCCTGACAGCTAAGTCATTTTCACCTAAAAAAAATATAGTGAAATTCTTATGTCAATATTGATATCTTTGCTTTGGACTTTTGTAACTGGATTTTTATGAATAATGAATTACGTTCATTAGTTTTAGACAACATTGTGTATGGATAACTATAAAAGGAATTTTCATTTTCTCACTATGCACACTCAGAAAATATTTCAGACCATGTATTCTAAATGGTCATTTTAAAAAAGATGCTGACCATGTTTTACTCTTCTTTTCTCAGAGATTCGTATTAAGAAACATTTATATATTTTTGTTCTGTTTTTTCTCAGTGATCAATTTCAAGACATGCTTCACACAACATCTACACTGCTTCAAGAAGCTCTCGATGAGATAGATTCATACTGTGACTTTAACAAGTGGTTGAATGAGATACACCAATTCTGTAAGAAATGGACAGAAAAATCAGTACGAGAATTTAAAGGAGAGCAAGCATTTACAATAGAGGTAGTTTATAGATTAACACTTTGTATGAAAATAATGGGGCTGAATTTTGTTACTGGAGCTTCTGATAAAAAATGTTTGTCACTGTCATATTTAATGTTATTTTGTCATTCTGTTACACTGACAAGTTTATATATAACATAGCAGTTTCAGGATTATATTATTGCAATCAATTCTGAACTCCATGCTGTGCAATATAAGATCACAACACACTCAAAGCCAAGCATTTTTCTCTAAGTATACCATATTTGATGCTTATAATTTTGTCTTTCTCTGACTTGAAATATATCAAGTAAAGGCACATTTGCATATTCAGAAAGCCAATTTTAACTGCATTTGTAATTCTTAAATTGCAAACATTTTTAATTTCTATATTTGATTACAATGTCAATATCTACTCTCTGTTATAGTATAAATACACATACATGTATATTTCTCTATCTATATACGTACAAAAATTTATATACATGTATTTATTTTCTAATTTCAGCAAAAACTTACGGAACTGAAGTTATGGTCAGATAAAGTTCGTAATTTTGATCATTTTACACACACCAGTAATGGACTTATATATGTTGACTGTTCTCATATACATGATATACTTCTACCAAGATTGAATGACATTTACACTGAACTTGTAGATTTTGTAGCAGAAGAAGCTAAATCACTGGCCAACAATTTCTGTAGTGATATGAAGGTTGTCATACAGGTAGGTGAATAATAGTGTTATTTCCACTGTGTTTGCGTCCAACTTGTTCATGTTTTCTTTAACCAGTCCCCCTTATCGCCAAGAAAATTTTGTACATGTGACAGGCTAAAAATGGCCTCAGGTCGATCTTAGGCTAACTAGTAACCGACGCTCTCAATTCATTGAGAAGTTGCAGCACTTTGAAATCGGTTTTGATAGAAAAAAAACAATGCAAAATAGTGATTTTTGGCAATTTTGAGACATTCCCCCTTTGCCTTGGTAAAAGGAAATTTACAATTGAGCAAGCTGTTACAGAGGCTATGGTGTAGTCAACATTTGTGCCAAGTTTCATCAGTATTGAAGCATTTTTCATAGTTTCATAGCAGTTTGAACTTGTTACAGGAGGCTTTTCAATGAAAACGGCCATTTTTCGCAATATGCTCATGGGGTAAAAGGTTAAATGCTTAAATGGTAAAAATATACAAATTAACCATGAATTCCTGAAAGGGAGTTAATTTAAAGGCATTATATTGATTTTTTTGTGTTTGTTTTATTTGAAGATTGTTTTTTGTCTTTTCATTTCTTTTTTGAAATGGTTATCATGTACTATTTTTTTTTATCTCAAATAAAGGAATGAAATAGGTACAGTTTTCTAAAAGACTAGACAAATTTCTTTTACTTATCTGGTAGTCATTCACAATTTTTTGACATATATAGAACTTTAAAAACTTGATGTGGTGGGTATAATTGTATTGCAAATCACTTCATCATTTGAACAAACCCGTACTTGCTTCTACATGTATTCTTAAACTATTGTTTTCTTTTTTTCAAAGTATGATAACATATGATTTCGGTGTTTGTTGTAGAACATGAAAGACAAGAATGCCTCTGTAGACCAGTTTGCAACATATGCCAAAAATTACAACCAGTACAAGAAAAATACAGCATCTTATCAACAGAAAGTGGAATACATCAAGTCCTTATATGAGGTAACAAGTTGTTCTATATGTCCAGAACAACTATTCTTTATAAATTTTGGATAATTGTTTATGTTTACTTCCTCTATGAATGAAGAACCATTCTTGAGTTCAATGAAACATGGACCTTATTCAAAATAATAGTTGTGACATAAAAGATTGTCTGTGAAAAAGATGATATGTCATACTTATATTATAACATATTATAATGCTTTTATTTTACTGATAATTATATAGGTAACCATATTAAAATTGTGTTATATAGGTAACCATATTAAAATTGTGTTATATAGGTAACCATATAAAACTTGTGTTATATAGGTAACCATATAAAACTTGTGTTATATAGGTAACCATATTAAACTTGTGTTATATAGGTAACCATATTAAACTTGTGTTATATAGGTAACCATATTAAACTTGTGTTATATAGGTAACCATATTAAACTTGTGTTATATGGGTCATTGTATTAAACTTGTGTTATATGGGTAAACTTGTATTATATAGGTAATCAGGATGAGTTACCGTCAGTTGACCAATGACGAGGAGAAATATGAAGAGAATGTATGGGCGGCCTGGGAAGCATTTCTACTACAGATGCAGGACGCCTCAGAGTTTGTAAACACTCAGACTCCATTGATGACTCAGCTGTTAGAAGATACATACCAGGTGATCTTTTATTTGTGATCATTTTTACTTGCTGGTTCATGGGGAAAATTTACTGTTCTACTATTAGTTATTTCTATCTGGTATTTCTATATGGTCTTTCTATCTTATAATTATAGATGATAGTTTGATTATTTCCTTTTTTCAGCAGTCTTTGTATTTCAATATTGATGTAGTTTTGTTTATGCAGAAATTAGGAGCAATACATACTGAATAAACTCTGTTAATCTTTGTTGATGGTAGAAAAACAACTCTTCTTGTGAAATTGAATGTTTTTATTCTTTTGTTTGTTAGAAATATAAGTGTTCCAACTTTTTTTGTAATTTTGCAACAATCTAAAATTTGTGACCATAATATGCTTCTCAGATGTGCAAAGTGAAACCTTTTTTTTAAAAACACAACACTTTATTTTTATATAATTCATTAAACAGTCTTAATATGATTACCTTAGTACCAAAAGTCAAGTTCCAGTCAACGAGGCAGGCAGAAATGGAAAATTTTTGTGGTAATGTTTGTCACTTACATAAGATACAAACTAAAAAATGTTACTAAGTAATGTTGTAATTAAAACTCCTTTATAAGTATTGCAGAAAACTACAAATAAAAATTAGATATGTATAATATAAGTAAAGTATAATTTTGAATTTTGTAAAGCCGCCATCAAAACCTGGGGACGAGCCTGAAGAGAGTTTATATTTGGTAACTTTGTAACTTTGTTATCTACATAACAGCGTGTACCTTATTATAACATATTGATCCTTTCCTTAACTTGTGTGTTTTATTTTGTGTTTTCTGTAACAGATTGTTGTTTATATTGTCAGGTATATCTCATATATTTACATTGAATTTCAGCATCCTAAACTTGATAATAAACCTACAAATAATTTCTCATATATGGTAAGAAAAAAATGTGTAAATGCAGTACTGATATTTCATACTTTCAATAAATAACTTTGTCATTAAAATGTAGGTTTGTAGTAAAAAGCTTTATTAAAATAAGCAAGCAAATTAATGTACCTGTATACATAAGGAGCTACAATTACATGTGGGATAGAAACTCACAGTGACCTTACTAGTTACAACATTGGCGAGATTTGATCAAATACCTGTTAGAATACATTAGTCTTAAATTTAAACTGTGTAAGATATGACAGTAAATTAATATAATAAACGTGTCTGTGGTAAATGAATAATTAAAGAATATTGGTTTATGTTAGAAGTATAAGATTGATGTGGCAGCATGGCCTAGTGGTTAACGCAGTCAGTAATCAAATGATCCCTAGGCACATGAGTTCAAACCCCGTCAGGTGCAAGTCATTGTTTCCTTTAGCAAGAAAATTTACACTTATTGCTCAGTACTGGTTGGTTCCAGGAACGGATTCGAAAGTGTGTCAATAAGCTTATAGCTTCCCACACAATCAAACTAAAATGAATTCTGTATAAATCACTTGTAAGATTTGATAGTGAATGCATACTACTGTAGAGCTGTTAAAATACACACATTTTCTAGACATGCTATATGAATATATAAGGTATATTTAAATATATGTATGATATAATTGCAAGTATATAGCCTATATTGTGCACTGTGTAATGTATTTACATATGATAATAATAATGTATGTAAAAATGTGTAAATATTGATCAAAATAGTTTACAATGTGTGCAAGGTTAACACAAGAACATAAGAATATGCAGCATTTTTATCACCTATGTGTAAATTATTAGAATCAGTTTAAATGTTGTTGGATAAATTTTAACTATTCCCCATTTTAAGCAATTTGTATTGATGTTAAAATGCCAGATTCATGTGATTATAATAGTAACCTGTTTGCTAACTCATTAATGCCTTCCCTAGTCAATATTTTGCCAAGTCCATTGATTTTTTGTTGTTTGTTTGAACCCTTTTAAAAAAAGTTCTAACATTTATTGTTCAACTTTTACAATAATTCTGCTTTGCAGAAATAAACCATTTAACAAATTTCAAAGTTTTGTCTTTAACCCTTCAAATTTCCAAACATTTTCTGTAGAAATACCATAATGATTTTAGTGAGAAAGTTGTAGTGTTTTTAAACATTGATATTTACATGATTAACTTTGGGATTATTACCCCTGCCTATTTATGCTTTCCTAAATAATCACTTAACATATCTTATTGTTCTTTATTTTTGTTTAAATACACATGTTTGTTTTGCTGTACATGAATTTGGTTGTTAATTGTTAAACTCTTTCTTTCTTAAAATTTACAAGATTCTGATTTTTAAGAAAGATGTGACTGAGAGATAATGTGAATGTTTTGTGTTGTTACAGCAACTGGAAAGAGAGGCATATGAGTTGGAAGAACTGGCAACAAATGGTAAATTCCTCGATCCTGATCAGAATCCCACACACATCATTAAAGATATGAAACAGGTTTGTACATGTGTAACTAGGTTGTCATGTGACCCTTTCACTGTTTGTTACTGTAAATCTATGAATTATAAATAATAACAACAAAAAACAGCCTTCCCCCCCCCCCCCCCCCCCCCCCCCCCCAAAAAAAAAAAAAAAAAAAAAAGAGAAAGAAATAGTGATTTTAGTCTGCCTGTAACACAGGTTTTAAAGTATACATTTTTTTACCTAATGTTTTTGTACAAATACTAATGTAGTTTAAAAAAGATGTTGTACTAGTAGTGTTATGATCATGAGTAATAAAGTTTGTTAAAGTTCCAATTATCAAATATTTAAAATCATCTGTAATACAAACATTCCATCTGTGACACTTTATTAAGGATTTTCTTCATTGCTTGTAGCAATCTTTTTTTCCAGATTAGCTTTAAATTTATCTTCTATTGCTTAATTGTGTTACAGATCCGAGATAAATTTTACGACATTCAGAATCAGTTACAGAAGGCCAGTAAATGGCGTGAAGCAATCTGTGGTGAACCGTACGATCTGACATTCCTGAATGAGATGACGGTAAAGTTAGATGTTCGACAAGAACTCTGGAAATACGTGGAGAGCTCAACACATGCTATCAGAGATTGGAAGTCTATGCTGTTTAAGAAGGTATAATGTCACTTGTGTATACAGTTTATTATTTATGTAGTATCATACAGTGGATAATCAAAGGGCTGCAAGCTCTGTGGTATTTTCTGATCTTTGCAATCTAAATCGTACTGTATATCTGTATGTATTTTCCTGTTTCATATAGAACATTGAATGATGTAAAATTGACACAGTATTTAGTAACAATGACAAGTGTTTTGTTTTCAGATGAACATAAAGAAAGCATTGGAGAAGATAATAGAGTGGCAAGCAGCTGCTAGTCAGCTTAAACCCTATCTTCCCCATGGTGACAAGGTACTTACAACTTGGTTCAAGACATTGCAGGAATTCAAGAAGGATTTACCAGTCCTACATAAACTAGCTAATGATGCTCTCAAGGTAATTTACACTAACAACATGTTCATGAAAAACAGCCCTTAATTTGGATAACACCATATTTAGTAAAAAATATATTTATTTTAAGTTATTTGTTAGTAAACCCTGAAACCTTATTGAATCACAAATCTACTACCTGGAACTAATAAATGCTGCCATCATATTAGGAAACATAGTCATGACCTCAGTAATGTTCAATGCTACAATCTCTAGCCACTGTTTTACTTGTACTTGCTTTGTTTCAAGTTATTCTCAGTTATGTATACTTCATGTATGTATAAATTATGTAAACTTCATGTGTGTATATTTCAGGAACGTCATTGGAGAGCTATTTTTGTTGGTATGAATGAGTCATATGACCCTAAGAAACAGTTTACTGTGGCTGACCTTTTGACCTATGACCTTGAAGAGCATGCTCAGTTGGTGCATCAGATATACCTCGGAGCTGTTGCAGAATATGACCTTGAACTGAAGATAGGTCACATGAAGAAGTTCTGGTTAGAGAGAGAATTTAAACTGGCTAAACATATACCAGACAGTCTGTTGGCTTCTAAAGGTAATTCTTGATATAAAACTGAATAACTCGTTATATATAATATTTGTAACTGTAGCAATCAGGTATTTCAATTAACATTTATATTAACAAAAAATTAATGTAGATATATACTCATAATAATAGCTTATTATCCTGACATTTTTAACTTTTAAAATGAAAAAAATAAAGATAATTCCGGTAGAAACTTGGCTTAAATTAATAAAACATCAAATCTGTTACAGCCTTCAGGGCCAAAACACCATTTTTGGGGAAAGGGCCTTAGCCTTTTTCTTGGGGAAAATATGCATGGTTTTTGCATACTTTGGGGAAAGGGGTCTCAAATTTAACACAAACTTTTAACAATGTCTTCAAAATAAAAAAGCAAAAAGCATTGGGAAATACTAATAAGCCTATAAGGCAGTAAAAGAAATAAATTCAACTCCATCATTTAATTTTGTTCTAAATTCTTGGGAAATTTCAAAAGACTGGGGAATTTGAGGACCAAACTGGGGAAAAAAAGAGGCTAGTTTGGTTGGGGAAGCAGCCTATATTCAGCCTCTACAAAGAAGGGTTTTTTGGCCCTAGCCTTTAATATTTATCAAAATTTCATTCTAAATTCTTTGGAGATTTTATTATTTCTTTATATGAAATATTATATATTTTTATATTAAGTTTGTGTGATGTAGAAACTGTTTTAGTATAGTGAAATAATGTATTTTGTTGGTGAAGGAATCTCCTTTGTGCATTCCTTAATTGTTTTATGTCAAATGTAAAATATTTGTTTACATGTTGGTATTAGGGGATTAGCCTTGTTTGTCTTATTTCTTTTGTAGAATACTTCTCTTTTCCTGACAATTTAGATATGACCTGATATATTGCGGGCAATTGCATCCTGATATATTTTAAGTTATTGTTCAAAGCATTTATCAGAACTGTGTGTAACATTATTGTCGTTATGGTATAAACAGGAAAAACATTTTCAAGATATTTGAATGCAGGATATAATATTATATAAGAACCACTATCTCACTATTCTTACATTTATAATGTTTTTCAGAGAATCCTGATAGGTACCAAAACTTATAGTTAATGTGACTATTTATCCCCCTCAAAGTACTTAAATAGTTTATTTTTGAGATGTAGATGTTAAAATTTTATGATTGTAAGTAATCAAGGTTGCAGTAACGATGTTATATATACAAGGTAATCATGTGTATTTTGTGACTGTATGTTAATTACCAACAGAGAGTGATTCAGAATCTGAAACCGAGGAGGAAATCGCTGTCATGAAAAGACGAAAGACGTTAATTCCACAGGGTAACGATCTCCGCAAACAAAACCTTCGCAAAATAAGCCTTCGTAAAACCAGCATACGTATATATACCCTTCCTATATATATATATCCTGAGTGTGATAAATAAAACAGTTTGGCACTGGTCTATTCTAGACTCCTCACCTCTAATAATTGAACTTTCAGTCTAATAGTCATATTTTCAGTTTTCGCTAAAAGACATTGTTTTTCTTTTTTTTTTTTATTGTGACAATTGTTTAAGACCCAGTAACAATCATTTGAATCCTGTAAAAAAAAGTTTAAGCTTGTCTTATTTGATTTCAAATTTTTACTTAGTTTGATTAAATCATCATTAAAATCATGTTCTAAAAATATATTTAACACCATCGTTACAGTAAATAGCTTAATTGTAATTTTAAAGCATTGATTTTCTTTTATCATATGTCACTATTGCTTCTTGCTCTTCATAAGTAAGGTAATACAACAGGGAAAGTGGCAATAAATAAGGGAATTTCTTGTTACCACAACTCATCATTTTGAATAACAAAGACAAGCTTAAACATTTGTGAGAGAAGAAATAAACATTGCATGACTGTAGTAACTTAATCCTTAACCCTGTAAATGCTTATACTTGATAATTTAGGACCTTTGTATATATAGTACATGGACATCTTTCCAGTTTGACTAGACTACTATAAAGCATGGTTATCAAGGATATTTGTACTATTTGTGGTTTAATTTTTAGTATTTTAATATTGAAATTCCATGATTTATAAATGCTTGGTTACAAAATAATGGTATAAAGATACCAGTAATTATCAGGGTTAGGGTTTAAACTGTATTGACAGAAATTTTGTTTTCAGCTTTAGAAATTGATTTTGCTTTATGCACCAAATACATAATGTTACAACAATAAAATATTGACTTGAAAGAAATTTTAAGTCCCTTAGAATCCTATATCATTTATAAGGCATCAATAATTTTATTCTGCTTATTTTAAGTTAATTGCTACAGTTTTTGTTTTTATTAGATGTTAGTGTGTTGCTTATGTTTTGTGTGTGTGTCTGTCTGAGTGTTTTGACGATTTATTCTGTAAAAGATGCAAATGTGTGTGTTCTTTGTCTAAATCTTTACTAGAACTTTGAAAAAATCTCAATGTTATTTTACCTTCCTTGAACTATCTTGTATGATTTCACGCAGTATATAACTCTTTTTTTTTGTAAATGTGAAGAAGAAAGTCTTCATTTTATTTTGATGTCCATGATCATGTGTATATAGAAACAGATTTTTGTTGATCTTGAATTGTTATTACTCATTGAGTGAGACACCGTAAGGAGAATAAAGACAATATGCCAATATAAGTGTTGACAAGACAAAAGGAACCCACTTACACAACAGTGTCTGAGGTTTTGTTCTTGTCAAAAATTGAATGTCCTCTAGAAACAATTGCTATGCCAACAACATGCAAGATTCTCTATGACTTGTTTAACATTAGTGGTACAGGTGAAATATTTGTAGATCATTTTATATTATCAAGTTTGTTCCTGGCTGCCATTTGTGGTATTTTATGATAAGTTTGTAAGAAACCCTGATATGAAATATCAATACACATTGCCTTACTATATGGCCATTGTTATTATATGTAGTACAAAACTGAGATGGGTGATACTCAGAGGAACTTCAATATGTCCTTGATTATTTGACTCAGAAGTTTTCTTTTTACAGCTATTCAATTAAAGGAATTACGAGAACACGTAAGACTAGCTAAACTTAAACGTGCAGGTATATATTTATGTTAAATGTGCAGGTATATTTATATGTTGAATATGCAGGGTATAATTTTGTGTTTAACTTTAGTCATATGTGCAGGTAAAAGCTATGTTTTAACATTAGATAAAATTAATGTGCAGGTATAAACGTTATGTGATTATAATAATGGGCATCTTATAAATGATGATGACTAGTATATGGCTTAACATAGTGTAAATCTAGGGGAATGGCATCTCAACTTGGTAAAGAGAAAAATGATTAATTATGTGGTAGGATAATGTGCTTGTGTTGTGAATAATACTTCCTTTGTTTGTGTTTTCAGTGATTATGTATAAATTGCCTTTTACATGGGCATGAAAAACATACTTGAATTATTATAAAACATTCTTACAAATAATACTGTTGTTAGGTTCGGCTAAGTTGTGATGTTGTTATGGTGATTGGGAAACTTTTCTTATACTTCAGTAAGAAACACCCTTATAGATCTGTTCTATGTTATATATTTGATCATCATATTATGTCATATTGTTGTCTTATATTAAGAATAAAATTATTTGATTATCTTTCACATTATCTATGAATGTTTTTCAGAACCAAAGAAGCCATCAAGTCCTCGGAGACGTACAAAACTGGAGAAATATCGTCAGGAGAGAGCTGCTGCTATGAAAGATGGATCACCGAGGGGTCTGAATGTGGCAGATGATGATTATTATATCCTTATTGAAGTAGAGGAATTAAAATACCAGCTAGAGGTGAACATAATTACTTACATTTATGGCTTTAATAACACCCTTATGTGAATTTTTCTCAAATAGCAAAAAGCCATTTCAACTATGAAACCTTAAAAAAAAAGAATTGACTATCACAAATTGAAAATTTTGAAAATTTAGATTCCTTAACGTAAATAAGCATGAGCATTTAAAACAGAAAAATATGCAAAAGATGATTAAGAAATATACTCTGATATAAATTTAAAATCACACTTTTGTGCAATTTCTTGCCTGATTTGAGTCAAAAGCCTTGCAACGCTTTTCAACTTATATGGGTCAGTTTTTACAATAAGAATAATGATTCTGGAAAAAGCAGAGCAATCAAATGATCTAACTTTTGCATACAAGTTATTACCTAGACCTACATCAAACAGTAGACTAATCTTGGAAATTTATTTCCAGTTCTGTCATGTCAAAAAATCTCAGTGGAGTCCCTTTAACTGTATCAATCCTATCATTTTGAACAACTTAGAAATAATTGTTGCTTATATTGAAAAGCTCACTGTTGTTGTTTCCATTTAAAACTTACTTATATTGAAAATTTACTATTGTTCCTTGAAACATATTTAGAACTAGAAATCATATCTTTTTTATTTCATATTTTGAGATAATTGAAGATAATTATGAAAATCATTACAAGAAGAAATGTTTTCAATATAACAGGACAGTCAGATTAGTATAAGAGGAATGATGCAGTCCCCATATCTCGGAGACATGACAGCTGAGGTAGAATCCTGGAACAGTGCCTTACAACAAGTAGAAGAAATAGCAGATCTATGGTTTACTTGCCAGAAAAAGGTATCCTTCATTTACATCTTCTTCCATGCCTTTGTCAATTTTTCTATGTTACATTTTTTAGCTTGACTATTCGAAGAATATGAGAGCTATTGTAGTCGCCCCGGCGTCGGCGTCGGCGTCGGCGTCAGCGTCCGCGTCGGCGTCTGCGTTGGTTAAAGTTTTTTGTAAAGTCAAATATCTCAATTATTATTTGAGATATTCAATTGAAACTTACAATACTTATTTATAGTAACAAGGTACATCAGATTGATAAGTTGGATAACTCTGCCTACAATATTGACAGAATTATGCCCCTTTATAACTTAGAAATTTTGGTTAAAGTTTTTTGTAAAGTCAAATATCTCAATTATTGCTTGAGATATTTAATTGAAACTTACAATACTTATTTATAGTAACAAGGTACATCAGATTGATAAGTTGGATAACTCTGCCTACAATATTGACAGAATTATGCCCCTTTTTAACTTAAAAATTTTGGTTAAAGTTTTTTGTAAAGTCAAATATCTCAATTATTGCTTGAGATATTCAATTGAAACTTACAATACTTATTTATAGTAACAAGGTACATCAGATTGACAAGTTGGATAACGCTGCCTACAATATTGACAGAATTATGCCCCTTTGGAACTTAGAAATTTTGGTTAAAGTTTTTTGTAAAGTCAAATATCTCAATTATTGCTTGAGATATTCAATTGAAATTTAAAATACTTTTTTATAGTAACAATGTACATCAGTTTGCAAAATTGCATAACTCTGCCTGCAATATTTGCAGAATTATTTGCCCCTTTGAAACTTAGAAATTTTTGTTAAAGGTTAAAGGTCTTCAAAGATATTTACTTGAAACTTTACACATGCACTTAGGGTCATAATTGGAGGGTCATAATTGTATGTCACTGACCAAGTTCCATAACTCTATCTTGCATTAAGGCTGATTCATATCCCCTTTTCTACTTAGTCTCTTGGTTAATGTTTACATGCAAGTTTTACATATCTCAATAACTATTAAAGATATTTATTTAAAACTTCACATATGCATTTAGGGTCATAATTGTAGGTCACTGACAAAGATCCATAATTCTATCTTGCATTTAGGCTGATTTTTCTCCCCTTTTTCAACTTAGAAATTCATGGTAAAGTTTTGCTTGTAAGCTCAATAACTACTGAAGGGTTTGTGCCTTTTTTGGGACAATTTTATGCATTCATAATAATAAAGCAGTGATTTACTTAATAAAGCATCTTAATAACAAGCCTTTGTACCTTTTCTGTCAAATTTATGTATTCATAGGTAATAAGTATTATTATACTCAATAAAACACCCTTGTGACATTACCTTCCGAAAAGTCAAGCCAATACTGTATAATTAGACTCTCTCTAAAGGCCTATAACATGAATTTATAAAAAAAAAATAGCCCTTTTGTGAACTTAAAAAATTTAACATTATCAAGGCTCTTTTACTATCAAGCACTTAGAATAGTCGAGCGTGCTGTCCTACCGACAGCTCTTGTTATATTTTGCAATATATGCAATTATTTTTATATGCAATTATTACATTAAGAACATATTAAAAGGTACATGTATATGGATACATTAGAGCACAGTCAAAATAATTGATACATAGATCACATATAAAAAGAAATGAATTATAAATTTAACACTATGTTATAACACTATTATTCATAGTGGGCAGGCATTAGGAAAAGTCATAAATTATTAAAACTTTAGTAGAGCCCTTATAACTGAAAATATTGTATGATTTAAATTCCACTCAAAAAATTGTGTAAGATAACATGTTTGATTCGTAAAGATAATGATGACATATTATTTTGGTTACAGTGGCTATACTTACTGAAGGTGTTTGAGTGGCCGGAACTATACAAACGATTCAAGGAACATGCTCCTAAATTTGAAGGTGTCCATGCTAAATTTAAGGTAAACTTGGAATATGTTATATATAAAAACATACATTGCATTGTGAACATTGTTATTTACTTGTTAACTTTCAGACTAATGACAGTGTTTTTTTTTTTTTTTTTTTTTATATATAGATATAAATACATTAGAAATGAATCAAAAATAGAATAAGATATGAAACTCGTGTAAAAAAGTGTTAAATATTCACAGAGAACAATATCTTTGGCTTGTTTTATAGCTAAAAATTGTTTCAGAACAAATGTTCTTCCACCTGCCATTATAAGGTATAGATTTTTCATTTTAGTACAATTTATATCATTTGTTAATGCATGTATCAAGACTATTTATTTTGATGATAAATTGAATATGTTATAGGACTGGATGCGTGTTGTGTCAAATGACTCGAAGGTTTTGACTGTGATCAACAGACGACGTGGAGAGAAAGGTTACAGGTTACTCCAGGGAGACAACCTTAGAGCTCTTTTCTTACAACTCATTCAAACACAGGTTATCCCCCCTTCTACATTAACAGTTTATTTTACCCTTTTATGTAATTGCTAGCTGTTTTAAAAATTTTGAACTTTTTTGTAAAGAAAATTTTTATATGTAAAATGAATTAGAAATTATTTCAGAACAATTAAATAGGTAGCTGTTCAATACTTAAGGAAAATCAGATACATATTGAATGATAGGATATAGATATCCAAATTGTTAAAATGTCTTCCCAGTAATTGCTAATGAGTGTCTTACAAATCTTATGATTTTATTTTCCTCATTATGCTTGTTCAGTAAACAGACTTGCTGTTCTGAAATAATTTATACATGTGGCTTTTTCAGTATCAAGCTTTAGTAGAAGTATTATAATAATATAGAAAGAGACAAATAATTTATCCTGGAATTATCACTTCATTATTGATGACAATGAGTTAGAATATATATTGTAATATTTCAGGAAGAAATATTGAAATACCTGACATCTCTGATGGACAATTGTCGGCAAGAGTTTACACGTCTATACTTCCTGTCAGATGAAGAACTTGTAGAAATGATGGGTATCTCCAGAAACCCACAGGCACTGCAACAGTTTGCCAAGAAATGTTTCCCTGGTATTGAGTCACTGGCATTTGCTCTGCCGCCAGGGACATCAAGTCTGAATACCCATCTAGACTTTGCTTTACATGGTATTTATTTATTCATCTTTACTATAATATTGTGTTAAGGAATATATAATTGTGTGTCATACATGGCTGAAAAATTAGACTTATGTGAAAATAATAGAAAAGCAAGTGAAGTAAAATATGCACGTCCATTGTGCCCTCACTATTTCATGGCATGAAACCTGGAATGTTTTTTCATCAATAAAATTAATATATATACCAGTGCAAATAGATTTGTAACTTAAAAATCATCTCTAACTAAAGAGGACAGACAGAAAATAAGTGTGATAGAATTTACAGAAATTTGGAGATTACACTTCAGATTTTTTTTCCTTATTTGTTATTTAACTGAATTACTCTTTATGTACATGATACATTGGAGCGATAGGTTCACAAATACAGTAAGAAAATCTTGATAAAGTGTGACCCATCAGAAGCATTAATCACAACTAAATTATATGAAAAATGCTGATTCGGTTTGATTGAGTCTGTACATGAGTGAAAATGAAAAAGTGCTCAAAACTCACTGTTGATTTATGCAACAAAATTAATTGTTATACTAAGTATCAGTTTAATGAATGTGATCATGTATAAGTAAGTTTGACTATATAATTTGTTATTACAGCTGACAAGCTACAGGTGATAGCTGTACGGGGCAAGCACGGTGAGGAGGTGCCATTCTTTGCTCACCTTGAAGCTCAGGGCAAGTGTACTATATGGTTAAAACTTCTTGAAGGCATCATGAAAAATACCATAGCAACCATCCTACAAGCATGTGTACAGAATAGAATGGAAGATGGTAAGTAGAAGTTTTAACTAACAATAAATAATTTCTGCCAGATTTTTACTTTTCTTTTCTGTTTTGCAACACCAGAAGTTCTTAAAGACTTCAAGCTTAAAATGATTTTGATATAAATGATAACTGGAAAAGAATAATTTTTTTGTCTGTTTGAAAGAAATTTGCTGATAATTTAAAGATTTATCTCAAACTTAGTCAAGTCATTTATAATTTTTATGTGTTATTATTTTCCCATACAGGTGGAAAAATGCAGCCAGTACATATCTTAGAAGAACTTATAAAAGTATATCGAGCCAAGTCTGAGCTGACAGAGGAAGATCTGGCTGTACAAGTTAGTCATCAGTATCAACATTGGTTGCTACGGTTCCCAGCTCAATGTGTGTATGTTGCTGAGGGGATACTGTGGGAAAGAGCCATGCATAGGATACTTGATAAACCAGATTTTGAAATTGATGAGCTGAAATTCTTAAAGTTAGTATAACTTTGTTTATGAATTATAACAGCTTTTATGAATAGATTATACCAATGATTCTGAAATCATGTGGTTGGTTACTTACTGAGGAATTAGTAATTACTGGTTAGTAATCCAGGAAAGCTGGTTAGGTTGATTGACTGCAGAGATGTGACAGGTTGATTAACTGCAGAGATGTGACCAAAAATATGTTAAAATCAGCATAAAAATCAACCAAACAAACTGAAGGAAAAAGAGAAAACGATACTGTAGTTGTACATATTAAGAGACAGTATCTTTTGAGTTGTTAAATGCTCTTTACCTGTAACTAGATGCTATCTTTGTATGTAAATATAGAACGAAATTGAATGTTAAGTGTAATGATACAAATAATATCTTGCATAGAGGAATTTAGGCTTTTTTTTAGCGAGCATTGACCTAAATCTATTACTAGTATATGTGTACATTGGCTGACAAAGTTATGATTTTATAACCTAAATCACTCAATCAACAACTGACAGTTTCAATTCAATGTGGGACAAGTAAATTACACAAATTAAACATTGTGGTTTAAACAATATATAGTTATGTAATTTTTTTATCAGATTGAATAGTAGTTCTCGACTAGAACAGTATGTTGAAGTATTGAAGGAAATGCACAAGACTGGTGTAAATGAACATGTAAAACAAAGACTACAGTCACTGGTATCTATACTTGTTAACCAGAACATTCAACAGAGAGACTCCATAGAAGGTTAGTTTGTATAGTTATGTGCTTTTCAGTATAATGTGAAATTATATTTGAATGTGATTAAAAAAATCATCTTAAATGAATGGAAATTTTGTTGAAAAATTTATAAAAATAGCCATAAATTTTTGTAGTACCTTTATTTTTTAAGAGATAACATCGCGATGAAATTCTGATTCCATATAGAACCTCTGTGATATCTTCATTTTATTGAAGAGTCTAATCAGTTTTTTGGCCATCCACTTAGAGGTTATGAGGTAAACTAACAAAAAAAGAGACCTGTTTAACATGTGTCATGAACGTCTATTATTAAATAAGTATAAATTAACATTGTAGCTATGCTGTTGGAGAAAGTGATCAGTGAGAAGTCATTCACTTGGATGAGGATGTTACGTTACCATATGGACATAAGAAATGTTCTCCGGGCCAAACAGGAACCTATAGAGCCCACACCAGCACCACCCTCGGTCCAAACTGATCACCAGTTTATACGGAGGGCAAGCAGGGCCACTACACGTAGAACTACTTCTTATACTTCATCAAGAACTAGGAAAGAGTCTGTTGGTAAGTGGTTGTTTGATGACCAAATAACCCTTAGAATATGATGAAATTAACTGAGTTTATACATACATACATGTATATCTGCTTAGCAGTCTTAATAGCAAATGTCCTCGATTTTAAACTTGAAACATGGTAACAGGAATTAAACACATCAGGTGTTATTGGATTTAGCTATAGGGTGTGAAATGTCTTCAAATGCATGTAAGCGTTGAAAAAATGGAATAATCTTGCATCTTTTTACATAATATTTAACATAATTTGTCAATTAAAATTTTCAGTAATTTGTCGGATTTGTAGTTAACTATGTTTTATGGAGTATATGGTGGATATAAATGTGTATGCTAGTTTACATTTCTTAATCTGTGAGCAAGGACTTTCTATTATTATCACAATTGTTTCTGCACAATTTTAACTGTAACATCTTATTTCAGATGAAACTGCAATGCAGTCAATAACAAGAACAAAGACGAGTGTATCAACAGATTTTCAGTTTGGTTCATGTACAATAACACAGCTAGGTAACGTGTTTAACTATGACTACGAGTACCTAGGTCCGGATACAAGACTTGTTCTCACACCACTTACAGAACGAGCTTTCCTGTCACTTACACAGGCAGTGAAAAACTTCCACTGTGGAACACTGATTGGCCCAGCTGGTACTGGAAAATCTGATACTGTCAAGGATCTAGCCAAGGTTTGTTTAAATATTCAAGATTTTTAAAATATTTTTTAGGAGGGTTGGGAGTGAGGGGGGGGGGGGGTGATCCATGATTTTTTGGGTCAAAAAGTTTGTTGTAGCTTTTTATTTGGTCTAGTTTTTAAAACAAATATTACAAGTACGGGTAATATCTTGAGGTCCAATTCATTAGCTTTTTAGTCGTGCTTTATAGCAGTTATGTAGAAATTATCATTTCTTTTCCTTACAAAGAAAGATGCAATAACTTTTTGATGTATTAAATGTAGAATTCTGTATATGAAACAGAAAGTGTGCAATTGCTTTAAATATAAAGTAAATGTCATCTGAAAGTGATCCAAAAATAAAATCTATAGTGGCAATTCAAAAAGTTTGAAATTGTCTTATGATATTTTTAATTGTAACCTGATACTATATAATGATAATGTATTATTGTATTATAACAGATGTTTGGTTGCTGCCTGTTTGCTATCAACTGTAACAGTGAGGTAACACTACCTATGATGACACAGTATATGATGGGAATGGTTCAGTCTGGATGCTGGGCACTCTTTGATGATACAGACAGACTAACTAAAGGTAATAATACAATACTTGTAACTGATGTCCAGTCATGTATTAGTTAAATACAGGGGATTTTATAGCCACGGAGTAATGATTGTTTATACCTTTCATGAGAGTGAGATATTTGGTGAGCTAATGAAAGGTTGATTGTGCAAAGTTGCCTGCTTCATGTAGATCCCTGTTTCTGCCTGATTATATGTATGTAGGTACATTGAGTTTCTTACCAGGATTGTTGTTTGACATTAACAATATTGATGTGACTATACCTACAAGCAAGGGGACATAACTATACCTACAAGCAAGGGGACATAACTATACCTACAAGCAAGGGGTCATAACTATACCTACAAGCAAGGGGTCATAACTATACCAGTGTTAGCGATTTTCCCTAACTTTACTGAGTACCTGGGACTCAGTGCTAATAGATCTGTTACGTCCCAATTCAAATGGAACGAGTCCTCAATTACAAAAATGTCAATGTTTGCATAACTTCATAATACAATCAAATTTGTGACTGTTGATGTTCGCAGATACCATTGATAGGTTGGCCCAAAACGAGGCCGAGCACTTGCTCCTAGTCTACGTTTGGGATATAAATCTGCATTGCTAATGAGAAAGGAACAAATGAAAATGAGGTGAAAGTCAAGTTCTTATAATACAATTTATTTAAAGTGAATAGAAAATCATTTTCAAGCAGAGCAAAAAAACTTTAGAGAGAATTGACCAATTATCGGGGAAAAGTGTTTCGTCCCAGGGACTCAACAGCCCTTTTTTTCTTTCCTCCCTGGCAATTTTAGCGAGTAAATTGATATGTTTACTCAGTAAACGCAAACACTGTTATACCTACAAGCAAGGGGACATAACTATACCTACAAGCAAGAGATATTCTGTATCAGTTACACAGGAAAACAAAGATTAGTGATATTTTTATATTTTACCAGGTTTGATGTCAGTGACAGCTCAACATCTGGACTATCTTCGTACAGCTCTCAGAACTCTAGATCTGTCTAGTGAGAACCAGTATAAGATAAGAGGCCAGCCTAGAGCAGACAAGGTATACATCACACTTTGTCCTGATCTTTGTTTGTTATAGTATTTATTCAGCAATATACCATTTTTACCAAAAGAAAACTGGGTATTTTTGATATATACTTTTATCATTTCTTTAGAAAACATATGTTGTTTTTCATTTGACTGGACATTTTGGCATTTACAGTAATTTTATAAAGTTACTTACACTGGTGATTGTTTGATAAAATGGAAATTAGATGGGAAGGTACATGAAGCAAATTATTCATTTAACTATAGTTATCACTGTTTCTTTCCAGGTAAGTTTTTTTTTAATTAAAATGGTTTGGTAGGAAGTAAATGACCCAAATTAAATGTTAAGTTTGAGATTTCAGACTTCTCAGAAAAAATTCTTTTGAGTAGCATTTTTTTTTATAATATTGATTTATTGATTAATTAAATAATTTGTATTTCATAAGAAAAAGAGGCCATATTTTAAGTTTTTATTTAAAAAAAAGAAAGAGTTAGCTAACTTTCATATTATATGATTATTAAATATGTTGATTTTTGTTTCTCCGGCTTTCAGATGTTTTCAGTGGTGGGTGATAGATTTATTGCAATATAAGCATTAGATGTTGCTAGATTTGCCTTCTTGTTTATAAAATGATACGCTTTTTGTTGAGAACAATCTTATTTCTCAATTCTATTGTACTGCCAAACATGTAGATATTTTAAATAAAGAAGTGTGTGATTGAGGCTTTTAAAGCAACAATGTAGTAAGTTGTTGCTCTAGGTGGTTGAGTTACAATGTTGTTGCATAGAACTTGTAAATTATAGCCGTGATAGAAGAACAAAGAAACTTTTCAAGATTTCAAGATCACAATAAAGCACCCTTCTATGTAATACAGTCGGACTTCGTTCGTTCAAACTCAGAGGGCTTGTGCAAATTTGTTCGAGAGATCGGTAGTTTGAGCCAACTGAGGTTGAATTATAATTATGTTGATGATAGGCCTAAAGGTTTTTAGCTTACACCAGTCAAATAATAAATTCGTCAATATAATTGATTTTTAAAACATCTGTTTGTGGAATATGTTATATTCAGAATGATTATCCTATTAAAAACAGTATTAACGGTACACTGTGTTTATCTATATTCATGCATATTGAGTTCGATCGGGCGATCATTATCCAAACTGTGAATTTTACTTTAAACAATGAATTAATGAAATATTTAAAAAAAAAAACATTTAACAGCAGCATCTATTAGTAGTCATTTACTAAAAAAAAACACACGTACAAGTATCATTCGATTACACTGTTACAAATCACGTTACATGAACCATTAATTTATTGACTTTTGTGCATTTTAGGAGTCATTTTCCTTTTATCGTTTCTAAAGACGGCAAATAAACAATTGTATCATAACAAACAAATCGGTTACAACACCTTTTATTTGGTTTCATTTAACCTTAATTGCCTTTGTCACGATCACGAGGTGTTAAAACATGTGTCACCGACTGTCAATTATTTAGAACATGTCGACCGCAACTTCTGTTGTCTGTTTGTGTTCGATCGAAAAGGTGTGATTTACACTATATTTCTGCCGACGGGACCAGAGATCAGGTTCGAGAGTTCGAGTGATGGGTGTTCGAGCGATCCGAGGTAGAACAATATATATTATATAGGAATTTTGCCGGGACTGGGCAATGAGTTCAAGCGAAGTGAGGTATTCGAGCGATCCGAGTTCGAGCGAACGAAGTTAAACTGTATTGTACATGACATCATTATACTGGACCTGCAATTATTGCCTTCAAGTAAAGCTACAGCCTTAGTGGTGGTAACTGTGTCTCCCTCTTAATGAAGTGGTCATTGATTCGAGCCCTACTTGGGTCATAACCATGTTTCCTCATATGACACCAGTACTGGCTAGATCCAGGAAACAAACCCAAGTGTGGTTTGAATAAGCTACAATCTTTCTATATTATGAAATTAAAATGTTTTAGAAAATTATTGCCATCAGTACTGAAGTAGATATTTCTCCCATTTTATTCATTTGAATGTATGTTTTGTTCCAACTGATTCATTGAAAAACACATTAACGCTAATTTTCTTGCTGATACCAAGAAAACAAACTTATTCAAAATTTTTACATGATCTACATTGTATATTTAGTGTAAATATGAGATTCCTTTTGTCGGTAGGTCGCTACATATTTCTGTTCTATGTAAAACACACAAAAGTGTGTCAGCTTCATACATGTAGATAGATATAGTAAACTGTATTGCATTACAATAATTTTACAATTCCCCCTTGAATCATTTATTCAAGTATTTATCCTATCCCCTCCTGCATGCAATCAAACAGTGCTTTAGTAGAAACATAATTTATTTTTCATGTTTTATTTTTATGCTGTTTACTGATCTATATTTTCATATTTCCTGATATGAAGTTATTTTTTTTATCTTAAATATATTACATTCCTATTAGTGAAAGTTTTGCAGGGCTTATGTTTGTATAGAAATGAATGCCTGACTTGAGAGAGCTTACCAGCCTAGTGTTCTATAATTCAGCTTAAAATAGAAGCCTTGACTTGGAAAAAATAGAAAAACCAACCCTGTTATAAGCTTTAGTAACAATTTCTGTCATGATGAAGATAATTATATTTAGGGCATGGTTTGAAAATGATTGTAACTTGTATGATATAAAGGAGTTACAACCATTTTTCACAAAACCCTACAATAACTCTAAAATATTGCTAGGTTAACATGTAAATTTCTTCTTTTGATGAAGCTTTAGTAACACTTAATAATACTTAATGTTAAGAAACTTTTATTAAGGGTTTGGTGTTAAATGGTTGTAACTTGTATGATATAAAGAAAGAGTTACAACTTTTATGCACTAAAGCCTTACAAGTTAACAGTACTATACAATGTATACATGTGTCTTAATTGAGTCTCTTAAAATTGTATATTTCATTTACAATAAAGACATGAAAATCTCTCACCACAACGGAGGTGAAATTACTTGATTGAGAAACAAGCTGAAGCAACAGGATGCCTACACTTAGTAATAGTGTGAAATGTTCTATTTATGATATTTTATCCCTTTGTTATCTTTATATTTTAAATTGTTACTGTCATAAGAAAAAATATAGTTTTTGATTTAAATAATGACACTAATATTTAACATTTTGAGGTGGTTTAGTTACTTTGTTAAAGGGTTGTTCAATTTTATTTTATCAATTTTTACTGATTAGAGGGAATGGTGTTTTATTATATTGTAGAAAACAGGTGTTGGTGATGCTGTTATTCGCCGGAACTCTTTGACCACACTTCATCCACTTCCGAACACAAGTGCCTCACCTCAGTTAGAGAGGCAGAAAACTGTTCCACATGGATTCAATGTAATCTTTTTAACTTAACCAAACTATGTTAGTTTAATGAGTGAGGGAACCAGTGATTTAAAGATTATGTTGTCTGACTATGCTCAGAGTATTGTCTATGAAAAATTATTTATAAATGACCTTTTTACAAACCAACTCATGTGTTTAAAGAATATAGATTTTTTTGTTGTTAACATTGCAAACATTGGAAAAATGAAACTATGTTGATTTTTTCTGTTTACTGTCTACTGAATACATTGTTTCCCTACATTACAGATGATGGTAAAGAAAAAATGTCATATAAATCAGTGTTGTATAAATCAAGATTTATCAGTATGTTAAGCTGTGCCAAAGTCGAGACAAGAAAAAAAGAACAATTAAATGGTCATAGAATTTTATATGAAAATAAAGACATTTATCACATTAACTATGGCACAGGAGTGTAATAAAGCCATGTGAAAAACATATTACACTAGTGTAATTACACTTTGACATGACGTCATTTGTGTTATATACAAACAAAAGGTTAAAACCCGCTTACATTAACATTGTAGACACGTCAAAGAAAAATGGCTCTTTTTAACTGTATATCATTGTTATTTTGAATATTTGTTAAAAAGAATATATTTTATTCATGAAGATTTAATAATAAATTTATTGAGCTCAATATTATGCTCGCCAACAGCTCGCATAGTATGATTTTAATCAACTTGTTCAATAAATTTAGTGTTAAACGTACACACATCCAATATCATCTTTATATTACAGGAGAAAGGTTTGGTAACATACTTTGAGGAGACATGGATAGCGGAGAAGGAACAAAGGAGACATTCTATAGAGAGAGAGATAGAAATACAAGAATCTGAACTGTACAACAAAAATAAACCTCCACCATTATTCTATGGTATAAAACAAATACTTTTATCATAATACCTTTATTTTATTTCTTAAGATATGCAAGGGTAAATCAAGACTGAGATATTTTTTATCAAATAGAATGAAAATATACATTTCAGGACTATTTAAAGATAGGTCAAGCAATGTTTAATTTTGACGGTTTCAGGTTTTGCTCACTTATTTTTCACTGAAGCACATAGTTATTTCTGGCTGTATTTTCAGCTGCAGCAAAGGGTAAGATATGTGATGAACTAATTGAGTTGTTTGAATTTAAAAGCAACAACAACAACCAAACAATCAATGGTTGTTTTAATATGCATCACTTACAGCAGGAATTTATAGAACTTTAGTGACTAAATTTAAGAATTATTCAAAGAAGGGAATCACTTTTAGTAAGAGTTGCTTCCCCTGGATAAATAGTCGCATAATGTTACCAGTGTACCATGAATCTGCTGAAAATAAGAATTGAAATAGTTGACAATGGCCATTTGTTTGATAAGGGTGATGAAATGACATTAGACTGTATAAAAGTTGTTGATCAGTTAACTTTAACATAGATAATAAAACCTTGGCAATTTGTAAAAGCTTATAAATAAATTAATGTTTTGCTTTTTAACATTTTTAACAGCTGTGATATTGTTTATGTAAAAAAAATTATTCTGGTATAGTAAAGTATAGTAATGTTACATGTTTTAGTTTTTACAGCTGACATGTTTTTTATGTCTTTATAATTATGTCCTCGATTATGAATAAAAATAAAGTAAATATTCACAGTTTCTTAAAATCAGATATGAAAGTTGTAATGTCATAGAAGAATCATTTTACAACCTGAGACACTGTGCATTATATATATTCACAACATTCCCCATGTATCTTTGAAGTTTGTTTTGTGGTATAGCAGTTGTATAACACAAGAAAAGCACATGTACCGGTACTTGTTCAAAGGGCTCTTTGACAATAAAATCTAGGTGTGGCTTCAACTTACTTTCTCTTCTAAAAATATTCAGCTGAAAATAAGAAAATGTCCTTTTTACCTCGCTTTAAAATTATTTAACTAAAAGGATACAGTTTTCATACTGAAAGGTATTTAAAAACTATGTCGGCTCCGTTTCATACTTCTCAAGGGATGTTGAATATTACAATGTGAGAAAGTTATTCAGCTATTTTAAGTTATGGTTGTACTCTTGTGCCCTCTCTTGTAGAGAGCCAATACAGCAATAGAGTTGTGGTATGCTGTTATTGAAAAAGGTCTGTTGTTTGTATTTTAGCTAATTTTTCATTACAGAACCAAAAATATCTGACCAAATTTTCAAGTTTTACATGAGACCAAAAGCCAGTAAGAAAATGCACATGCAATTTTATACAGGGTTGTGGAACACAAAGCTTTCTCTCTCATTATATCTTTAATAAATTATGTTAATGTAATGTACACTGGGGTGATTTAAGTTCTTTACATCTAAGGTAATAGATTGTTTGATTGGAAACATTTTCCAAATGCTCACATCTGATTGGTTGACTTTAAACTTTAATTTAGTCTAGAATTTACCAATATTACACATTGACTACTCTTTTTTTTTAATGTCTTGGGAGAACAAATATTTTTATCTTAATTTTTTTAAATATTATTTTTATTTGTTTAAATTCATATGATAGTGAAAATGTTTTATTATATTTCATACAAAGGTATTAGGTGTCTACTTTTGTTTGTGTTTGTGTTTGTAAAGGTGTTGGTATTTCTTTAGGTATCAATGGTGAAAATAATAAATAAGGGCACTTTGATTTATATTTAGGAAATAGATATCAATTCTGAGTGCATTGTTGTAGAATAATGCACGGTTTGAGTTCAAATGCGTAGTAATATAATCACGAAGGCCGATAGGCCTGAGTGATTAATTACAAAGCATTTGAACGAAAAACGTGCATTATTATACAATAATGCACGAAGAATTAATATCTATTTCCATTCTAACACGTCAAGTAAAAATATAATTATTATTATAAAGTTTGGACTTTATGTTTGGCGGTTAAATTTGTTTTCGCCTCAGAGTTTCCAATAGAAATGTTCTTTAAAGGCCGTTCCAGTGGGTTGAAAAAACTGTCGTTAAATCTACCGTGTGTAGAAACATTTTAAGGATAACGAATTTTGAAAACGTTGATAAAACTTTGTTTGTTTATTTTATAAAGGTCTATAATTTTCCAAGCGAAATACTAATTATTAAAAGTGTAATAAATGTAAAACTTAACTCGTCTGCGACGTTAAAATAGCGTACTTGATTTTGATTGTTTTGCACGTGCTGTTTGGCGCTACATTGTGACGTCACGTAAACAACACTTTAAACGTCTGTACAGCGTTAACGACTGAATTATAGATATTGGTGTTCGGATTTATTTTCTTAGTTAGACCATTTTCTATCATTCTAGATAGTTTTCACAACAAAATTCGACAAAAAATTGTTTTTATTTATCAGATTTTTCAAACAAAATGGCGCCCTCAATGTGAAAATACACAGGGAGATAATAAGAACGGCGAGTGCATTGTTGCAGAATAATGCACGCTTCGGGCCTTCTTTGTTTATATAGAAAAATTTCAGATAGTGTTAGAATTCATGTTTTATTTTCTTCAGTCACATTGTAGCCATTTAGCAGTTGAGATTGTGAATTACAAATGTATTTTAATATTATTAAAGATAGGATAAGTAAGAAGAAAATTACACGTCAACACAAGGAATGTTTATATTATTTACCGGTTTTGACCTACCATGAGGTCTTCATCAGTATCAGTAAATATTGACAGAGATTTGGGCCTAAATTATTAAAAATGAATAGTATGGTAATTATAGTCACATCGACTGACAAAAAATTCTAAGAATTTTAATATTGTCGTTTGTGATAATCAAAACCCTTTACTGTTTCTATTATGTTCATAAAATTTTGATGCAGAAGAATATTTCAATATTCCGCTCAAAACAAAGGAAACCCAGTTAAAATATTGGGAGATGTATGTAGGTACTCCAGATTTACCTAGGAGATAATTTACTATTTGAATGCTGTATGAAGTGTATATATATTATAAATATTTATAAAACAGAGCATGCTAGATTCAAGGGTAAGAAAGCATCACCAGATTACAGCAAGTTGTTGAAGGAGTCAGTGTACAAGTCAGAAGTACTGGGCAATGTTATGTTTAACGGTAAACTTATCCAGGCTAATGCCAACTACGGCTGCTTCCTGACCATGAACATGGGCAATCCTGCTGCTTCAAATATTCCAGAAACATTCAGGGTATGATTTAATATCTACATATGATTGATAGTTTATGATACCAATATAGGTGTTGTTTAGGTGTAAATTAATTTTGGCACAGATTTTCATTATACGCCCGTAAGAATTTCGGCATATATTGTTACTCACAGATTTCAATTAAGATTTTCAAATTCTTTATGCTAAATAGGAAAATTGATGTAATTGCTTAAAACTGATGCTTACTATTAAAGATAGATCTCTACTTGCAAAAAGAATATATTAACATGTTTGCTCATGCAAAAATATATCATTATTGATTGATTTTACAAAGTAAATATTGAGCTCAAAAGATTTAGAATTTTTATTAAGATATCTTTAAGCCGAAGATTTAGAATCTTTTTAAGATATCTTTAAGCCAAAACGTGTTTATAAAGTATGCTTTCATTTACTGTTTTCTTGATCTCTACCATGCTTACAGTTTAAAATGGACTGATTGAATTTTGAAACTTTGAATTGATAATTAAGGAAATTTATTATCAAAAGATGTGGTCAAACCACCAATAGTATAGTCATGTGATACTGGTTCCCTACTGAAAATACTGGCAAGTCATCATCATCACTACCACTCATAGAATTTAACATCAATCATGATTTCCATAATGAAAGTATTTTATTTTATTGATATCTTGTTTCAGGTATTACTGCGACCATGTTCTATGGTAGTTCCGGATTTGAGACCATTTATTGAGGTATCTCTACTGTGCTGTGGGTTCCAGGACTTTGAAATCTGGGCCAAAAAGTTAACACTGTTCGTTAAACTTGTCAGGATGAATGTAAATATTATTTTGTTATGTGTTAGTCTTTCTGCTTTAGGTTGTACATTGACATTTGTTTGATAATTAGAATTTTACAGGAATGGTCTATGGCATTGATGGTATTCCTACATGAATCTCTTGTCCCTAGTCTCTGTTGTTTTGATTGATAAAGTGATTAATTTGAAATTACTCGGATTACCAAGATTAACTCTTTTATCTGAAATAGTCTTTTAGGAGAACGGGTATCTGTGTTTTTTCCTCAAAAATAAAGCTGGATGATCTCTATATAAATATGCTAGTGACAGTCTGAAATAAAGCCCCTAAATTTCATAAACATTAATAATCTGTACCCTAAATGTATGCAAGGAATGGCAACAAAGACAGAGCAATACTCTCACTTCCTTTTGCTATATATTACAGACTGCATTCATTCACTACTTGTCATCAGTTGTGATGAAATACAAAAAAATTTTGGTCATTCACCCTTATGATTGAATACGCATAATATCTCAGTGACAAAATCAAACAAAGATTTTATTCCATGTCTCAGTAAAATATGTTTCATATCTACTCAAAAAAGGAATTTTCCTGTATGTATAATGTAATAAAACCAATTAAAATGAGATTTTGTTGAAATTTTCAGTTACCCAGAAAGAGTCAGTATGACTTTGGTATGAAGGATTTAAAAATGATTCTTCATCTATGTGTGAATTTATTGAGGGAATTAATGGAAGCTCAGGAATTTGAAAAGAAAGAGATGGGTAAGTGGTGTCATACTACAGTCAAACTTGTAATATAAACCAGATATCTAGATAAATAGAGCCTTTGTAAGACTCTAAATTAAGTTACCATAGGAAACCTTGAAATCTTGAAGGCAGTCCAACATGAGCAAAACACATTCTTTATGTTTATTGAGTTAAGACAGTCCTTTGAAATACATGTAATTTATATTAAGAATATTTATTTCACAATTATATTACTAAAATATCAATATGAATTATATCTCGGTGATTTTTTCCAGTATACTATAATTGTACAAGACTAAATTTGTATATTGAGATAAATATATCAAAGCTTTAGTATATTATTTCTTGGAACCTGTACTTGTTGGAACATATATTAAAATTACATGATCATTGTTCTCGTAGAGGATGCTGCCAAACAAACTGATACCAAGATTGACACACCACCACTGGTTGCCATGGACTCCCATGCCCTGGAGGAACAGAGTATAGTTCAAAGTATAATAGATGTATTACAACCAGGCCTGGAGACAGAGGATGATGTTGGCATGTTCCTGGAAATCTTGCGTGATGTTTTCCCACTGAGTACAAAACCCAAGACAATGTATGGTCAGTTTGCTGATACTAAACTGGTGAATGCTGTACAAGACCAGCTTAATGAAGATAATGTGAAAGAAACCCAGGAAATTATGGATAAGGTAGGTTAAATATTTGAAATGTAAGCAGTATTGTGAATTTTATTTTGAAATTGCCGAGAATGACCACCATAGTGAAATAACAAACATGGTCTTTGTCTTTGTCCCTTAGTTTAGTCTATATCTTTGAAAGGAACAGACTTTGATTATTGACTTCTTTCTTGTTTATTTGCAGATTCTTCAACTATATGCCACTATCCAGCAGCGAGAATCTGTCATTTGTACTGGCCCAGCCGGCTCTGGGAAATCTACCTGCCTCAGTGTACTTTCTCGGGCATTAAACCGGCTCAATTACTTGCTGTTTGCACCGGATCATTCTAAAGATGAATTAACAACAGACCGAGACTTTGTCTTTCACGCTAAAAACAAGCTCCAGGTCAGTTATATATAAATACTTGTTGTACTGATGGGTTTCCATGGTGATTTAAATCTCAAATAAGTGCTGTCATGTTCATCAATACTCGAGTCTAACTTGTCTCCGACAAGAAAATCTCAAATCATTTCTGGATGATTTTAATTAAATACAGAGTTTTAGTATGGTATCATAAAAACTTAGATATTATTTGTAATTTTTTACACCAGGGAGTTTTAGGTCTTCAAAAGTTTATAGATTGAATATTGATGAATATTTATTTTCTGAACACTGACAACATTTTGGTTCCTTTATTTCAATAATTTATATTAATCACCTCAATGAACACCATTAATTCTTTTGGTTAAATTTCCTTATTTAATTACTAGAAGTGAATTCCATTCTTTAGCCTACCAACTTTATTTTAATCTAAGTATTTCTCTCTGTTAACTTGATGAACAAAATAACATTTCATTGATTGTCAAGCTCTCAATAAAATCAATGCAGGCCTACCTACACATTCATGCAGTTTGGTGCATATTTATGAAGTTTGGTGCATATTTATGAAGTTTGGTACATATTTATGAAGTTTGGTACACATTCATGAAGTTTGGTACATATTTATGAAGTTTGGTGCACATTCATGAAGTTTGGTGCATATTTATGAAGTTTTGTGCACATTCATGAAGTTTGGTGCATATTTATGAAGTTTGGTGCACATTCATGAAGTTTGGTGCACATTCATGAAGTTTGGTGCACATTCATGAAGTTTGGTACACATTCATACAATTTGATGCACACACATGAGGTTTAGCATTCATTTGCCTGCTTAATTCTAGCTTATTGAAATAAAAACTCTTGTGCAACAATTGATATGTCCATTTAGGAGTGAAAAGATACAGTTTTTCTAAGATTGTCAATATTAGAGTACCTGAAACAAAGTCTTTTTCAATCCTTTAAACTTGCATTTAGATGATAACTATTTTTTGAGATTGATTAAGGATTTAAGATGCTCAAAATACTGCTATTATGACATACAGGAAATGGATATGGATGAATTTATAGAAGCAGAAGAGGAAGTAAGTAATGTGGCGCCCCCTAGCGTAATGGATAGGTGGTGCCACCTAGTGGATATTTATTCCAGTGTTGCATAGCTGTAGCATAGCTTGTAAAATTTCATAATGAAACTATTAATGTTTTCAGTCGCAGTCACCTTTAGGATTGGTATATGTCATTTTTGTTTCATGAAAATGTTTCTTGTTAAAGTTGAAAAAAATTATATTAAAACAAATTTCTTTTTTTCTTTTTTTTGTTATTATTAGAATTTTTGTTTATTTTTCAGATTTTTGAAAAGCTTAGTAATTTGTCATTTAGCATTAACTAGTGGACCTTTACAAAAGTTTTATAAATAAATAGTCCTTGGCTAAATATTGGCTCCAACTTTATTTATATATGAAAAGAACTGTTTTTGTCGCTTCAATCTGCAGCATGGATTTTCTTCAAATCATTCCCCTTGCTATAAAATAGTCTAGCTCAGGAGTTAAATAATGAAAAGGTTTTTTAAACAACTCATATTGGAAATATTTATACATGTTACGCATTTTTAAAAAAGAAAAAAAGTTCCAATAGCTTGGAGTTAGTCTTAAGGTCTTGACCTCTAGGAAAAGAGATGTTTGCTTTCCAGAGATATTTATGAAATGATTTGAGCACATTATAAGGACATTAGGATTCACACAATGTATACCAATCAAGGCAGTATAGATTAGTTTTAATACATTGCCTCTAATGACAGTTTTAAAGTGTATAAAGCTATATATCTGCTTTGAAAATTATTGTCTGAATTTCAAACAGGAATACTTCCAAAATGCTTGTATGTAATAAACATTTTAGAAAATTGCCTTCAAAGGGAATGACGCATGCACAAAATCATTGCTAATTGGATAAAACTCTAATTAAAATAGCAAATAATATTTTCTTCGGGAACATTTTATTCTGTTAACATACAATATTTATGTGTGTTAAATAACAAGAGACATTCTAATTATTACAACTTTTTCAGGAATCAACCATATAATTATGAAACCAATATAATTTTACTGTTAATAAATTTTATAAAAACTTTTCATAAGATAAAGATTTATACCCTTTAAATCGTAAATGTTTTTTATGTTATAAAAAATATGTAATGCCTAATTGAAAAGATTTAAGGATAATAACTGTAACTGTAATTCAAAGTTTAATACAGTAATGTAAATGTCTAAATTTTTATCAAGTAAGAATACTTTATTTTTGAAAATATTATTATACATGTACTATGTCCTTTGTATCTGAACCTCAGACACGTCTGCACATCGTTTTTCATTTGACATGCTGTAATAATGACCCCCAAAGTCACTAGACACTACCACATTATGGAGTTCAATTGTATAGAAACCAAAATGATCTACTTCTGTTCCTACTATTTAATTTTGTACCAATTTTGTGGCAAAGCATTTTATTTACAAATGAAATCTTGTTTTAAGTTAACTTTGCTTGTGTAGAGTTATAATCTTTCTTTTTTGTTTATGCTTATACAAATATTTAAAGGTATAGAAATTTTGTAGTGAAATATTTATTGACCCCATCTGCAGATCAGTTAATATAACTAAAATATCATTTTGTTGTTAAAATTCAGGGATTTTTTTTTTGCTTATTTCATATTTTGATATTCGGTCATATTCCCAATTGAAAATAGTATATTATTTTCCCAATCCACAGGAAAAAATTCCCAATTGAAAGTCACAAAATATAAAAAATTAATATTGAATAACAAGTTCTAAAATCTTTGTTTCTTCAATGTTACGGTGCTTAAATGTTTGAAGATGCCATCCTAGACAGTGATTCTTTGCATTCATTTAATCACTGCCAAATTAAAGTCATGCTTTTTTTCCCAATTTTCAACAAATCAACGCTGAATTCCCAATTCTATGGGCATGGGTCATGTTCCGTAAATCCTGGAAAAAACCCCTGAAATTCGTAAAATTACAGTTCCAAATTCAAAACCAGATAAGTCTATCACAAAAAAAGTAAATCTAAAAAAATGGCTTATTATTCTTGTTTTATAAATGATGATGATACTTTCATTGTTTCAAATTGTATATACAACCTTTTGAATGAATATATACATTTTCTTTACTTCTTTAAAGCCATTGTTTTCCTGACCCATGTTAGATACCGTATTATATTTGAATCTAAAGGATTTTACTTGAAAGGATCACATCCTTGGTCCCACACCCTATGTGATACTGGCCTAAAAAAATAATCAACCTGGAATCAATTACATATTCTAGATGAAGATAGAAAATAACCGAGCTATAGTCTATAATAATAATTGCTTGCTTGTGTTTGCTTTATAAAGAGTTTTTGTAGTTGCTGATTATATGAAGGTCCTATTAGGATCCCATTCCTGGCATGTTATAAACATATTGCTATATATGTGTGATAATTTTATTTCTGTATTGTATTTGCTATTTGCTGTTATGTTAACCAAGATGTTTTTTAATGCTTTTTTGTAATGCAGAGCAACAGTTTATGTAGTAATATTTTCATTGTTTTAGCTTAATTTTCAGTATGTGTTTTTTCATTTATACATGTAGAGCTGTCATTGATTCAGTGCAAATCATATAAAGATATACAATGTTTATCAATATAGGATGAAAAATATCAACAATACACTGATATAACAATAATTACCTTTAGTTAGTTGTCTATCATTCACACTCATACCTGTTTAAATGATTTCAGTAAAATACATTTTTGTTCATACAATTATGATATGTCTTGTTGAATGATTTTTTCTCACTTGAAAGAATTTTGGGCACATTATGTTATACCCCCTGGCGTACATCTCTCGCTCTGGGCTATTTAAGAGAAGTAGGGGGCCATCTAACTGTAAACAGAACAAAAGAGAACAATAGAGTTCATTCCGTAACAATAGAATAAGGGGCCAATTGGCCCTCTATTAAACAAAAGAAAATAACAAAAGAAATGGCCCTTTAGTCCATTTAAGTGGCACGTCCGTCTGTCCGTCCATTAACAATTTGGTTTCCATAGCATAACTTAAGTTCTATTTGGCCAACAATATTCAAACTTCAAAGGATGATTGTCCATATTAGATAGAACACCCCTATTGATTTTGGAGTCACAAGGTCAAAGGTCAAGGTCACTATTACCTTAAAACTGAAAACAGTTTCCGGAGCATAACTTAAGTTCCATTTAGCCCACAGTGTTTAAACTTAATAGGATGATTGTCCATATTGGGTAGAACACCACTATTGATTTTGGGGTCACAAGGTCAAGGTCACTATTACCTTAAAACTGAAAACAGTTTCCTGAGCATAACTTAAGTTCCATTTGCCCACAGTGTTCAAACTTCATAGGATGATTGTCCATATTAGGTAGAAGAGCCCTTATGATTTTTGGGTCACAATGTCAAAGGTCAAGGTCACTATCATCTTAAAACTGAAAACACTTTCCGGAGCATAACTAAAATTCTGTTTGGCCCACAATATTCAAACTTCATAGGATGATTGACCGTATTGGGTAGAACACCCGTATTGATTTTGGGGTCACAATGTCAACGGTTAAGATCACAGTTTCCAGAGCATAACCTTAAGTTCCATTTGGCCCACAATATTCAAACTTCATAGGAGGATTGCTTTTTGACGGAGCTAATACTTTATTTAATTCCCATGTCTTACAAATGCTCAATCCAGGAAAATATTGAATATGCATTGATATTATATATAGCAATGACAGCTCTACATACACATAATGTATATTTTTATAGAATGGAACCTAGCCATAGAGATCATGTATTTAAACCATTGTTGTATTCATAATTTAATTATGTTTTTTTCTTCTAAACATTAATTAAAAAAAATTAATTGAACACTATATGTAACTATTTAAGCAACAACAAAAATTCTCTTGTAAAATAAAGAACATATCCCTTTGTTAGATTATTTGTTTATGTACATGTACTTTAATTATAGCTTTGTTTTTTCAAAGTTATATAGATTTCTTTTTTTAAAGTTCAGATGTTGCAAAATCAAATGGCCATGAATTGTTTACATAAAGCTGACCTTATGTAATTGTATTTTGCAGTTTTTGTCTCGTCTTGGGCCACCAAAGACAGAACCAACAAAGGGAGGTAAGAAGTTTCGTCACATGGCTTCAATGTTGACAAAAGTTCAGGAGGCGATTCACGAACTGGAAGTTAAGAAGTCTCCAGAGTATGCTATGTATCCAAAAATAGACATGGTGCGTCTAAATCCAACAGCTCTCTCTAGCCAGGAGGTATGTACTCGTGGCAATGTGTTTTTTTTTGTTTAAACTTATTTATTTATGCTTATTTGTGAAGAAAGTTTCAAGAATTTTTAAATACTCTTAAGTCACTATTTCCTGGAATTAACCTGTCATACAAACAAATATTTTTATGACCTAAGTAAGGAATATGCCCTCTGTGGAATTTTAACCAGTAGGCCACACTTAACCTTGTATATTCTACAGTTATTTACCAGAAAATTAAAAAATGATTTTATTGAAAAAGTTTAAAATGTCTCAAGACATTGATGGTGTTTGGTATTTTTTTTTTCAAATATTTGAGTTTATTGTGTATTTAGAAAATTTTGATTGGTTTCTTCTATTTATCAACTACCTTCATGAGATGAAAATACATGCATAAGCATATAATATTATATTGGAAAGATATCATTAGTTCTATTTCTTCCTAAACAATCTAATTTAACAATAAATACACAATCTTCACTTTGCAAGTTTTGTTGAACATGTAACAGTTAAGCAATTTCTCATATATCTTATAATTTGATGTTTTGTTACTTAATATATGACCAATGAAGAAACAGTTGTTATATATTTTAAATTATCAACTACAATAAGATGATGTTGTGTTTTTTTTTTTCAAATTTCAGTTTCTAGGCCATTTCAGAGACGGAATGTGGCAAGGTGGTTTGTTACAGAAGGTGCTACGTGATGCCAACTTTATGTCAGATGCTGTGAAAACTTATCTTAAAAATTACAAGAAACAAGAACAAACTAAACAGAAACACAAGACAGATCTACCATCAGTGCTGTTGAAGTGGGTGGTGCTAGATGGGGTATTACATCCTAACTGGACTGAAGGTTTAAACACTGTGCTAGATTCAGAGAGACAATTGTCCATGGCTAATGGTGGTAGAGTTTCACTAAATGGTAAAAATATAATCATTTGTTGTTTAAAAAAAATAACATATCCCAAACACAAACACAATCACACAATAAATTCACTGTTTGGAGTTTGGATGTGAGGAATTATATCACGAGGGCGTATAAAATCACCGATTTGGATATATTATATCGATTCTAACACAACATCAACAAATAAATGCTGCCATACCTGATATTAAGGTAAATTGGGCCTGATTTGAGTCCGTACTTATTTTCAGCGTGTCGCATTTTTAGTGGTTATGTCACATGTCTAAATATAGAATATCAACAGTGATTTTACAGCATAATAACACACTTTCGGTCCTTCTATGTTCAATAGGGAAAATGCAGGTTGTGTTAGAATTATTATTTATGTATACATAAATGTTAATTTTATTATGTCATACACTCTAAGTGTTAATTATATGTTTACAGTTACATAAGTTGTCTAGGGCAGAGATTTATGAGTGATGGTTCTCTATTAAGACTTATCTCATTTACTTTGTATAATAAACTTGTATTCTATTAATGTTTTAATTTTCCTGCCATTTTCTCATGCACACACCTTATTATAACTTGTTCAGACACGTACAAACAAAATTGATAAAAACACTGCATTTAAGTTTATATTGTTGAAAAACATTTAGAAACTTCATTTAAACTCTCTCTATCTCTCTCTTGGGATTTATAAGATTCTCAAGAGAAATTAGAAAGAATTTCAAGTTAATATGCTAGTAAATAATTGTATTAAAACTGTACACATATTTAATTATCTTGAACTGTTTTATTTTCAGTGGACAGCACTCAGTTACTATTTGAGACAACAGATCTAAGTAATGTATCACCATCAACAATTTCGCATTGTAACATTATACACTTCGGTGACGCTGTGGTTCATTGGAGCTCCTTATTTGAATGCTGGGCAAAAACAGCCAAATCTAAATGGATCTTTACTTCAACTTGGTAATTATTCAATTATTTAACAAAATAATTATAAATTAAAACAAATTTTGAGTGTGACAAGTAATTTAATTTTTATTTTAACAGAAACAAACATAATTCAGTAGAAATATCTGGTATTTGTCTTACATATTGATGGTATTGTTTCAGCATGAAGGTGATTATAGATCTAGCCCATGATGTGTTTGGTCCGACAATCAAGTTCCTCAACTCTGAATGTACAACAGCTTTGTTAACAGATGTAGGTCACACTGTTGCCATGGCGAACCGTGTAATTCCCGGTGTACAGGAAGTCCAGTCATTTATCATGATGTACTCCGCTTTACTTGATCGCGGTTTTTCTAGAGATGATTTTGAGAAAAAGATAACTTCACGGGAACCTGATGGTAAATTATAAAAGATACTAGTTTACTTGTTTTGAAATCATAAAGTATGCTAGCGATGTGGTTTTATTTCAGAGGGATTAAAATAACCTAGTATTTAATTTTGTTTGTTTTAGATAAAGATTCTTGTCAAGTTTGTTTAAAGGGAGACACAGGCAAAATTTTAATGTCTTAGTTTTTAATTTTTCATTCATTATTCTGTAAATGTCATCAAAATGAATACACTAAACAGTCAAAAGAACTAAAATTTTCTCCATATAAAGAATAAAATGGTGTTTTTCTAACTTGACCCGCATGGGTCAGGTTAGAGCACTAAGATTTCACAATAGTTGTCACTGTGTAATCTGGAAACGTTAAAGAACATGTCAAATCAATTACTTAGACTTGTTTCAATCATACAATATCTGAAATACCTGTTATAGTAACTTCCAGGGTTTGTTCAAATCACATGACTTGTTTTTAAACTATTCGGTGATTCTGTTGGCGACCAAATTTCGTTCAACATATATAAATATATTTAAGCTTCAAACCCAAAATATACAGAAACTATACAGAAATTCATGCTGGGACTTTAGTAAAAGTCATTTTAGGATGATTTAAACTACAGAAGATCATTTTTGTATTTTGTCATTATTTTGCCTGTGTATCCCTTTAATTGGGGTCTGTTATTAAAATAACTTTGTGCAACTGATATGCCAAAAAGGGTCTATAAATGGACATTTGCCCAGTTTTTATTTGCATTTTTATTGAAACATAAGCTTAAGACTGCATAATTTCCAAACTGGGGGCAAGTGGCCACCTAAACATTGCCACTGGGGGGTGGGGGTAGGGAGAGTGAGGCAAATGTTTAACTTTAATGATAAGGGGTGTGGGGGCAAATATCCCAGATTTGGTGGAAAACTTAAGTCTTGAAAATGCTGTTGTGTAATTATCAAAAGTGCCAAAGTCAATGTTTATAAAGTCAGGTCAAAGACCAAATGAAATTGTCAGCTATGTAAACTAGTGATGTAGGTCTATTGTTATCACCGTCTAACTTTTAGAGAGTTTCACCAATGACCAAGTTGTGGCATATTATATAGAAAGTTGATATTATTTAAGCATGTTTTCATAATTTAATTAAGATAATACACTGAGCATGATCTTTGCATGAAGTTTGTTTTTATATGGAATGCTAGTAAAGTAGTTAAATATAGTGCTTCTAGTAAATCAAAGTAAAAGGTTTCAAGTTTTTTATTTACATGGGCAATGGTTTTAAGAATTATACAGGAGTTTGGCTAGTATTTGTACTAACACTATATTATGATAAAAATTGGATATTATTTTCAGAGGAAACAAAATTGATCATAATTTCCAGACATTTGGGTAAATAATTGCACAAACACACCTTTTTCTCTTTGTAGAACTTAGATATTTCTGGTTAATTTAGTGATATATGTAGATGTAGTAAGATTTTTTATTACTAAATTTTCAAATTTTTTTTATTGATCACAAGTAGTCTCCCTTGAAACCACAATTTTCTTCCTTAGTTTTGGAACAGACAAGGTGTTTTTATTTCCTGTCTAATTAATCTATGGGTTTTAAAATCTGTTTCTAAGAGTTATATTGACATCTTTTACAGAAATAGTTGCTTCTTGGTGTATAATGTACCAATTACTAAACTTAGTTAATTGATTATCTTCTGGTAAAAATTCTGGAAAGTTTTTTTTATTACATGTTTTAATTAAACTAACAGTAGAATATTTTAGTATGCCATTATTCTCAATCATTAATAATCATATATTAAACTGACAGAGCTTATTAAAAATGGTAAATCTGAGCAACTGGTTTTATTCTGCACACACGTACACAGTCAGTGACTTTATGCTTCCATTTGGCTTTCTATTTCTATTGTGCCTTTCATTCTGTTTACCTAGTAAACATAATTCTTTTCTTTACTACTTTGTTGAAAAAAAACATAGTGTTTAGACAGTAAGATTCACCTGGGGTTGTAATTGAATATTTTCCTCATTCATTTGTTCTGTGAATTTGCTGTTACTTTAAATTCAAGTCTCTCAGGTAGCATTGATTTCTATGCTATTTCTAACGAGGGGAAAAGGTACAAATTCTTCATAAGACATTTTTAAGATAAAAAAAACAAACTTTTAAAGATAAATGAAATTTTTAGGTATTTAATTATTTTTAGAGAGGAGATGGCTTACATATCTGATGGAAGGTAAAAAGTTAAAAATGTTAATGTTGACAAAAGTTGTAAGTTCAGAGGGTTAAATCACATAAAATGCCCAAATTTTTGTATTGAAAATAGCAATAATAAAAAGCAAATCTATATTTGTTTAAGATTTCCTTTAGAGAAAACAATTATACATTTGCCTTCTGTCTATTTGATTTTAAAAGCAAAAAGTGATTTCATAAATACATATTTTATATGTTTTTATTGTTCAAAAGACCTATTTACTTATCAAAAGCTTTTTATTTTCATTCTTAAAAGCTTTTTATTTTTGATGTCCACTCACAGTTTCCAATTTGTTACTTCTTGTTCATATTTGAACCATTAATTGCTTCCTTTTGGAAATTTTGAACAGTTACAGTGATTTTTTCAGTATGGAGTATTTTGTATGGAAGTCAAAATGTACCACTTTGTTAACATTTTGCTACCTTTATATCAGATTTTTTTTCACATTTGAAGTTATTTACTCCTAGGTGATATGCATCTAAATTGTTCCAAATCCATAGGCACAAAATTATGAAACCAATTTTCTTGTCTTCAGAAATACTTTTTTTTTTCATAGGCTAAATGTGCCTTTAACACCGTGTTATCCCTTAGTTATAAGTTATTTTTTGTTGATACAGTATTGTTCATTGTCCTTGATCTGATATTTATCAGATTTCTTTTCAATTGTTTTATTTTTTATTGCACAAATCAAAATGAAGTGGCTTGAGCACTGATTTGAGGTTTTCTGTTTTGTTTTGTTTATGGCTGTATTATTTCTTTTTCTTGCTTTAGATATTCGTAATTTCTATTTATATGAACAGCTTATTAATTTATAAATCTCATATCTACTGTGTATTTTTACTGTTGAATTAAGGTAGTTGTATCAAACTATGACTTATTCCCCATAAAAATTGCTTTGAAAAGTTATAAAGATGATACATTGTTAGTGCATATAAATAACATTAATTTCCTCAATAAATTGTGCAGCATTTACAGCAGCCTCTATAGACAAGCCAGTCAGGACTGTTATTTTGAAAATTTCTTACAAAACTGTCAAGCGTTTGTTTTTCCCTTGAAATGTGCAATTGTTATAATACATTACACAATAAGATAACACATGAAGTAGCGACTTGAGTCTGTTGTTCAGTAAAGCTTGTATGTTGCCCTATAACCTTGACAGAACCGATGTCACAAAGTTTGTCCAGGAAAGATATAAAAGATACCAGCTCCAAGTTAATGATCTATCAAAACCAATTATGTGATATGGGAGCCAGGTTAAGTTAGATATGAATTAAATTATATAGAAGAATTGTTGTAATGTATATTTGCTGTTAAGAACAGGTAGTAGAGCCTCTTTATTTATTGTAAATGTTAGTTTAAAACATACAGTGTATCAGATTTAAATGTTGTATATTATTTTGTTATTACAGAAGCAGCAAAGGTTGCTACACCAAGCAGTATGGGTGGTTCTAATTCTAGAATGACAAGTAGTTCACAGATAGAGAATAATATATCTAACTATATAGAGAAGATGAAAGGAATGTTTGCACTAGCTTATATCTGGGCTTTTGGTGGAAACTTACATGATAGGTAACTTTATACTTATGTTTTATAACATTAACATTGGAACAGGGTTTGAGTCTTGAAGCATGGTCTTATAGTATTGCATTGCATAGACTTTAGATTCACAGTAATTTAATCAGGAAGGTCAGGGAAATGTACAATTTGTATTTCAAATAAGCCTCCACTCATTATATAGATATACATGTATTGTAGTATTGTATCATTGAGCTCACACTGGTCTGTGCATTACCTGCAACAAATACTGTTCAGTCAAATTTATTTTTAACAGAGAATAGGTACCTTAATAAAGTGTTATTCATATACACTAACATCATCTTTCTCTCACTTTAAGACACAGAGAGAAGTTTAGTAAGTTTGCCCATGATGTCTTATACCGGGCATCAAACCCAGTACGTATTCCACTACCTGGTACAGTATTTGACTACACCATGGAGGAGAGTACTGGAGCTTTTGTACGCTGGACACAGAAAGCACAGGAAAGATCAAAGAACATTGGTGGTTATATCGTGACACCAGAAGTTGAGAAGTACACTTTCCTTATAGAGCTTCTTGTCAACTCTCACCAGCCTGTCTTAATTACTGGACAACCAGGTGTTGGCAAATCTACACTTGTACAGGTATATTGTATTATTGTTTGACTACTTGCTAATGCAAATATAAAAAGAACAAAACAAGATTTCAACAAAGTGACTAAGCACTATAAAGTTTGTTTTATTTATCATTGATAAAAGTCTTACTGTCACATATGTTATATATAAGATAATGTTTTGTTAACTTGTTGCTGGTGGTCAGATTTTTGTTTTAAAACCAAGTAAATTTGTGATACATTTAATCAAAATGAGAACAAGAATTCTGGTCTAAAGTTCAAGGTTTTTCTTTACAATACAAACATGGTGTTAAATAACAGGGTAGGCTGTCAAATTATTATTTTTACAACTGCTAAAACTTGTTTCACAGTCAACATTTATATCTAAATTAACTAACTAATGAGTTTGCAGAGACATCTTTTTTTTTTTAAATAGATTGCTGTTGAAAACAAATTTTGTACAATATTTGATGTTTCAATATTTCATTGCATGATTTTATATCTATTATAGAACATGATATTGCCTAAACAGACATCTACAACTATAACTATGTCACCTGGGATGACATCAGCTATATTTCAAGAATCATTGATGGCACATATTATAGAGCTGAAGAGTAAAGCTTTGAATGTGATTACATCAGGTCCAGCAGCTTCCAATACATTAGGTGTTCAAAAACATCTCTTCTTTATAGATGACCTCAACACAGCCTCAAAACAACCAGGTTAGTATTTAAACATCATTACCTCAAAACAAAAAGCCCAGTTATTTCATAAATGGGTAAAATGCACAACGTCAAAGTAACATCATTAGTGAATTTTATACTGTAAATAGACAGCTTTAAAATGACGAAGTAAGTCAGATTTAAGAAACTGTTAAACAACAGGTCTTGAAAACAACTTCAGTTGTAGTACTAGTAAGAATTGAGTAAAAACCTTTACAAAACAGACATGTAAACTACATTATAGAAAGTTTTTGGCAGGCTTTATAAAGATATTTATGTATTAATGAGATAAATAATTACAAGCTTGTATATGTAAACAGGGTATCAGCCGCCACTAGAGTTACTAACACAGATGTTATCACAAGGAGGTGTATATGACAGACAGAGACAACAATTCGAGGAGATGAATGAAGCAATGGTTCTAGCTGCTGCCACACAACCAGCCTGTCCTGGTAATATTTATATTACATTGTTTCTGAAGTTCATGCTGTACCTGTACAATTTCTTACATACTATATATTCTGTAGTTGTCACCCTGAGTGTGTTTCTTACACAATAACAAGTGTTGGGGATGCTAGTTAAGAACTGCTTAAAACTACAAGAACTCTTCGGTGTTTCTTATCCTTTTTTGGAAATTTTTTAAGTTTTATGTAAAATTAGTGAGTGATAAATGTCTTGAAGTTTTATGTTGTTTAATATTAGTTCTGATAACTCTCTCATATTTAATTGAAGTTTTTCCAAGAACTACTGTTATTTGGTTCTTTAACAATAAGACTTAACTTTAAATGCTGAGTGTTTTAAATTGAGGTGTTTTGTCTATAAATGGAAATATAATGAACATAATGTAAAAATTTATGGGGGAACCCTGTCATGTGATTATATATGGTAATATAATGTGAAAAATATAAATATTTTTGCAGGTGTAGGTATGAGAGAATCCTGTCATGTTATGTCAAGTCGACTTACTCGTCTCTTTATGAACATAACACTGTTCTTCCCAAGTGCTGATGGAATATTGTCAACATTTGGTCTTAACATCATGAACATACAACACTGGCTAGAGGAATTCCCAACATACTCTGTAGAACACCACTTTGAATTTGATAGGGTAAGTTTACTTAATTTTCTATTTTTAAATCAATAAAATTTCTTGATTTGTATGTAAATCTTTAAAAAAAAATTTATTGTGGTTATATTTATTATTGTTGTAATTCTAAATCTTTGGAAGAATGTTTACAGCAAAGTTTGTATATCTGCATGTGACTTCATTAAATCTAAATACATTATCTATCATCCTAAGAGAAAAATTAATGCTTCATTTTTTTGTCTTATTTAATCAAGATCAAGTGCTAAATTTAACAGGTTTAAAAACTTCATAAAAGTTCATAGTATTGAATGCAACTTCATAAGTGAACAATATTTTTAAGATGGACATAGGTGAAATTTGTTTATGATTTTAGAAACTTTTTGAATGAAAAAAAAAATGAAAAATTCAAAATGCTCACATTTTTCAGTTAAAGGGAAATATATTTTCTTTTTTAATATTTCTATGTACTAGGCATTAACGCTGGGATTGTTGGAGTTGTATCAGCGTGTAAAGGAACGTTTCAAGCTAACACCGTCACATGCACACTATGTGTTCTCCTTACATGATATATCACGTGTAGTTCAGGGTATTCTTATCATGTTGCCAAGATCAAGGACAAGAAAAATGATGAAAATAAAGAAAGATAGTAAGTTTTGTTTTATTTTACATTTTCCTGTGAAATATTTTGCATATTTTCATTGTTATGATATATTTTCTGGTTGTGATAGCAAAAACAGAAAAGGGAAGGAAATACTGCAGTCATTTCAGAGGTATGGAGATTAAAAAAAAAAAACATTAAATTTTTTTCTATGTTTTTAGAGAGAGGTAGTCAGACTACATCGAGGAACACATCGTTGGACTCTAGAGGGTGCTTGAGTCCAGGAGGTAGTAGCAGTAATCAAACTGAAGAAAAGGCAGGTTCCCCACCCATGATGAAAGTGATAGCCCAACTTTGGTGTCATGAATGTACAAGAACATTCTCTGATAGACTAGTCAATGATGAAGGTAAAATAGTTTATTACAACACTAGTTTAATACAACATTCTTTTTGTATAAATTTGATAAAGCCTGTAGTCATAGTTCTATGCCATTTAGACAGGTGATCAAACAAGTTCTTTATATATTTCTGAATGAATCAACTTGGAAACAACAGATAAGGATTAGTTAGAAAATTGTTTGATCTTAGTACATGTGTATATGAATCAATTGTTATTCCATAACTTCAATGCACATTTGCAGGGGTTAAAGACAGCCAAACTTCATCACAAATAATGCATTCTTTTTCAGTTTGTTACAGCCTCTAGTAGTATAACATCTCATCTATCATTTAAGTTTATCTGTGGTTTGTTGATTTTACAGATACACAGTGGTTTGGTAGAATACTTGAAGAGATTATGGTGAAACAATTCTGTAGTCCTAGAGATGATCCTAAGACAGAAATGGCCGCTATATCTGAGGAAACCTTCTCTCAATGAGCTGTATGTATATAGACTTCTTGCCTTTATCCTATATTTTATGATCAGGCTAAAAATTCAGTAATCATCAGTAGTTTTCTTGCTAAAATATGGTTATGTTTACACTCAAGCCTGCTAATTTTGACTCGTGTGCTTCAAATTACTATTAGTTCCAGGACTGAAATTCTGAGTTAAGGTTTAAAATCTGTTTATAGTTATTGCACATGCAGGCTAGCCAGCTGTATTTTAGACCACAAAGATCATGAGATCATGGTCATATTTGCCTAGTTACAATCAGACCTTACCACAAAGAACAGTAATTTGAGGTAAAAAACATTTTAATTCACAAGTAGTCTCATTTGATTGTTATTTTATCAAAACAAATAGATAAATAGTAACCTTTAGCGACAGGCTTACTACATGTTATCTTGTTTGAATATGGGTGTTTAAGGAAATATGTATAGTGGAATGTATATATTTAAGGGTCACACATCTCCTCGAGGAACCCCACCTCCACAAGCACTTTTAACCCCATCAGACACTGAGGGAGCAGAAGGGGATATGAAGGAGGAACAAGAAGGGTCAGTTGCAGGGAAAGAGTCAGATGAAGGGAGTCCCGAGAGCTCTAAGTCAGGAGAATCTAAATGTACATCCCGAGCCTCGAGGGCTTCCCGAGGATCAAGGTCATCAGAGGCCTCGTCAAAGAAAACTTCATCAGAAGATAATTCAGAGACCATCAACTAATCCATTGCTATTGACATAGGTAATTGTAATTAATTTGTACAGTGTCATTTGCTTTTATTTATAAAAGTATACATTCTTAATCATCTTATTTTTTGAAAAAAGAAGTTTAATTGTACTGGTTTTCTCCTTGTCATTAAACTTTTGTTAAAGTTTATTTGTCAAAACAAGATCAAAGATATTTTGTTTTCATTTACTTTTAAAGGGAAATCCATTTTAAATGGACAGGTAACCTTGAAATTTATGTAGAACTGTGTCTGTTTTTCAACATCCTATGAATTACCATGGCACCTTACAGAGTATTAAGCTGTATAGTTGATATCTGTGGATTGTAAAATTATTGTTTATATTGTGATTAAAATGATACGTAAAATGAAAGAAATTTGTCAGTATATTAATTTGAAAAGCAAGTGGAGAGACCTACTAATAATAGCAGTGTAATATTTTGTTCTGGAACATTTTATTCTGTTAAAATAGAATATTCATATATATTAAAGTACATTGACATTTTATAATACAAGTGATTCAACAGATGGTTAAAGTTTATAAAATCAAATCTAACCTTACTGTTTTTAAATTTTTATAAAATATTTCATCAGATATTGCTTTATACACTTAAAGCAATATAATGACCAGATATGGTAATTTTTTACAATAACTGAAATAAATTGAAATTGAAAACATCAAAAACTACAAAATATTTTTAGATGGAGATGAAGCTGTTGAAAGTGGACAGAATTCAGCGAGGGAACCAGGTGATCTCGGTCCAGGAGCCATCTCTGAGAGCGAATACGAGACAGAAATAGAATCTGACTCATCAGAAGCTTCCGAGACTGAAGCAGAAACTGAGACAGAGACGCTTGCTGGTACACCAAGAGGTTATCTTCATCACTTAGTCATTCATTTCTATAATTCACTTAAGCAAAAAGTTATTTCTCTAGTTTTCTTTAGAAAAATGTTATTTCTAAGTACTTGTATTGTAACTAAGTTTTTTGCACACATTCTTTTTAGCAAAAACATCATTTGTAGTTACAGTCTTGCATATATGACATGGATATAGTGACAAAATCAACTCAACTTTTCTTTATTACTATTAATATTAAATCTAACATTGTGTGGTCAGTTGTTCAAAATCAGATTAATTTGGTGTCAAATTATATTAAATATATATGTATATAACCTGTATATATATTTCAGATATGGGTGGAACAGTGGATGACTCAAGTAGAGGAACATCAAGAACTTCAGGTATAAATATATTCATTAAACACTCACCTGTGTTGTTTTTAAATTTATATTTTGTTCATACATAAATTCCGTGTCAAGTCAGATATACGATATAAGTACTTATTTCTGCGGGCTTAAAATTCTGCGATTTTGGGTAAAATAAGGGGTTTTAAATTTCTGCGTATCTTATTTCTGCGGTGTCATCATTCTCGCATTGATGAGTTTTATTTCTGCGTTTTAATTAAGATATTTTTTACAAAATTAACCGATACGAACAGACAACATTTCAAGATATGTTGATGTAACATGTACATTACTTCCGGTAAACATGCAGACGACTTATAACGTGTGTTCATCGTGATCACCATGTATCGGTATATTAAATATGATTAACAAGATCAACAAGAAAGGCGGCGTTCAATGAACGCAATAAACAAAACGTTGTTAATAAACAAAAATCAACAAAATGACAACAATTAATTGTCATACTGCATGTGTATAAATATGTCAAAAGTGTGAAAAATAAACAATGGTAATATCGCACGTAGACACAATATATTGTACAAATACAAAAGGGTATGTTTATTGCACCCGTCAAACTATAATAGTTTTATTTTTAAAATAAATCAAGCTTAGGGTGAGCGAAAATCATACAAACATGACATTTTTTAAACAAAAAGAACAAGTAAAGTAACTTTTTTTTCTAATATTTCATTCATGACGGGTACATAAAGAAAAATTATTCCCATCTACAAAAGCTGATAACGATACATGGTAATGTAATTATACAATACAGGTAGTTGACATATTTCGACATACATGTAGACATAGCAAAAGGCTAAATTTTCTGCGGTTTTTTAATCTGCGGTGTCGTTATAAGCCGCAGAAATAGCAGAAATAAAGTTCCCGCAGAAAAAAGTACTTATACGGTATATGCCAGATATTATAACATAATAGTATTTCATAAGATATTTTAGAGGCTGAGATGAATTCGGGTTAAGAAAATCTTTAAAGAAGTAACAAATGAGTATATTAAGATGTTGTATGAAATAGACATTGAACAGACTCTATCAAACCGAGTCTGCAATTTTCATGTAATTTTGTTGTGATTAATGCTTCCCGAGGGATCACTTTGCTATATTGTAACTCAAATGTCTTTGTTATTGCACTGCAAATTACACAAGGTTTAGTGTGTTGTATGCCCTTCGCTTATACTTCAATTGTGTTATTACTTTCTGGAAAAGCTTTTATTCCCCTAGAAACATAAAACTATATAACAATACTTGTTTTAATGTCAGAAATTGCAAATTTGTGTGTGTAGGATTTAATGATGGTAACCGTAGAGTTATGACCCTTTTTTTTCTTGGTCAGAAAGAACCAACTATTGTCTTAATGTTATGCATATAATATCTGACTTGAAAGTAAGATTTTTTTTTTGGCTTTTGAAATAAAGTGTAATTGTTTGATTTTATGTGAATTTATTTCATATTCGTGTTTTATATACTCAACCTGTTATAAATCATCTTTTAAGTTGTGAAGTTGTGCGTTTTACTGATATTTTTATATACTTTTTGTAACAAAAGTAATCTCTCTCTCTCTATTTTTTGCATTGCTTAAGTATGCTTGTTTTGCAGGGATCTTATTCTATTAAAATTGCTATGTTTTTTTAAAGAGTTAAGTGGATTTTTTCATTCATTACTAACTATATATTATTCTAGAATATCAGTACTAACTATATATTATATATTATTCTAGAATATCAGTATCACGGTAAGAGACTGTTGAGCTAATCAGTTAGCATGTAATCTTAGATTTTACACTAGTTCCCTACAGACCTTAATATAGATCTTAATATAATATAATATACATTGAATCTAACTTTAGTAGCCATTATAGTTACCAGTTTATTAATTAACCCTTTAATACCACATTTAAAATGATACCTTAAATAAACTTGTCAATCTGGACAAGATCGTTTGTCAGGGAAAATGTCAAAATATGTACAGACTGACTAGCAGACAGACCATGCACGATGTGCTGACTGATCTTGGTCTGCACTGGTTGCATGGGTAATTCCAGTTGTTTCAGTTTTTTTTTTTTTTTGGCTTTATATTACTTGATTAGGAAAGAAAAATCATAATTAGGATCAAAGACAGGTGTTTTTTCACAATTTATTCATTTTTTTCCCTAACTTATTAGGAACTTTAATCAACATAATGTACAGTGTATGGTTGTTTTTTTTATAAAGGGATTTCCTAAATGTTGATGAAAAAATGTAAATTAATGTTAAATTAAAGCTCAATTTTTTTATTCATTTCTTTATATTTTTCATTTTAAATTAGAAAGCAACAAACAAAATCTCAAAACTATTTAGAATGAGACTATTAAAATATATGACTATTTCAATATTTTTAAGCCAGTTTTCTTCCTAACAAGTATTAACAATATAATAGCAAAAGCACCAGTACATATTTTATTTTCCAGTTCCTCACAAAGCTTACATTTCTATCGTTTAACATTTTGTACTTATCAGTATGAAGAATATGACAGTATTATCTATTGTTATATTGTTCATTTTTCACCTGTATGGCTCTGTGTAATTATTCATGTATAAATATCATTTTGGATTGTATAATGAAACGAGTAATCTATATATATTTTTATTTCATAATGGAAGGGAAAAGTGTTTATCTTCTAGTCTTCTCCTGAATTTTTATTTTTGGCTGTGCAAATATGTTTGAAATTCTAAAAATCCGTCTGAATTGAAAAGAGTAACAGTCAAAGGAGCAATGTTCATTAAATTTGTTGAATGTTTGCTGAAATGGCCTAGGTATTTTTGAATATACACTGTGTCTTATGGTGCTAGGTTGTAAAATAGAGATGGAAAACAAGTCAAAAATGTCAGTTTTACCATTGGTCAGTTGTTAAACATCACATCAAACTAACCAATCTTATGCTTTTCTTTTGGTACTTGTCACCAATTTCAATTTAAGTAACCTTTGTAGCATTTTGTGTGTTTTTTTACTAACATGTCATTATTGACTAACTAACTTACTTATATTCTTATATAGCTACATTCACTACATTGAAAACAATGAGTACTTCTTACAAGTGTAAGTAATCTGTCACAGTTTGTGTTCTATAGTTACCATACCTGGGCTTGATCCTTGCTAGTTACCATAAAGTTGCAGGAAAATATATAATATTTAATGATTAACATGGTCTACTTTGTATTTTATGTACATGGTGGAAATGAAACTTTTATTATGTTGATTGATACATTTACATATTTGATGGTTTAATGGTTATTTTTACAATGTTAGTGATGTGAATTGTTTGGATGGGTTAAATTATACTTTTATCATAAGGTCTAGTTAAGTCAATAATTCAACTTGTTAATGTATTATTTGGTATTTATCAAAGATTAACTGGAATTATGATATAGGTTACTCAGTGTTAACTGGTAGTGGTTAATTTTGGTGTTTTTTTGTAGTTTTTTGTTCCTATCCATTAACTTTGATTTTCCATATAGATTAACTTGTAATTTTTACACAGTTCAATGTAACATATTAATTTTATACTATAATTTTAACCATCATCGTTGATGATTGATATACAGTCATAAACCTTGACAAAAAAGTTTTTATTTTGACTTGTGAATATAGTTTTAAAAAGAGTAACTCAAATTTAATTGAAAACCTTACAGAATGATATTTTATAGAAATTACCTATGTATAACTTTGTGAGATTCATATTCAGAAATGGCTAGTTTATCTTATATATCTAGAATATATAATCTGCAATACATTAATTGATACATTATTTATTGACTTCCAGTCTGATGGACTAGAGCCTGATTTTGTCTAAGACCGTACTTAAGTTTATTTAAGATACAATGAGAAAATATGGACATTTCTGTTTGGTTTGACATTTTAGAACATATACTGGAAACAGATGTCTTAATTCATCACATACTTTTGTAGACAAATAGTAAAGTTCTAGCCCATTCAGTTAACAATAGTAATAGTAATAGCTTGTGAAATCAGCAAAATCCTTCAATTTTTCTTCCGGTATAATAATAAATATTGAAATATATAGCTGTAATAAACTAGTTCTGGCTTCCAAAACTTTATAATCTGCATTTTATCATTTTATTCTTTCATCTTACGCGGCATTCATGTCATGTATATAAATGCTATGCTGAAGACCTTTAGCTAATAATGGACTTACTTGTGTATCGTTAATTTTTTTTCTAAATTATCTCTTGTGTTATTTTAAAACAGATTAATTTTATCTCTTGAAAATGTTTTACCAACAGATTTTCTAGTTCATTTTTCAATAATTGAGCTGATTTGACAAGATAGTCTAATATTGTATAATCAGATATAGCATGAACCTTTCCTACCTTATATATCCTGTATTCTAACATGTTTACCCACAACTCACAGATTCCTCAAAAAGTACAGACAGTAGTGACCAGGAACTAACTGACCGTTCTGTCCCGGACAAGACCGGAAAACAAACAAACTTTGCTGATGGTATAATGTGTGATATAATGATAAAATTCTTAAATCTTGTTGGTTTTTTCTCTTCTCTTAATAAGTATATTGGTGTGTTTTGAAACTTAAAAAAAAAATATTTTTCATTAACTTTGATTTTTTTTGTAACCATGTTTTTGCAAAAGGCTTCTTTTGATAAAACTTGCAATATTTACTTTTAAAATAATTTTTTTTTTAGTTATGAGCTTTTTGTGTCGCCTCTACGGAGTAGTGGCGACATATAGGGATCACTTCTCCGTCTGTCTGTCTGTCTGTCCGTCTGTCCGTCACAAAACTTGTCCGGACTACTCCTCAAAAAGTACTGGTGCAATTTCATCCAAACTTTACAGGAATGATCAGTACCAAGTCTAGTTGTGCATATTGTCAGTATTTTCTGGTTCAATGATTTTTGTCAGAGTTATGGCCCTTTAATAATTTTTATTTTTAAAGTTTGTCTGGACTACTTCTCTTATACCACTTATGCAATTTCAATGAAACTTTACAGGATTGATCTGTAGCTCAAGTCCTTGCGCATATTGCACAGGTTTTCCGGTTGAATGATTTTTGGCCGAGTTATGGCCCTTTGATAAAAAGGTGTTTTTTCTGTGTGTTGCCAGATACACAAAAGCTTGTCCGGACTACTCCTCATAAACTACTGGTGCAATTTTATCCAAACTTTACAGGAATGATCAGTACCAAGTCTAGTTGTGCACTGTCCGTCTGTCTGTCCGTCTGTCACAAAACTTGTCCCAACATAAAATTGGCCATCATGAGGCGACACATGTGATTACTGATCGCTCTTGTATAAAATATATATTATTAACAAATGTCAATTTTTGATGTTGCTTTAATATCTTAATTTTTTGCTTTTAATTTTTTTTTTATTTTATGATGACTATTTTAAAGCCACATAGTACTTTATATATTTCGGTACAAAAAAATGTTTATTTGGAAATGTAATGTTCATTTTCATCAATCATAATTCTAATAAAAAAATTCATCCCGTTTTTATTATATTGTATAAAAAAAATGATATGGTAGTATACATGTTATATTTCATCTGATTTTGTCATGATTGTATTATAAATTATTGATGAGAAAATGTTTTTGTACAAATTCCTAATACATCTACACTGTTCAGATAACCTCAGTTTTCAGAGTAAACTATATTGAAATCCACAAAAAGCTACTTGGATCTTTTTTAACACAAAAACCTCAAACATACATGTACATATATATATACAAGTATAAATATATTTGCATGCTACTATTACAAATATTACCAATAAAGCTTTTTGTAGTGCTGGATGCTTTTATTTTACTAGTAGTTATTATTGTTTTCTATAATCTCTTCATAGTATAGAGCTCTTTAATATTAATAGTAATAACCAGTGTCACTCTTACAATGCTTTTATAGGCTGTAAACTTAATTCAAACTTAACTCTTTGGTTATAGAATACTTTGATCTTTGCATGTCTAGTTATATTAACATAAATTGTTATATTATTACATTCAGCAGTAATTTTGTTTTGTTTGTAGACTTTATAAAAGGAACACCCAGATTTAAGAAGTCATTCTCCCTGCGTGGAAGTATAGCTACTTCAAGACATGTACATTTTAAGCCTGGTCTGATGACAGACAAGGAACATATCGCTTACTTCGGTCAGCTTGTAAAACTAGAGGAGGTTTGTATGATGATTTTATATTGTTTCAGATATATTGATTGACAACAAACATTCAAACAGATACCAGTTTAATTATTACAAGGTGGACATTGTGTAATACATTTACCCTGTCTATTCTGTTTGTTTAACTTGTCTAGTGCACAGTATCCAAATACTAAGAGTAAAGTTTAGGTACCTTTGCATAAGAAAGTTGAATAATACTGGTATAAACTTATATATGGTATAAAAGAATGACCTAAATAATGTGTGAGTAAATTTCTAAAGTGAATGGTGGATAAAAACCTTCTTAAATATTAGAAGAAAATAAAGTCTGAATTGTTTAACATGTATTGAACAACATTAAACAAACTACAGTAGCTTTAAAACAATTGACTGACTGGACTGTCACTAGACCTTTTACAGAGTACAGTTTATGTTATATGAATATTATTACAGTGATATTTGTTAACATGGACATTAATTTCTTTTTGTATTTTAGATTAAAGGAAATCAGGAAACATTGACAGATTTTATCTTCAGTAAATATTTTATGACCACATACACAGAGACACATGGAATTTCTATTGAGAAAGGTATTGTTTTAAACTGTCTATTGTTATTTTATAAAGACTTTGTATTTAAGAATATTTGTTCTTAGGAAATTTTGATTCTAAAAAGTGTATTATTAATGTCATGTCCAATACATGTCATGTCCAATACATTTATCTAATAACCAGGGACATTGAATTCTTAAAAGTAATGAATTTATTCAAATAGTTTAGTGGTTCTGCTTCAAATGATGAAGCTATGATTTAACTTGGGTGTCAGCCCATCTTGGCTTGACATCCTCAACAGTTGAAAGCTATTAAATTCCACCACAAGTCCTACACAAATTAAAAGCTTCATTGCAAGAAAAGAACCTAACATTTCTTGTAGATTATAAATATTACATTGCATATATTTTTCTGTCACAGGTTATGTAGATACAACAGAAGAAACTCTTGTTGATGCATTACATACATGCTTGAATGTTTATAACCTGGGTACATCACAGAGACTTGAACTTGTCTTCTTTAAAGAGGCCATACAACATGCTGCTAGACTAAGCAGAGTTCTGGTAATAATTAAAATAACCTATATCAGCTAAAAACACCTTGTTTTTACTTTGATGTTCTTTGTCTTCCTTGTTGTTAAATTAATGTTATCCAAGTTATTATCAACATTGTTTAAGATATGCTTTCCTTTAACAAATCATCTTCATTGACATTCTGAGCTCAAAGTTTTAGAGAGATCACAACTTATCATAACTGCAAAAAGAGCCATCTGGTTGTCAGAATGCTTCAAAAAAGGTTGAAACTTAGAATTAAATAGAAGATATTTTGTATACTATATTGATGACCAAGATTCATAAATTATGTTACATAATAATTATTTATCTACACATTGAACTCATTTAAGTATGATATGATGGTGTTAAATTTGTGACAGCTTTCATGCTATCAATGCATTATACTGGGATCCTACATGTTTACCGGACAATCAGTTTACCGGACAAAATCTATTCCTGTCAAATAAGGCTTTACTTTTGGCTTCGATTCAAAGATAATCCGGTCTGAATCGTAAACACACTCTATTTCAAAGTAAATAACAACTAAACCACTCTCATGCAAACATTGTTGATTCAGTTTTTTATTTACTAACATGTCCTTGATGTTTACTAGTTATTCCATGACCTGGTCATGCGGGGGACTACTCTGTTCTGCGCATTCTCGAATATTTAGGCCCTTAATAGGGGCCTTTTAAAGGCTATTTTAGATAGGTTTTACTTTTAATTCTTCTCAACGTTACCTCGGGAGACAATCGTAACATATTTTAATGATAAAAGCAATTAAAATGTTCATTCAAACAGTATCTCGTTGTTGTCTTTTACATAGAAATGCGAATAAAAAAAACATATAAGGAAACGGGTTACACCCATGGGAGGAAACTCTGCATGAAATGTTCAAAAAATAGACTTTATGGTTTTTGCAACATGCTACATGATGACCAAAAGGACACTGTATGAGAAAGAACAGAATTCATTTGAATATCAAAATGTGCCATACCTTTAAGGATCATGAAAAAATCAATATGTTAATTGAGTTAATAGTGTTAATTTCAATTAAACCCCTATATTGGCCTTTTCATAACAAGCATGGCTGCCGTGTCTATTTTAGTGACATACTTTTTTTTTCCAGTATCTTAACATTGCCATTCAATAGTCGTAGTTTCCTTGCTTAATTTCAATTTAAGACTTTGAAAAAATTTGAAACACAATGTCTGGTAAATTGAGTTGTCTACACGATTTTTTTCCTCTTTTAATGCCCTACTTTAAAGACACATTTCTACGGTCAAATGTTTAATTTTATGTTTGATAAAGGAATGTTTACGTATATTAAGAACCCACAATTATTTTGGTAAAATTTCATTCTTTTTTATTATTTTAGATAAAAGTTACAGCGAAAAAACATAATATTTTGTCCGGTAATATGTAGGATCCCAGTAGTTCACAATATTTCTTGCAATTACCTAAAATATGGTTCCTGCAAAATATAAGGTAATTTATATAACTATATAAAAGTTATTATTTTATATACAGGCATTACAAGGTGGTCATGCTGTATTACTGGGAACATCCTACTCCACTGGTAGAGCTACACTTGTCAGATTGGCAGCCTATATTGCCCATTGCAAGGTTTGTATACATCATCTGTTTCTGTACTCTCTAAGTTAAAATAAGAAATTGTTACCCTTATTTTGCAACCCTCATGTTTTCCAAACAAAATTAGTACAATAACCCTCTCCGCTTGTAGTTGGATAGTTTACATATATTGTATTTGTAATTCAAAAGATAATAATTGCTTGTACTGTCTTCTTTATGATATATGGCAGGTTTTCATCACAACACATTTAACCTTAGAGAAATATGGCAGGGCTGATATTCAAACTGCCAATACCGAAGTTATTTTTTTCTTATTAGATGCATACATATGTATATATATATGTATATGCAAGTTTATCAGCATTGCTTGATAACTTTATGTTTCCTTTGTCACATGTAATCTATATATTCAGTTTATTTCTTACTGATCAGAGAACGCATAATTATCCTGTTAACTTTATATTTATCAGAGATTCTAACATTTTTCAATAACTTTTCTGTACACCACACTCACTAGTGTGTTCTAATATCAATGTAATTATAAATCTTCAATTATTATCCCGTCAGATGTCACCAGAGTTTTGTTGCTTTAGCAACTGTAGGGGAGTAAGTGACCTTTCACATATGGATGAACTTTTGTCAATCATGTTTTTTTATTGCACAACACTTGGTGTATTGACAAAATGCAAGTCGGCAAACCATGCATGTTGCTGTGTAAATTAAATGTTGTGATGATTTTGCAAGTGATTTCTTAGCCTCATTGGTTCATAGCACATCACATGGTGAGAGCTGGCAATTTTTAAGACATCAGCAATTGTAAAAATTAAAAATCTGAAAATGGTTGAGAAAATATTAATCTTTGGGCAAATGGTTTGAAAATAAAGAAAAGAAATGAGGAGTTGTGGCTAATGAAATACAGAAGAAATCTATAGGATTAAATATGGAATAAACAAAAATGGGATGGGGGAAATTGAAAAATATTATAACAGAAGCAAATTAATATATATTTGAAAATAGAAAAATATAATGCATAGCACATCACTGCTTTCAATATTGTGTCACATATTTTGCACTATATTGCTACAGATGGGTCGTACACGTAGACAGCGTAACATGGTAGGTTTGATATATTTTGGGCTGGCAGATGACATTGTCAATATGTAGCTTTTGATGTTTATATAATAACACTGTGTGATTGATTTAATAATGGCTTAAGGAATTTTATCCTGCTATAGCTTACATAGATTCAGCAGAATTCATCCTCACATTTGACAAATGCTAGCCCTTACCATTTGGCCTTTGATGATTTACAATTTAGATTTTTTTCCTGTCTGAAGAAATCAATGTCTGACTTCTAAAATTGGGCAGAAAACAATTTTGTGTCTAGTGTTTTTGCTACCCTAGCTCTGTTCTGGCAGGCCTGTCAAATTCATTAAATAATTGCTCAATTCATTCAAACATGTCCAATTTATTAAATAAATGCAAAATTTACAGATTATTTCTTTCAAAATATATGCATTTGTTTGGCAGTGTATTATATATGTTTATTTAGTGATGGTGAATAAATTAGCTATATATTTATGTAAGCTATAGAAGGATAAGATATTTTTATTTGAATGCTGTAATATATATCAAATATGGGTTTTGCTGTGTGATACTTGATTGACTTGTTTTATTTACCTTTTCTTCATTTCCTTTTCTTTTTATTTTGGTACTTTGGTAATAAATTATTCATTGTAAAATAATATAATATTCATGATATTTTTCTTAGCTTATTTTACATACATTTTCATACTAACTTTAAAAAGGTATCTAGTCTAAAAACTTTACACTGGCCCCATTTGTGGGTACATCATATACATGTATGCTGTTATAAGGTATCTGGCTTATATAAATAGAAATTTGTCAGAGATATTTCATTATTTATAATACAGCAAATGGCAATATCTTGATTTGTGATTGTAAAGACTTAAAAAATATGCATACAGATTTTAAAAATGAATCAAATAATTTGTGCTGGTAAATACTTGCTATAACAAAAGTGTGTGTAATGCCTTATTAACAAGTATATAGGTAATTATACTTTTTGTTACCAATTTTATGTGATGATTAAGTTCTCATTTTATAAACTACTTATTCAGTAGAAATTTCTCCATCATGATGCCAGTTAATTGTGTTGACAACTTGCCGATTGTTAATTAAATGTATCTGTTACTCTTTGTAACATGTAACATTTTGGTAATTTTAAATATGTTTAACAGTGAGGTATTGACTTAATGTTGTAGTTAGAAGTTGTTTCTTATAAACATCTTTATTTATATAACAAATGAGATTAAACATAACTGTGTCTTAGAAAATGTTTTATGTATTGTAATATTTTGTTAGCTTAGAGAAAATTAAATGTAACACATATATAAATCCAAATGAAAACATGATTCAAACAACAGAAATGTATCAAAATTGTTCAGATAAAATGAAGAACATATTTAGTAATTACATGGCTAACAAATGCAATATTTCCTTTATTTGTTTAAACTTTTTTTTTTCAATTCTTTTACAAGTATTTTTAGTGTTTTATTTTTTTGTATTTTACATATATCTCTTATCCATTTGATACAGAAACATCTATGACACATTATTTTAATGTCTACCAATTGTAAAAATGTACAAACTTTTAATTAATTTTTGTTTCCACTGCAAAATGTTTTATTTCACAAGTTAGGGTTAGTAGAAATGATCAAATGTTTTATCAATTTATTTTTTCAACTACAAAATGTTTGATTTTAACTGCAGTAACACATACATAGAAAAATTACACAAACATATATCTAGTTCCCAATCTTAACTTTTAGGTAATATACATATTTGTGTGATCAAATGACAATTTTCTATTAGTTCTAAATAAAGCTTTATTTAATACTTACAGTTATATGAGCCGAAGGCACAAACAGACCCGTCAAAGAATCTGAGAATTGTACGAGAGCATATCAAGCGAGCTTGTCATCATACAGGAATTCTAGGAAAACCTACGGTACTCCTGGTACATGAAGATCTTGGTATGGAATGTTTACAAGATGTTGCTGCTCTCATGTCACAAGGTATCTTCTTATTTCTACAAGCTGGTTCTTTTTGTTGTTTTTTGTTTGTTTTAATTATGTTGTATTTTAAATACTAACAGAAAGTATTAAGTTTAATTTTCTGTCAACTCTATTTGGAAAAAAATCAATAACTATTCAAAGAGTTTCCCATGTCTTAAACATAACACTTGTCTAGAATGTATTTTATATGCAGGTGTAATATATTTCAGGCACGAGTCCGGGACTGTATACAGAGGATGAGTTACAGAGTATAGTAAGTCAGATGATGCCAGGTGGAGTACAGACTAAACGTATAGACAAGATAGAACAAGCCTTTGAAAGGTTCATCAAGAGGATCAAACAACATCTACATGTTATAGTGTGCCTTAGCTTTAGAGGTATACTGATATTTTGAGACTATTATTTTAATTTACTGGTAGATGGTTCTACCAGGTCCTGGTCTATACAAGAAATGATGGGCACCTAGAGGTTGCTGTAACCGTTATACTTGAATGTCACTATGTACATGTCATCAAATATCCAAACCCAACTATCCTTTTATTTGTGTTTGTAGGCTTTTTGAGTCAAAAAATATGTTAATATGGAATGATTTATTGATTTTATTGTGGGTGTAAACACCCAGCAGAGGAACAACTTACACCATTAGAGTGAGTCAGTGTTCCTTCATCAAAATCCATTTGATTTACCTGAGATTTAAAGTTGTGTTTATATAACCAGGAACTGTAGTGGTTAGTTTTATGTTTTCATTACAATGCCTTTTGTTTGTTGTTTAGGTAACAGCTTCAGCTCGAACTTCAAGAGTTTACATAATGTAATGTGTAAGTTCCCAGGCTTGTTGAAATATTCTTGCTGTGTGGATCACTATCAACCCTGGTCATTTGAGGCCTATGTTAAAATTGCTAAAGTCTGGCTGGAGGATGTTAAATCAAAGGTTTGTCTGTTGCTAGATTTATATTGAAGTATTATTATGATTATAGGTAGTTTAAGGGAAACTGTTGAGTGGCTTAGTCATAAGAAATGTTGGTTCCACTATTGTCATTAGTCTTACTAGGATTTATGCATAGCTAATATATAAAATAAGTTCTGATTACTAAAAAAGCATTCTAAATTATGTTCCATTTACTAGCCCAATAAAACCATACATTATACAGGTATAAAATATAATAATGGGAATATTGTGAACTTCAGAATGATAAAAAATATTGTTTGTAATGTGTGTTAGGTTTTTGAAGAAGAAGTGATAACAAAAAAACACATAAGTTATTAGACTGGTTACATGTTTGTTACAGGTGTACATACCATGGCACCCTACAAGAAAGATAGAACAAGTAGATATGATGTCAAAGGCCATGGCCTATATACACATGTCTGCTAAAGTTGCCATGGAGAGACAATATTGCCACCAGAGGGATCCACTCAGGTTCTTCTCACCTTTGACATTCATGGAGTTTGTACATGTCTTCAGAATCATCTCTGCCTATATTGTCAAACAAGAGACTGTAAGTGTTATATTTGTATAATAACTTGTTTCACTTCCACAAGAAAACAACAACAAAAGTTCAACTTATAATACTAAAATGAAGTGAAAACTATACAAAAATAACAATTTAAAAAAGAAACTATGAGAGAAGTATTATCAAAACTTTATTTTCCAAAATATAATGTATTAAGACACTTGAGGTATCATAAGGTTTTGTTAAGACAGATTGAATTTTCATTAGACCTAACATTTAAATTATGAAATTATGAAGATTATTATAAGAAGGCATCTTGCTTGGATCTTGGAATTATATGGTTTTTGCCTACAACAAGCCATGTATTACATATAAAATACCTTTATATATTTGTAGGGAAATATTCAGAAGCATGAGAGAGCATTGAGTAAAGTAAATGAAGCATTTGGTAGTATAAGTGAGTTTAAGAGAGAAGTGTCTGACCTCAGTCCTCAACATAAACAAGCTGTTGATGGTATCAAAGGACTTGTTGAAGAAGTGGAGGCTCATAAACAAGATTATATTGTGGTGAGTACATTAACCCATTGCTTCATGAGCATTTTGTGAAAAATGGCTGTTTTCATTGAAAAGTCTCCCGTTACAAGTTCAAATTGCTATAATACTATAAAAACTGCTTCAACACTAATCAAACTTGGCACAAATGTTGACTGGACCATTGTCCTTGCAACAACATGCTCAGACTTAAATTTTCTGTTACCATGGCAACGAGGGGACATCTCAAAATTGCCAAAAATCACTATTTTGCGTTGATTTTTTCCATCAAAATTGATTTCAAAGTGCTGCAACTTATCAATGGATTGAGATAGAGTCAAATGCTTTTCAGCGTTGGTTACACGTTACCTTATGATCAATCTGGGGTCATTTACAGCCTCTCACAAGTCCAAAATTTTCTTGGCGATGAGGGGGACTCCACCCCCCTTCAAACCCCCCAAAACAGAAGGGGGCACATCCCCCTTCTGGCAACCCCCTGATGTATCTTTTGGTTGGGGGGCCGCGCCGAAAAAGAGGTCAATTTTTTTAACAACATTTCTCAAACAAAAACAAGTGTTTGGGGCCTAAATAAGGCATATTTTCATCACTTGAGACAACAAAAAAGGGGGGGGTGAAAAAGGCGTTAAAAAGCGTGTATATGAAGTAATGGGTTAACCTTATAGCCAGAGTAAACCAATAAACTATCTAATGATGGGGTGAAAGATTAAATTCATGCAGTTGTTTGTACCACTTTACAGGAAAGCTGGTTATATGTGAATTAACTGCCAAGATATGACTAAAATCTATGTTAAAATCTAAAAAAACAAAACTTTACAGACTTATAATTAAAATAACATAGAACTATACAACTATATGGTATTAGTTTAATTTTCTGCAAAGCATTGTCTCTATCATATCTATGTATAAATATTTCAATTTTGGTAGAACTATATTTGTTACAGAAACATAGATCCATTTTTTTGTTTGAGAAAGATAGGTCAAATTTTTATTTCTAAAAGAACAAATAATATAATTGATAGCTATTATTATTGTTATTGTGTATGATATCATATTGTTTGTCTCCAGGCGTTGGATAAATGTAAAGAACAAGAACAGTTTATAGAGGAACTACAGGGACCACTAGAGAGATTAAGGAAAGATGCTCAATCTGAGTTTGATAAGGTTCGTAACCTTATAGCTGTAAAATCTTTATGTAATGCTAAAAACATAGTTGACTCTGCTCTCTTCTCTTAGCAAGTGAATTATCTGACATTCTATCGATCAAATAAAAACATGGCTAAATATGCATCAGGATTACTCGCACATCTTGGATACAATTTATTTCTCATATTGGTTCATCTATAAACTTTAATTGGTTAACTTACTGCATCTCATTTAAAATCATAAGTCTTGAAAATTTAGTTAAATTTAGTTACAACTGTAGATATTCATGTATGATATATATTTAGGAAAAGTTACTGATATGCTATACATGCAATTCACACTATAATAATTTACTATATGTATATATATGAATAGTTCACAAAGTTCAAAGAAGATCATGGATTTGTTGACTATTATACACCTTCCCAGTACAGGGTAAAAATTATACACAATGGAAATGGTAGCACTGAAATTCATTCACTGTGGTTGAGAAATATGGGGATATATGATGAAAAACATTCACCAGCATATATTAGAAAAATACATTTCATATGTAATGCATTATAGAAATTAAAGTAAGAGAAGTTCTGAGATTTAATATTGATTTCAGTATTGTTAAAAAAAAAATGAGGATTTTAGACAAGAATGATTGGTCTTTTTGCAAATTCTTCTGATGATTTTAAGTGAATGGTCTTAGATGAATAAATTTTCATTGAATAAACTTTTGTTGATAAATTGTTTTTTTTTTATGTTATTTTGTTTTTTTGACAATGAATCATTTTATTTTGTGCATTTTTTTTAAATAGTTTAAAAAAGTTGCTGGCTATAAATTATTAGAAAGAGTAAAAGGAATGAAATTTATTGGGAATGCACTGTTGTTGTGAAATTGAGGTATTCGGAATGAAGTTTTTGCAGATTTTTCCTGATTTTCATACATATAATGTATAATGCAACACTATCCAAGCAAAATCTTTGAAGTAGCAGGACATGTATAATAGTGCTGTAATGAAACATTGAGTATAGAAACTTACTAATGTTTACAATAAGATGTAATATCAACAGTGTGCAGATTGAGAAAATAATGCTAATTATTTCAGATTGTCAACATAATCTGGTTTGTTTTCTATGTGTTAGTATTGTTCTCTATTGTGAAAGTGATGAAAATGTTTTACAGATTGATTGATAGAATTATCTACAGATTTCATTCTTTTATCAAATAATGATTTTTGCAGAAGTTCTTTTATTTTTGAGAATATTATGCCACTTAGCTAAGTCTATTTAGGATCTTTGGTATACTAAAATATTTGCATGCTCAAATGAAGATAAACATATTAATATTAAAAAGAATATTTCTTTTGATTATTAAAATGTCACATGGTACTGTATTGTAAAGATCAGCCGGTCCATATTGTAAACACCATTTGTCTATTGAACTGATCGTAAATTTTGAATGTTGCATGATACATGGACATTTGTGATTGATTGTTATTTTCACTTTATATGAAAAAAAAACACACACCACTTGTTGTTTTCAATTTACAAAAAAGCATCAATTTTCTATAATTGTTAAGGAAAATATGAAATTTTAAGCAAATTTCAATTCATTATTTACCATTTACATGTATATTTTTTACTTACATAACAGTGATAAAGATATATTCCTGTACACTGGTTATAAGGAATGAAAATGAATACATTAATAATTTAATAATAATAATAATAATAATAATCATAAATTACCAATCAGAAAACAAAATTTGTGTTTTATCTTGATACAAAAATAATGTAAATCGTGATTCAAGGAAACTAATTATAACTGTAAGATGATATATATAGGTCAAAATGTAAATTCATTTGCATTAATGCTGAACCAAAATCTAAATAATTATTACACCAAGTATATTATATTATATAAAATATTAAACTAAAGTGATTTCTATGATAGTTATAATTTGTTTTATTACAGTTAAATCCAAACTACAAGGCGGCTATAGCGGCTCTCAATGCTCTCAGTCGTCAGGACCTTGATGAAGTAAAAAGTTTCCGAGAGCCACCAGAACTTGTGAAATATGTTGTCAACTCTCTTTGTCTACTCTTCAACAAAACACAAGAGTATGTATCATTAATATAGAAACTTTACAATTAAATATCAACATGAACATTTAAAAAATATATAAGAAATGTTCCAACACACTTTACATTATTACCCTGTAAAATGATTAAGACAACTACTGTATTACCTTTAAAATAACTAACTCTAAAGAGTTTGTTTATTTTAGGCAATGGTACATGACCGTAAATAAACTAAAAGTAAAAAGCAAAAATGACAATCTGGACCTACTTAAAGATATAGCTGAAATATTTTGTTATCACAAGTTTTTATTGCAAGTAATGACTGAAAACTAAATAAAGCACATGATATTTATTACAGTTGGGAGAATGGCAAACTATTACTTACACGAGAAAACTTCATACAGGAATTAATATTCTATGACAAGGACAATATACCTGAAGGTATGTTTGTGGAACTATCAAGACTTGTCAAAAATCCAATGTTTCAACCAGATCTGGTGAGATCTGTGAGTCTTGCAGCCGCTGGAATTTGTTCCTGGGTTCATTCAGTGCAGAAATACTCGGACATCCATAGAAACATGCAGCCTCGACTGAAAAATCTGATGGAACAGGAAGAAAAATTCACAAGGGTATGATGATTAATGTTTTAACAAACAATATGAATTATACAGTAGTTGCATTCAATGATTTTTCAATCAGACTTTATTATTAATATTTTGATTTTGATTGCATAAAATGGGGGACAGTAGTGGATTATCTTCCCTTGATAAAAACCGAGGTTAACCAAAATGTAAGTAGGTCCAAATATTTGGAATCCTTTGCTTTTATCGTTGAGTTTTATATAAGACAGGTTGATATGTCTTAATCAATTATTTACACATGCATCAACAAATATGTAAACCTTAAGGAAAAAATGTTTCATTTATGTCAACAGATTCTACATCTTATCGCAACATCTAATCTGAGTATTACAAATGATCATAATTAGCCCTAATTAATTCAGTCTGCTACAAAGAAATAGGCGATAAAGTCCGAGTAATCCAATAGCTTAGGACCTATCTATTTATAGGGAGTACTCAGGGGAGGTTATTCACTACTGTCCCTCATTGGTTGACACCAACTAAGCTAGGATTATATTAATGAATTTACAAGTGCACACTTTATTTTAAAAATGAGTGTGACCTTCTTAGACTCTTGATAAATAAAGCTAAGATTGTATTAATGAATCGACAAGTGCACACTATATTAAACATGAGCGTGACCATCTTACCTGTAGTGTCGTAATAAATTGTTTCTTCATTCTTCAGGCTCAAGCAAAACTAGGTCAGTTGCGGGTAGATGCTAACAGAATAAAGAGCGGTTTGGAGAGAAAGATTCAGGCTCATAGAGCAGCTGTGAAGAGAGCTAAGACAATCCTTAAACAGATGCAGGTAATGGTTTATATTTATATATTATATACTAACTACTGAAATACTGGGTTTTATCTGTGAAATGAATTCCATATCACTCCAGGCTTTGGGTCAATTATATTAAAATATAATGGCATTACATTGCAATTAAATCGACAAAATTGGGCATTATATAATACATGTAATACAATTAGATTGATTTTCTAAGTGAATTGTTTTTTATTTATCTATTGTTAATTGTACAATCAGTGTTTTATATTATCAGTTTATAGGTATTATGCATAACTTTTTATAACAGCTATATAAAATAGATAGGTTATCACTACTTCTTGATTGAAGTACAATTACTTTACTAAAATAATTACACCTCAATGAAAACTATAAACTTGAATTTCTTTTGCAGCAAATGCGTGGTCATTGAATATCTTGTGTCTTCTTTCTTTATGGGTCAGTCCCACAGTAAATAATTTTTATTTAATTTTTTTTTACTTATTAGACATGAAAAAATGGATTTGTTTTGTTTTGTCTTTTTAATGAATATGCTATTTATCACTCATTAAAGTGAGGAACTACGAGTTCACGAATATAGTGCATTGTTAAACACATTTCCCCCCATAAAAACCCAGAAAACAAATATTTTTTCTAAAAAGAATGCAAAATAAAGGGAAGTAATAAGAGTTTATTATTTGTCCTTATTTCATAGAGACAGGCTTTTGTTAAACTTTGATATGTTAAATCTTTTTGCTATCCTGTATATTATCAATAATGTTTTCTATTTTGGTTTTATTTTATAACAGAACATAGAGAGGAAGATATCTAGAGCTGTAAATCTGATGGAGAACATGTCAATGCAACACTACATGTGGAAGTCTGAACTTCGTAAAGCCAAGCACCAGATCTTTACAGCTCCTGGAGACGCATTAATCACCGCAGCATGTGTCTGCTACCAGGGACCTCTCACTGACAAACTACGGGCCCAGCTCCTACAGGACTGGCTAGATAGGTGTAAACAGGGTAACTTTAAATTACCAAAATTTGTAGGACAAGATGTCTACCAGCTTGGTAACGGTATAGAGGGTTGGTTTGGATTTGAGTCTCAGAAAGATCGTGACTCTATAAGTGAAGTTTCAAGTTCTCAGACAGAAAGTCAAAGTGATGGCGGACTGTTTCCTCTTCCAGAGGTTAGGACGTATAAATACCAGCCTGTTGTATATGATACCAGTAAATATTACAAGTCAGAGCTAAAACGTCACGGGAGTGTTGAGTACGAGCCAACTAGTGCCGATGATGATGATTCTGATGATGAAGCCGAGCAGAGTCCTCTCCTAACACGGAACTCGTACTCTCTACAAGAAATTCTTAGTGACTTTGATGAACTTAGTAAGTGGCGACTTGAGGGACTTCCAACTGATTTACACTCAGTTCAGAATGCTTTACTTATGAGAGTGAGTTGTTACAACAGGAAATATTGCTGGCCTTTATTGATTGATCCAGACAACCAAGCAGAGACATGGGTGAAGGCCATACAGATGAGTGGCAACATTTTCTCAGAGAAAGATGTTAGAGATGGAGATGATAATGACACTGAAGGTAATCATTCATCATTTTATTTTTATTATCATTTTGTTTATATTGATCATGTAAGTTTTATTTCACCATCATTTTACTTATACCAGTCATGTTAGTTGTTCTACAACATGTTTTATCACGATACGATCAGCAAAGATTAAAGTTGGATATTATTGTCCTAGTAGAAACAGAAAATACAAACATAACAACACTCAAAAATTTGAACTATACAGTTGTTACACATAATAATTATATTTTATTTAAAGTCAAAGAATATTAATCTTTCTAGCAAAATATGATATGAATAATACAAACTGAAACATCAATAAGAATGCACAGTTAGCACACTGTTCTCTATGTCTATCTATCAGTACATGTATTACAAAAATAAATCCTTTGCTAATTATCCTAAAATTACATAAAATCTAAGTATTAATTAGTTATAGTCAACAAAATATGACTATGCCTTTCCTTTACTGTATTCCTGAATGGCAGTCAATCTTCTTTATACCTTAGTTGAAAAAGAAACAAACACATATAGGTATCTTTAGTTCAAACCAAATACTCAAAACATTAAATACATATCTATACATATCTATAATTCAAAACAAGTATTTAAACAGTTCTGATATTTTGACTAAAGGAATTAAACATATACATAATTATGCATATTTTATAATAGATTCTCTGATAGACTTATTAGTTGGGCAGAAAAGAGTGAAATCATATTCCTAGTTAATTTCTTAATATAAATGGGCAATAAAAACTTGCCAGACAAAGCTGCACATCCTTTTATTCTGATGACATGCTTTACTCTATGCTGCTAAATTTTATCATTATAATCTTGATGTCATATAAAAGAACAGTTCAGAATTCAATACCTGACAAGTCTATTCCATTATTCTAAGTCATATACCTCGATTTTGTTCTGATTTGTATAGCTTACAATGATTTTGTTAGACAGATGGTCATGATATATACAAACTGGTACATTGATTTTATCTGTCTTCAATAACTGTCCTATAAACTCACATTCAGGACCTAACTGGAGAACATTCCTAGTATGGTTACAAGCAACTAAAACTCTTCCATTTTCTGTAACACTTACATAATTGGCTCCTTGTAACAGATTGTTATAAAATTTACCTGTGATGAACTTTTTTCTATTTCTATTAAGAACAAGTAAACCTTCTTCCATGTCAGCAACATATATTGATGAACCATCATTAGTGACGGCTAAACCACTGATGCCATGAGACAAAGGAATCTTAAACAACTGTTTAAGCGTAGTGCCTTTAAGTTCATAAATATATACTGATGTAGAATCAGAAAGATACAAGTTTCCGTTGGCATATGCCAAACCTCTGCAGCTATGTGTAAGTTTTATCGTGCGAGTTTTCTTCATCTTGGGTTGAAGGGAAACAACATGTAAGACTGTATCTGAGCAAGAGACAGCCACCTCGTTGTTAGATATGGTACAAACTTGCCACGGCTTTCCCGGGATGTCACAGTAGTCTAATATAGAATATCCAGGTCTGTCAACTCTTTTTAACCTTAGGTTACTGAAGTCAGCTAGTACTAGCGTTCCATCTTGTAGGAAGCAAATGCTGTAGATATTTGGAGTACTTAGGTCTGATGGATATTTGACATCGATCATTTTTTTAGATTTGAATTTGAATTTTTTTAAATGCTTGTTTTCTTTTGGTTCCTCTTGTAAAACATTATTTAGTCTTTTTTGGTTACTTTCAGTGGTACATTCTCCAGAGATCGTTTCATTTTCTAATTTTTCCAGTTCTGTTTTCTTCTCTGTTAAATCCTTGAAGTCCTCTGAAACTACGGTGTCATCATCTTTACACATTTCATTTTTTGTGGAAGGTTCATCTATAGAGCTTATGGGAACTTTGTTTACTTCTAAGCTTACCAAGCTATCCATCTCTCGGAGCATATCAGAGAGGACTTCATTGACCTTCAGCTCAATTTCTTCATTTTGCTCTTCAGGTTTACTTCTATCAAGAAACCTCTCAACTTCTTTTGCAATGTTTTTGCTTTTAATTATGTTTACAAAGTCTTGTGAAATGTTGTATCCTGTAGATACTAGAGTGTTTGTTGCAGAGTGCAGCAGGGCCTCAGTTCCCTCAAGTACTTTTAGGTCATCTTGGATATTTTCTAGGGCTGGTTCTGTTATTTCCTCTATCTGTGTAATAGACACATGCTGCAGTACATCTAGCCGTTTATTGATACTTTCTCTTATTGTAGCTACTTGCTGCAAAAGTTGTTCTTTGTTTCCAAGGACTTTGTTCCTTTTACTTTCAAACTTGTCTTGATACTGATGCACTTTTTGCATTATTTCTTGAAGCTTTTTTTCGGTATCTTCAACTTTGTAAATATTTGTTTTGTTGGTAAGAAGTTCAGGTATGTAGGATATGTCTTTACAAGATCTGTAATAATAAAGCAATAATTCTGTTATAAAACATAGATCTATATATGTTGACTTTTAAATGTATTATGCACCAAACATTTGAAACCACATTACCTCCAGTCCCTGGGATTGGCCGAGACTTTGACAGTCAGAAAGTAAAATTCTTTTTTAACCTTTTACCTCATATAGGTGTGTTTTGACAGCTTTTTACCCCCAACCCCCTTTTTGAGGGCTCAAATTGTGAAAAAATGGCCCATTTAGGCCCCAAACACTGTTTTTTGTTAGAGAAATGTTGTTCAAAAAAGTGATCCCTTTTTTCCGCGCTGCCCCCTATCAAAAAGGTACATTAAGGGGGTGCCAGAGGGGGGGGGGGACGTGCCCCCTTCTGTTTAGGGGTTTAATTTTTGACTTGTGTGGGGTTAAAAATGACCTGAGGTCGATCTTAAGGTAATCTGTAACCAATGCTGAAAAGCCTTTGACTCCATCTCAGTCCATTGAACAGTTGCAGCACTTAGAAAACAGATTTGATGGAAAAAAGCAATAGAATTTTTTTGCAATTTTTAGACATCCCCCCCCCCCCCCCCCTTGCCATGGTAAATTAGGAAATTTAAGATTGAGTATGCTGTTACAAAGGCTATAGTCAAGTCAACATTTATTGCCAAGTTTGATCAGTAAGCATTTTTTACAGTTTTTTAGCAGTTTGAACTTGTTACAGGAAGCTTTTCAATGAAAACAGCCATTTTTCACAATATGCTCATGTGGTAAAAGGTCCATCCCCCAAGCACTGTGAGTTGAACAATTATCCCCTTTTACTTTGGCACCAAAACAAAAACTGCTGGATTTAATAATGACAACTCTTTGGTCAGATGTTGTAGAAGTAATTAAACAGAGATGATTTAGTCTCATGAATCGCAAACCTGCCAATATTTGAAAAACAATTTACAGATTATATGTTATATTTTTTAAAAGAGTACATAAAATACAAGACTTTACCTATGATATATAGCCATGCACATTTGACATCCCACCTGATTATGTTCTTCACAGTACATGTCAACACAATTATGATTATGGTTTTCACATCTTTCTGTTGGTATGGGCAACTGTGTTTGTCTTGACATTGACTGGAATTGATCCTTTTCTAGAATTTTGTGTTTTAATAAAGCTGGAATATCTTCATGAAACTTGACACATGTTGAACAGTAATTATCTTTACAGTCCACACAATATTTTTCTGCTTTGCAGTTTTTATTCTTTAGTTCACAAAGTGTACACTGAATATCAAAAAATTCATCTTGCATTTGGTCAGTTTCATCTATAGTGATATCCCCACCTGTTGCCATTGTTATTGAAGTCTTTAAATTTCTCAAAACTATTATATATACTGGCATCTGTAAACCCTCACTGCCTACAGTATATATAATTTCAAATGTATCAAATATTTTAACATTTTAGTAGTAACTTCCTCTTATAGTGAAAATGTTATCAAAATTGTAAATACACACATCTATGATAAAATTTTTTATCTAAACTTAATTGTTTACATTATATGATGTATTAAATTTTGTGTATATAGATAAAACCTTGTCAGTAAATCTATTAACCCTTTCACTGCCATTAGGACGGCTAAATATGCCGGGCGTATTTGACATATGGACGGCTTTAGCCGTTCCTATGATAATAATAGTAATAATAATAAATAAATAATAATAAGAAGAAAATTAATAATAAATATAAAGAAAATTATAACAATAATTATTATTATACTCACAGATTTGGAAACATACATAATTATTATAATAGTAATAACAAATAATAATAATTATATTTATTAATAATATAGTAATTTCTTAGAAAACCCTCTGGCAAATAGGTGATCAATAAAACAATAACCCTCTGGCAGCTAAAGGGTTAAAGAAGATTTAAAATTGCAATTTAAGAAATTATATCTATACAATAAGAAGAGGTTTTTAGCTCGACTATTCGCAGAATAATCGAGCTAATGCAGTCACCCATTTGTCAGCGTCGGCGTCCCTGTGGTTAAGTTTTTGTATGTAAGCTGGTATCTCCATAACTACTGAAGGGAATGGATTGATACTTCACACACTTGTTCTCTGTGATTATCTAAGATGATTGGCACAAGTCCCATAACTCTGATTTGCTTTTTTACATAATTATGCCCCTTTTTCGACTTAGAATTTCTTGGCTAAGTTTTTGTATGTAAGCTGGTATCTCCATAACTACTGAAGGGAATGGATTGAAACTTCACACACTTGTTCTCTGTGATTATCTAAGATGATTGGCACAAGTCCCATAACTCTGATTAGCTTTTTTTACATAATTATGCCCCTTTTGCGACTTAGAAATTCTAGGTTAAGTTTTTGTATGTAAGCTGGTATCTCCATAACTACTGAAGGGAATGGATTGAAACTTCACACTCTTGTTGTCTGTGATTATCTAAGATGATTGGCACAAGTCCCATAACTCTGATTTGCTTTTTCACATTATTACGCCCCTTTTTTTACTTAAAAATTTTTGGTTAAGTTTTTGCGTGTAAGCTGGTATCTCCATAACTACTGAAGGGAATGGATTGAAACTTCACACTCTTGTTGTCTGTGATTATCTAAGATGATTGGCACAAGTCCCATAACTCTGATTTACTTTTTTGCATAATTATGCCCCTTTTTCGATCCATAAATTATTGGTTAAGTTTTTGTGTGTAAGCTTGTATCTCCATAACTACTGAAGGGAATGTATTGAAACTTGAAGGGTTTGTACCTTTTCGGACAATTTTATGTATTCATATAGGTAAGCATTATTATACTCAATGAAACACCCTTGTGACAAATTTTCAAATAGTCGAGTGTTACTGTCCTCCGACAGTTCTTGTTTACTCATCCAGGCTTCTCTCTGAATCATCATCATCATCATTTTACATATTTTATTGAGATATAGATATAGATCATATCTTTCATGGATTTTAACACTGTTATATCCTTAATTGATATACAAGTTTTGAAAAACCTATTCTGATTCTACTTTTATACACCCACAAGCATGTAATCTTAAGAACAGCTCTTGTTAAGTAAAATTATCAAGACAAGAGATTGTATATTATCAATCACGACAGCATAGTTATGTTTAGTTTTTATTATTTTTATTATCAAAGTTGTTTTTGATAACTTTTAAGGGTGAAAAATCTGTTATTTTTTTCCCACGCACATTTTGGTTTTATTTCAGTATGATAATGTTGGTTATTTTTCAGATCTTCCGCAATTACCGTCAGCTGATGACAAAGTAGAAGAGGGGTCAACACCCTGTCCTCCAAGTCGTGGTACAGGTGTCACATTCTCAGAATATTCCGTGGATTATTCTCAAGATGGCGCGATGACACGACGTACCAGTAGCACATCTAACACATTAACCACCAACACTGGAACAGATTTCACTAAACGGTTAGATGAATATAAATACAATGATAAATTATAACATGGTTGTAAAATAATGTTTAAATAACAGCTATTTGTTTTATGATATATGATATACAACACAAATGCTTACACAATTCATAACAGACTAAGTTGGAACAGGATATGGTCTTTTAATTTCTAAGTTCTAGTTTTTGGCATGGCAGATGTATTATTTATTCCATTTTAGTTTGATCATCAACTAACATTCATCTTCCATGCAGATATTTTTTCAAGATTTTTTTGTTGTTGTTGATAAAACCCCCACCTACCCACCCCCCAAAAAAACAAAGAACAAAAAAACAAAAACAGGTATTATACTGTATTACTAACAAGTAACTGTCGTGCTAAGTAAATATACTCGAATGTTATGATGTAATACACCTTATTTTTATGTTTCCAAAACGCCCTGTAAAGCAAGTATAAAAAATTGAAACATTTTACTGGAATACTAAATGAATAACTATTATAATGCTAGCTAGTCTTCAGTAATAAATAAAATGGAAACTTTTAGCCTATTGTATTGATTTAATGCCAATACCTTATAACTACCATGTAAGTTTATTTATTATTTGCTGATATTTTTAGCATCACGATTCCTTCGCAAATACATGAGGAGAGTGAGCAAGTTACGTCCCGTTAACCTCGTAACAGCTAGTATAGGAATGTTATAGTTTAACATCCAGATCAGTCTACTATGTAACATCGCAAGATATCTGTGGATTATAGAGGCAGATTGACCCATTTTACTATGACTAGCAGACTGGTATAAAATGCCTATAGTAACATGGTATGCCTTTTTTATCTCAGTTTCATTTACATTAATTCTTAACTGCAAATGTTAATTCATGGATTATTATAACCCCTCAGCCACAAAAAATGTGACGGCGAGTGGGGCCTTAGAATGATGGCTACGCTTGTCGCCGGTCGGTTCCGCTCCGCTACTGGCGTGCGGTCGACGTTGTCGGCTGCGCTCGGTCGGTCCGTCTCCATTTCGTGTCCGCATCTATATACTGCCCATTACCAATTGTAATAGGATTTCTTCAAGACTTGCTTCAAATGGTTACCTCAACAGAGGATGTGATGAACCCAGTGTTGCCCAGTGTGCCAGCCTTCAAGGTCAAGGTGCACAATTGAATGGTCAAAATTTATCCAAACCATAATCAAATATACACTCAGCTTATGTACGCTGTCCGCTCTGTAAAGCATCCATTAGCACTAATTTGAATAGATTTTCTTCAACTTGGCCTCAACACTGTCACACCTTCAAACAAATGAGGCATGTCGCAGTAACCATGTAGCCCCATGCTGTCTTAGCTGAAGTTTTAAAAAGGGTCCACTACAATTGAAGGTCCAAATATCAAACAAATCAAAAATAATTACACAGTATGTCCTAGTCCGGCTCTGTAAAGTCATACAACTATATTGAAAAGCATTTTCTTCAAACTTGCTCAAATGTTCACCTCAACAAGGGCGAATGTGCAGAACCCATGTTTGCCCATGGTGTCAGCTGTAAGCGTTCTACGAGGTCACATATTGAAAGGTTTCAATATTATCAAACAATTCAGAAATATCTACACAAGGGTTATGCTCGTGTCCGCTCTGCTAACAGTCCTACACTAATCATTGCATAGGATCTTATCTTCAAACTTGGCTTCAAATGTTCGACCTCAACAAGGCATGATTGTGCAAGAACCCATGTAGCCCATTTGTGCTACCAGGTTCTCAAGGTCAGGGTCACAATTGAAGGTCCAAATGTCCAAACAATCAAAACATATTACACCTATATTGTCGTGTCCGCTCCTAGTAAATCGTCCTACTATAATTTGAAGGATTTTCTTCAAACTTTGGTTTCAAATGTTTCACGCTCAACCAAGGTCGCGATCAGTGCAGAAATCCGATGTTACCCATGTAGTCAATGCTCAAGGTCAACGGTCACTAATTGAATGTGTCAGAATATCAAAACTAATCAAATATTACTCACTATATTGCTGCGCTGATCCGCTCTGGTAACGTCCTACACTAAATTGAAGGATCTTTCTTCACATTACCTTGGCTCAAATGTTTCACCTCAACAGCTGGAATAATAGTGCGTAGAACCGGCCATGTTAACCCATGTGTCAGCTAAGGTCACAATTGAAGGTCAGAATATCAAACAATCAAATATTACACTGTATGTCGTGTCCGCTCTGTAAGTCCTACACTTATTGAAAAGATATTTTCTTCAATCCTGGCTCAAATGTTCACCTCAAACAAGGGGATGTGCAGAACCCATGTCACCCTTTTGCCGGCCCTTAAGTCAAGTCACACTTGAAGGTCAAAATTGACTTAGAAAATATTCCTTAAATTTTAACAATTTATTTGAATATTTCTGAGATCTAGAAAAGGTTTTTGCTTGAAACTTAAAATGTATTTGAAGTGTCACAATTAAGATTATGCTTGGTCAAGTTTCATAAATTCTTGTATTGCATTTTAACAAAGTTATGCCCCTTTTTAAGCTCTTCGAAATTTACATTACAATCATATTATATATAAAACAACTTATTGTTCGTGTTACGAGCTTCTATGTATATCCGATATCTTAGGAATGAATTTTCTTTCAAAAAACTTTATCAATATGTTTCACCTCACAGGATGTTATGTGCATGAATTTTATGTTCACCTTTGTGCCTTCTAAAGGGTCAAAGGTCACACTTGAAATGGTTAAAATAAATTGAGCTATAGGAAAATGGTCTACTTAAATTTTATACATGTACTTGAATAATTCTTGAACCACTAGCACAGGTATTGTTTGAAAACTTTAAGATATATGAGATGCGCTACAATAAGGATATGCAGGTCAAGTTTGATTACTCTTGTTTTGCTATTTTGAAAGTTATTATGCCCCTTTTTAAAGTCTTCAAATTTACATCAATCACATACTAGACCAGTTATTGCTGTCGGTCTCTATAAATTACTATACTAATTAGGATAGCTTCGATTTTCTTCAACAACGTTCTACTCCAGAATTGTTTCCACAGGCCCAAACTGGGCGCATGTGCAAAAATGAACTCCCCATGCTTAATCCGTGTAGCCAGATTTAAGGGTCAAGGCTCACCAACATGTAAGGTCCAAAATTGACTTTAAAAATAAAATTGATTTAGTACGATAGGCAAAAGATAAGTTTTTGTAACCTGTATTTCGAACGATTGATTGATAATATATTTCATACCTATACCTGTTCTTACTGTAGTCTTTTCATTCACCCAGGCATGATATATTTCTTTTTTATCGTATTTATATAGCCCCACACCAATGTTATATGGCCCTGTAACCACCTTTCCAAGTCCTTCTTCTGTCTAAGGACATGCTGGTACGGGACGTATCATGAAATCGCAGTCAGCGCATTTAGTTTAGTTTCAATATGAAATAGCAATAAAACTATATCAGTTTTATTCTATTCAATTCTTATGCCGCAAACGATACATATGTTAATGCTTTACTAAAAGCTTCACAAGTTTAAAGAACCTCAAAATCGTCATATTATAAGTATCTTATCATTCCACGTAGACTTTAAGTCTTATGTTTTTCTCTTACAACTAGGCTCTAGTAGCGCCACAGTAAATTGATGTATCGCTACAGTCTAGCGAAGGATAGGCCTTTGCATCCCCTGTTCCGTGCACTGACCTCTCAAACATTTCTTATGTGGAATCTAAAGATGCGAAACCAACAGTTGTCAGGGTTGCCTAGTTAGCGAGTTCGGGTGTATCATCCCAGAATTTGCTGCTCTAATATTTGAGCTACTTCGGGTTTACCACTGATTCCGTGCTGAAAAAAATGTATATTTAGTCACGATCTGATGATGTTACATGTTAACTGGTCAAGTGATTGGTTTAATTTATTTGGTGTGGACTTGTTTAATACTGAATTGCATGAGTCTGGGACACAAACATAGAATTTATGATCATTTTATTCTGTTTTTTAGTTGTAGATGTTTTCACACGGCCTATTCCTAAAGATTTGTTGACGATCGTCTTTTATAAGGGAACCAAAATGACGCATATACACAAGTATATAGATGACTAAAAACCATGCGGAAACAGTTTTAATTTATATTTAAACAATACATAACTAAAACTATGTATAATTAGGCCTGACCTTTATCTATTTAGGGCTTAACATTATTATAGAGCTTCATTGACATATGGAACCAAATTATGATGCAATAAACTAATTTTCATAAAAAGGTCATAATTCAGCATGCCCACTAAAATGTTGAAAACAGGCAAATCTTGTCCTGTATACAGTAAAAAATAGGATAGTGCTGAAGTGACCTGTAATGGTTTAAATAAGTAATAATTATTGTCATTAAATACATTGATCAATACCCTTTGCAAAATAGACAATGAACATTTCCTATTGTTTAATACTCTTAAGCCAAGCTGATGCAATTATATACTTTATAACCCATTGGGACACATACTGACTAAGATCAGTCTAGTACATCTTCACTTTGTTATATCATGGCACATCTTGCCTGCTTATACTATTCACTCAGTACATATTTGAAAATTTAACTTAAATTTTGGTGTAAAATGATGAGTGGATTTTTGCCCCAGATAGAGATGATAGTTAACACAGTTTATTAGCGTCGTACCATTAGTTGTGGTTAAAATAGTTAAGTTTATATATTTTTTACAGGGTGATGGGCTACCACAAATTATTATCCGCTACATCAGACCATGCTGCTATCATCAACGATATGTCATTCACATCGTGATGAGAATTCATCTAACTTCCTGCTTACACGCAAAACTATGAAAGTGCACAAGAGGAATAGGAATTTGAAGGTTCAAAGAAATGGTCAAATGAAATATGATATTATACAAGCATAGAAGAAACTGGCATCAAGGACATGTATGTTAGCTGCACTTATGTATGTCCTAAGTGGTATTCACAATTTGTATATGCAACTAATTAAAACGTTGCCAATGGATAACAGAAAAGCTTGTGATATGAAAGACCAGCTATTCATCAATTCTGTAGTTAAACGATATTCATTTTTATTTTCCGCATTGGAACAAAAATATATTACACACTCATATAGTTTGATTTTAGTCGGATGTATTATATGCAGGCACATTACTAATCACCACCCCCTATTCTTTACTTTATTTTTAATTTATTTATCCCTGCTTCCTTTTCTATATTTTTAATAGGAAATGATTTTAGAGAGCAAAGAACATATGTATCTTTTCTGGAACTCATATCCTATTGAACCCAGGACATGCTAAGTACTCTACTAATAAAACTGGCAGAAAGGCAGCGCTTGAACGTTAACCAAGATCATTCTTTAAGAGGGCAGCGCACTCTCGGTACTTATGGCTGACCATCTTAATCGAGGCAGAAGTTCTCTCTTATTAGTGTTTCTATTGATCATTGTCAGGCGCAGCCATAAGAATTATATAAAACATCCGATTCAGAGAATAGTTTAGTGGCCTACATTCCTACTATAATTATGCATATCTACAAGTTTCATTCGATGGCTATGATTTACAGCAGTACATTTCAAAGTCTTATGAGATCGAAGAAATTAAATGGGGAACAAACTGGTGAAGTGGCGCCTGATTCATTTATGACCTTGCAGTTATATTGTAAAAAAATATTCATCAAAACATTTAATTTTGAAACTTTAATATCAATCATTCTTTGTTACTTAAGTAAACAGTTTATTATCAATTCTTTACATCTACTAAGATCGTAAATTTTTTGGTATTCTAAGCCAGGCGGTATATGTGTTTTTAACATGGCCAGGAAGTACAGGCAGCACTTAAACAACTCAACTGACATATATAGTATGCAAGGTAAGCTGTTAGATATTCATATTCTAGACAATTATTCAATAACATTGTAATGAGGGAATTTAATTATATATTGATTCTTATTGATTTATTGTCTCTGGTTCTTATAACAGATAACTTGTGTTATAACTATCATATTCAAAATGTTTTTTCTTAATCTGATGATTTATATCGTGTAACATCAGATTCACAAAGTCTTCATGTAGATATTTGTAATTTAGAAATGATTAACTCATGAACAATTATCTAGAACAATACATGAACTCGTATATTACTGGCTATATATCAGTTTGCCAGTAGAATTATTTTTTTGCTTCATATATTTTATACAACAGTTGCGCCTCTGGCATCACGCAGCAAAGGAACTATCTTATGATGCAGTGTATACCAAAACATCTTTCAAGTTTGTTGTCTATGATTGATGTTTGAGCAGCCACTATCCTAGTTAACTTTCAACCTATCTTGCTAGCTCTAGTAACATAGCACTCAGCACTCGGCAGAGGCCTCGGGTGCATAGGACACCTTGTTATCTTTTTGAACGCTTTTGACATAGCAGCGTGGCCCTTGTCAGAAGCTTCCTTCTTGCTTGGACAGAACCGACTGGTAGATGGAGGCCTCCCAAGCCACTATGGTTAATTTGTTTGATACTAGATCAGCAGGCTTCCACCATGCCTTCCATGGGTTAAGGAAAGTACACTGAATAGGCTACACATATGAGCAGTCGGAAGCGTAGTACTTTGTAGCATCCGAGTTTCTTGATGCAAACACTGCTGCCTCGTTATGACCATGGCAAGCACCCTCTTTATCTTTAAGAAATGTATCCTTGTGGAAAGTTTGCTGCCTCCTGAAAGCAGCGTAAGTTTATTCTGGCTTAAACATCTGTTGCAAAGAATACATAATATTTATGTCACTAAACGATCTTGAATTTTTGCTCACTTTATATTTGCAATGATTATCCTAATATATGAAGTTAAACATACTTTTGCCTGGATAAGCTAATCTAAGTTCATATCCACATTTGTATTTTTATATGCGATAGTCTGTTAGTGTACACAAGATTAATTTATTTGACAGATTTTTTATTAATTTACTGATACACAGTTGCTAGCAAATTGTTATTATGTAGATTCTTTCTTTTTTTAAGAATGAATATTTGTTGTATTATTAATTTGTTATTAAAGATTTTTGACATGTTTTTATGGATGCTACTACGGCTACTGCATGGAAGGTGCGATGTAGCAATATTTGCCAAAACTATTTACTTAACTGTACACTAGCACACATAAACAAAAAACAATATAACTATAACTTACCTAAAGCTAGTGCATTTCATTATCTGGATGGAGTTTTTTCTTATAGGCGAAAAGGAACGAAAAGTAAGATAAAGTTTCCACTAGGATCATTCATGTATATGATGCTTATTAATTCAGATATTCGTCTTCATCTAATTTTACAGATTATCTGAGAGTGGCACCAAGCTCTTATATTATTAATGAGCTAGGTGAAGTTATTCGACGAGTAACACTGACATCTCATTAACATCAAGGCAGGTGTCAACAACTTTACCTCATGAAACACACACACAGTTGTATTTGTACTTTACCTAATCTATTCTACCACGACGTCCGTATGGAGTGCTGCAAGACACTAAAGTGTACAGTCCATTCATAATTTCATCATTTTTTCTTTCTTATCACCCTTTAGCAAACAAGCATCAGGTCAGTGAATATCATCTTTTTGTTCTATGAACTATTACCATCTGTATTGTACTTCATGCTGACTTATTCATTTTATCTATAACATTCTTATATTACCATTAGCTACTTGTATATATCTTGGACACAAACATTACCTTGTGCAACAAAAGTTTATTTACTATTTTCTGACAAAAAAAAGGATTTCAGAACTTTTATTTTTATTATACCCGAATTTTTAGTACGGCACATGCATCGATCTTTTACAGAACAGTATCTTTACAAAATTGATTTCGTCTCTATTAATCTTGTACAGTACTAGCTATCAAAAGAAATTATTCCTTAGCTGTCGCCTCTGTACTAAATGAAATATAAAAAATGGTTTCAGCCTTTTGCCTAGCTACATAGTAGACAGCTCCACAAGGCTTTTTACATAACTGTCGAAATGTCTAATATATATTTATCTGTTAGCATTGCACAATGACCGAGCCTTAGCTATTTTGTATGATAGTCATAGTATGTGGGTCATATTGTATTAAAAAAGTACATAATATCATGCCCTACGTGCGGGGCAGAAAATTCCATGTGTGTCATGTGTCTCTCTTTGCTTTATAAAAATCTGCAATCCTTAATTAATTATAAATGCGTGCATGACACTGAAATACATATAAAATTTTATACACGACGCAATTCCCATATTGTAAGTCCTTCCAGCATGATGTCGTTGAAACGTCTTGGCAAGGCAGCGATAGCGATCGAGGTAAAGCGTCACACGGTTTCATGTAACTTTGGCGGTTGATTGGTCTAGGGTCAGAGGGTCAAGGCATGCATTGTTAGAAGAGTTGCTATTGCCGCGACTGGTTACTGTTCGCTTCTGTATAACAAAAACTATTCATCATAAGCATGAAGGAACTCAGAAACAAGAAATTCTTTTCAACTACTGAAGTAGGTATTCTTGCCTGACAAGTATATATAATTTTGTATACCACTATTGCCCTGCCTACCGTTGTTGTGATGGCTTCCGATATCCCGACAGGACTCTGCGATTCTTTTCATGTAGCAGGAAAGCTGATTCCAGCTAGCTTATGCGGCAACTATGGATTCGGTGGCCGCTTTTACTCAGGTTAGAGCCCGTTCAGTAACTTGCAATATATGCCACAGAAGGGGCAGCCTGAGTCTTCCTCCACCAGTAAAGCATGCGAATTCGTGATCAATGACCATAACTGTTGTCCCGCATGTGACGTAAACCCAAAACAAACAAATACTAATAATTGCTCATCTGTAAAAATGGTAAAAGTTTAAAACAATCTTACCTTGAAACAATACAATGCGATATATAAATATGAAAGAAACTCATTTGTTGATGTAAACATTTAGCAATGAAATATTTAATAGATGTTACCCATTTAAAATGACAGGGTTGCGGTTTAAAATCAGTAAAGTTGCTGTCTGGCACACCATCGATATGTGTTAAATGGTTAATTGACGTGTTAATACTTTAAAGTTTTCGCACTGTTAGGTTTTTATTCTTTTGGTCAAAGACTTTTTAAATTGTTATGAATAGGAGCTATGTTAGAGAGAAAGCTTGATGGTAATCTAATAACTGATGCACGTTTGTACTTTGAAATCGACTTGCTGTAGTGGACGCTGTTTTGAAGTAAGAACTACCAGAAAAAAAATTGTAAATCACCATATGCACTGGTAATAATGCCACTATTGTTCCCCAAATATAACAAAAATTGCAGAACTGACAAATTATATATTTGGAAAATCAATCACTATAAAGAATTTGTTTAGCGACGCAGGCGAATATTATGTTCGATATTTGAATCAGTCACTTATTTACTAGTTTTATAGATAGATCATATCTGTTAATTTTATAATGACGTATTCAATTGCTCCTGTCTATTAATATGATAAGGTAGATATGTTGAGGTACATTGTCGTACACAAGCATGATTGTCCTGTAAAGAATATCAGGTTGATCGTGAAACAGACATCTATACGCCAGATTTGACTCCACTTTCCCTCATTTACTTTTCTCTAGTACAACTATAATTCAATTCAGGATGGTTCATGTGTATAGAGAATCTAACACATTCATCTGATCTTTGGATTCACAACACAGTTCACGATACTGCGGCAGAACTTTATACAGGTATTTTTACTGTTACTTAAAAGCCTAGTAATCTGAATGCTATGGGCTACGGGATCCAAGTCTAAGAAAATTAAAATTGTCTTATGTAGAGGAAGTAACTTGGTAAAATAAGTTGTCAAAAAAAAACCCAATTTGACTAATAATACGATATCAATGATTACACAATATCATCTATTATGACTTCAGCAAAAAAAAAACGCAAAGTTCTTGATGCAGCTCCCAAATTTTATACATAAATAGCAGATAGGACAAATTGTATAACGTTTTACAAATAGTGATATCATAGCTCTGAAGAGCAAACTTGATTGTCGTAGTGGACCATTGCCATATATTAAGCAATTGAATGAAAAACTAATATATTTTTAAGTAATTCAGGAGTTCTGTTCAAGGCATGCATTCAAAGGAGACAGCCCAATGGAAAGGTACTGGTTAACTTCAAGTTCTACATTACAGAAAGGCTTAACAGATTCTGGTGATTTCCTCCTGAATAACTCCATCTTCTCTCACCCAGACGATTGTACAGTTCACTATACCATTGAACACCTCAGATGTTGTTATTTTTTATTATTAACAAGACTGACTAACGAAAACATGTGTAACACATTTTTATTGCTAGCGCATGATCACTTGGCCCGTGATTTTATGTCTTGTTCTACCAGAATATCGTGTACCACCTCCCATATTTCTGGAACTGTAGCCACATAACAAAATTTTATTCTGCAATGAATTAGCACATAGTGTTAGCTTTCTATATGCCTAGGTTGTCAGCAATTACCTGTCTTAGTATATATGACCTATAAAGTCTTGCCATAGTACATTATACATTGGTAGTATTTTGTATTAATTAGAATTTTTGTATCGATATCTTTTGCGTGAAGAATTTACATATATGCCTTTTCGCTTTTCATTGGAACTTGCACTAACATATTCGTAGATTATTATTATGTCGAGATTCATATCTAGAATCTGCGTTACTACATGACCATTCACTACATCGCCATCGTTATATTCCATCGGCAAAAACATTATTTGAGACTAGTTTTTCAATAAGCTTCATAGCTTCCAACTAAACAAATTTGCTGCAACTTTAACTGGAACTTATGTTAAGGTTTTAAGAAAATACATTGTATCAAGTAAAGATGAAAAAAACAGCCCAATTCTTTAAACCATCTATTAGAACTGTTTTGGTTTCAGCATCTTAGTAAGATTAGATATACAGCACCACCAAGCCTGGACAGAGCACGAGCAGGGAGTTATGCCTCTCTCATCTACTATTCTTTACGTGCTATCAAACAAAAGTTACTTACAGGTGGCGCAAAGCACAGATGTCCATGAGAGACATTCAGTTTGCGTCACTAACGACATCTTGCCAATTAGGCGATGTAGATGTCTTCAAATCATAGGCCTATGAAGAAAAATCACACCTACAAAATTAGGACAGTTACCGACTTTTAGTAGTCAAATCTTAATAAGTAAAATTTCCAAGCTCCGACTTGTTATGCTATGTTAGCGATCTTCTGCTCTGCCAACAGGCCATTATATATAATGGCATTCACTCTATTAGCTTTACTTTATCCTTTGGTTCCATCCGATGCACCATTGGTCATCAAGAATATAGTTCTTATCGGCAGATATGGAGTCTTACCACATATAAAACAATACGGCTCACTAATTGAAATTGTATTGTCATAAGCAAATTGGAATGCTGCTGAAAATTTGCAGAAATATTAGTAGTAATGCACAATACCGCACAAGCAACCATCTTCAGCGATTGTAGCATACTAAAACTATCAACATCAAGAGCTGTAGAATAACATGGGCGAATTTAACATCGGCTGTTTATTGGTATGGCGCAGCCTCAGCTGGCGGGCAATCGTTGCTTTCAGAGGCTCTACTGTCACTTTACAAACGCACGTTGCTCTAAACTGCTGTAGCCATTAAAATCCCACACGCGCAGGACTTGGCATTCTTTTTCAATGATTGCAATCGTATACACCGTAGGCGTTAGTGGAATGTGCCGTGGTTTTACTCAGTGGCCTGTTCATGCACTGAAAAATAATTCACGGATCGGGCGACCTGAGGCCGGTTTCCCCACCCACGTTAATAGCTGGACCTGGTATGGCCATATGACCTATATTTACTGTTGTTGGTTGTGAAGTAATAGACGCCAAAAAAAAGTAAACGACCACAATCAATAACACCTAAAACACAGTGGACTGTTCATTTACTTATTTACTATTTACAGGTAAATGTTAGCAAGATAAAGTAGGCTTCTTGTGTTGTACTATTTAATTAGCGTATACATGGTGATTGTACTTACTAGTTAAGTTACTGTATTACGTATGCACAGCTCTATTGTTACCTACTTTTGATCAATGGTATTACATGGCTGATTTGTTACTATTTTATAGGTATAACCATGGTCTATTTCTTACTATTCTTATAGTAGGGTAGCAGAGGCTCTTAGTGTTATACTAGTTGAATATGCCCGTTATGGTCAAAGTGGTCTGCGGAGTCTTCGTAAGATAAGTGTACAGTTGAAGTATGTTGAGCCAAGTATATCACAGGATCAATTGCTACAGCGCAGTGTCAATCTATGTTATCGTTTGTTAGTGAAAGCTCTCTGTGATACAACTGCTTTGCCTATAATATGCGTAGCTGTACCAGAACAACAGGTTAGTACAGCCTATTGTAACAAATAATTGTACCAAACAAGCATAGGGAAATTCATTAATTCATTCATATATCATGTATACGAAACCTTAGCGAAGTAGCCACTGTATGCTGTCCGGCGTACTGATTACAAGCTGACTTTGGTCTCCGTGTTTGATTTTGGGGAAAATGTGATCATGTGTGAGTGTAAGAAGCATTTACGTAAATAGATGATAGAAGCTTTGAAATAAAGTTAACTTTATAGAGATGAGATTTCAATGATGTGCTGATGACTGTCGTAGATGCTTTTGTGTATGTTGATTCAACAATTCTTGTCATATGCAAAGTGACACTAAGATAGGCTTGAAAAATTTTTTACACTGCGTGAGGATAACGTACTTTACTTGTAATTATTAAAGTTGATGTAGTAATTTGTACCTTCTTAGAAACATGAAAATATTTTTTAAATTGCATATGTTTCTAGTATGTAGCATTATATAGCGGAACTATGAGTAACCAAGATATATTTCTTAACAACTGTACCATATATTATATTACACCCTTCTTGATGTAAAGGGTATACATGACTGATTACATGAAGAACCAGTGATCCATTTTGTTTAATACTAACATACTGTTGTAGTAAGACTCGCAGCAGCCAGAGACAGCCTTTATTGTACGATTATTTGGCAAGTAAAAATCTAAGTTACATAGTGAGATGAAGCACAGTTGTCAACTTAAAACGGGGCTGCCAAGATTCCCAGATAGAAGGCATGTCTCATCAAGGGCCAGAAACCGTATTTGTACTTGCCAAAGAATTAACTGGCAGGATATAGAAAAAAACTTTCTAAAGGCAGCCCAGTAGAATATCTTCTTTTTTCTGTTCTTTGTCATATCATCATGCCGTCTATAGACACTTTAGCGGTCCTTTGTTATTTTGAACCAAGCCTCTGCTGTGTAGATATTGGTAAAATAATATAGATATATTTGCTAATAGTCGCAACGCCGCTTCTAATAAGAGGTCTGCAGATTTGTGTCCTAGGAAATTCGTGTGATATGATACAATGTAAGGCATTACACCACTTACAAATACTGTATATTCTTTGTCGATCATTATAAATGATAATGTGTCTATTAAAAATATTTAATCATAACCTGTTTTGTTTTTTTTTTTCTTTCTATTTTTTTAAATATGTAAGTACAATGTATTTACATGTACTTGATTTATTAGACAAAACAAAACTAAAAAATTGCCATAATTGTGTTGTTAGTGATATTTTATATCATCAGAATAATAGCTGAATTTGATTTTATTAGCTATATTGACTGATACTGTCTGATATCATTTTCAGTATTCATTATCAAGAGATTATGGGACAAGTTATGATGGTGCTCCAGAAATTATTTAATCATGTTATACCATTGGCCAGACAATTTAGTACAAGCCTGTCATCCCTAAGAGAAAGTTGTCTCATACCCCAGTATATATTCTATGCGTGCAGAATTATTGCCCACTTCTACCAAGAACCAAACCAAAGAATCAATGTCTAGCCCGATGGGACATAATTTTACATTATGAGAGCGAGGGCTATAGAAAGTTAATAGAAAAGATAAGCAATGACTTAAGTCTTCTACAAAGAAAAGCTAAAGGAGAAATTTTACCATCACCAGAACTGAATGAAGTTATTTATTGTATAAATAGAAACACTGTGCCAATGTCGTGGACCAGCCAGTGTTTCCAGTCAGAAGGGTCAATATCAGACTGGCTGAAGGAGTTAGCTGTGAAACTGAAGGAGTTAAGATCTTACATATTAGAAAGCAAGCCAGCATCATATAATTTATCTGTATTTTTACGGCCAGACAGATTCCTGGAGTCAGTAAAACAGACATACACAAGGAAACAGTTCAAGGACATTGACTGTGTAGAGTTCAAGGTCGAGGTAAGATATCATTGTTTTCTGTCTCTTGTCATGGATAAAGCTTGAACTGAGTAACACATCAAATGTCCAGTAGTTAAGATGTCTGCCTGTCAGCTTTAATACTAAGGTCATGACCATGTTTCCTTATATTTCACCAGTAACAGTAATCTCAAAAGGGTTATACACATTACAACAGTAATGGTCAATTCGAGGAAGTGGTCTCAAATGGGTTATAGTTTTTATTCAGATGGCTGTAAAATAATTTTAGATGAAAGTTTTAGTTTAAACATTATTTATTTTACTTTATTGAAAAGTTTTAATTCAGTTATTTCTAAAGTAGTTTTTGACATTAAAAATCGGTATTAATTTATCAAACTTGACATGTGGTTTAACTGGATAAAAATCACTTTTATAATAATGAAAATAAACTTTTATGACAAGAACACTTACCTGTTATGTTAATTTAATATCAAGGGAAACAATTCAGCTCAATGTTTTTTAACACCTACACAAGTTGCTTCCCTTGGATATGAAAATTACATAAGTTAAAATGCTCAAATTTTAGCATGTGTTTTATTTAAAAATTATTAAAAACTTGAGAAAAATTTTTTTTATTAAAAATTCGTAAAATTTTGCTATGAAAATTTATTGTTAGGGCATTTTTTGTACAACACATAATTTCCTCAATAAAGCGTCTCACTATCTGGGGAGACTGACTGGTTTTATTTATTTTTTCTTTACACTCGGTTTGAAAATATAGATTACTGGTAGCAGTTTTTGAAATTGGAAGATTAATTTTATATCAAAACTCATTGTTATTGGAAAATTTAATTCTTTAAACATTTAACATGTCATGAAGCTGAGGAGCAGCCATTAATTTGATTGTTAAGGTTGTTTTTTTGTCATAATAGTTGTTTATTTGCCTTTATTGCTGTCAGGTTAAAGTGTGAAATACATAAATATGGAACCTTTGATACAAAATAACTAATATATTTATTCCATTGTTTTTTCAGGTGATGCCTGCTGGATTGAAACCGTCTATAGCACCACCAGAGGGTGTTTTTATATCTGGCCTACAATTACACAATGCATTATGGGATAATACTAGAGCTGTTTTAATGATGCCTTCATCAGATAGCATTGGTCTACAAGAAATGCCAGTATTCTGGCTGAAACCACTAGATACCTATGCACCCCAGACACCAAGACGATTATATGAATTATATCGCTGTCCAGTTTATTGTTCCCAGGACACAAAGAAACATGGTGATAAAAATGTCATTGTACATTTCTCCCTACCAACAGAGAATGATCCAAGTGTTTGGCAATACCAGAGGGCTTTCCTTACCACAAATATCTCCAAGTCTACATAAACTCTTCTACCAACATTATATTAGTCTTGAAGATATCATACAACTTAGTTTGGATTTGGAGCATAAACTTTGATATATAATAATATAATTGAAAATGATAGAGAAAGGAAAATGTTATAAAATAAACTGTCAAAATGAAATCATCAAAAATAAAGTCATCATGCACATTTTTTATATGAAATTTATTATATATTTTTCTTATTTTGATTTATGTGTTTAACTCTGTGATATTATATTTATCTACATGTTACTAAAATGTTTTTGGTTATTTTTGTAATTAAAATAAAAAAATCAGTTTCATATATAAGTCTACAGCCAGTGTTACCAGGCATTTCTATAAATTCTAACCAATGAGAAAATAAACAGAGAAATGTTAAAGTAGATCATTTACTGTTGAAGGTTGTTGATAATCAGTACTGTGAGCTGACAAACTTTCAACATTTATTAATTACTTCGGAAATGTAGTTTGTTTTTCACTTTCAAAATCTGCAAACCAAGAACTTTGATAATTATCATTTCAGATGCATAATGACTTTATATTAGGTATGAATTCTATATATTTTATATATATCTGTGTTATGTTATTTTCCGTGCCGTTTAGTTTGTTTACTTTATTAATATATAATTTATTTGCCAAAGATGATGTTTTTACAATTTTATATATGATTTGTGTAAGTACATGATTTATTTACATATGTGGTTTGTTTATGTTACATAGATGAAGATTTTTTTTAATCCTTTGAAAACTGTTTATTTAGGTACGTTGTCTTTAAAAAAATGGAAAGGACCTTTCTTGTGAAAATAACTGGTTCTTAACAAATTTGCATTATCTGTGATAGAAATATTTCTGCTGCTGAGTGAAAATGTACTACTTGAATATTATTATGTCTTGTTTTCTTTTGAATAAAAAAAATAAATATTTCATGATAAAGTATCTGTGTTCTTTGTATTTTCATCATACTTTGAATGACTAAAGAATGTTGCTATAAGTTCTAAATAAGAAAGTCATAAAAGTAGAATGAGATTTAAATGTTGAAATGTCCTCAGATAGGATTTTCTATTTTATTCATATTTGCACTGAATGAAAGAACAAAACTATGCATTTATCTTGGTTAGGTTTTAAATTTCACTTTTTACATCTGTTTTGAATGACACAGGCCCAATGTGCTAAAACTCAACAATTAAATAGGACAGATAATTTATTTAGATTTGGACATAGCACATCACCTTGTCTAGTATTACAATTTTAAATAACGTGATATACAATAAGAAAAATCTAATACACTTGTATTTAACAGTAATGTTAGTAATTTGGTACTTGTAAAACAAAGATTTATCATGTATCTTTCTACAGTTAATATTGAATGTCTTAAAGAAAGAGCGTTTTTGATGAACAGTGAATATTTGTATGTGCTCATTATTACAATATAAACATAATTGTTAATTACAGGGAAAAAGTTTTCTGTTAAATCTTCCTGTTTGAATTTTAAGGGGCAGACCACTCAATCTTAATTTACAATAATAGAATGTAAATCCTTCTGGTAAAACATCTAAATATTTCTCGTATCAAAATGTACATGAAAATATAAAAGGGAATCATTCTTTAAATTAGCTTTACAACATCCAAAATGCGATTTTTTTGGTCAAAAATATATGCTTATCTATGCAGTTTACTATATCATAAACATATGAAAATCCATACGCGTTCAAAATTGTTTACACGACTTCTATAGCTGTCATTTAATGTTATATTATACATATTATCAGTGTTAACAGTTCATAGACAGATGGTCTACTTAAATAATATTGCCTAATATATTTTTCTATAAGACGTCTGTAGTAAGGACTTATACGAGGGATGTTTGAAATGTATTGCTTATTTCTATCTGGAGACTTCAAATTTCAAGTTGGCTCAAAAGTGTTCATTTCATGCACTCGAGGTAGAAATGCAAAGTTTCAGCCGATGTATCCACTTCTTGAAGGTGTCACGGTACGCTGATTTGGGCACAGAAATAAGGTACAGATGAATGGCAGATCCAAGTGTCTGTCGGAACTTGTATTTCCGCCCAGCAAGGAAGGAATTCAATTTCGGAAACAAAAAGAAATCACATGGGGCAAGGTCTGGAGAATAGGGGTGGGGGGTTAAGGCAAAACAGTTACTTTTTCTTTTTTCGAAAACGCCGAAACTATTGCGGAGGTATGAGCGGGGGCATTGTCATGTAGAAGACGGATATGCTTAAAATCAGTGACAGGGCGTCGTTTCTTATAATACTTTTTCAGTTTCTGAAGTACTTCGTCTTTGTAATACGTCCCAGTGACACTTTTGCCCTTTTTCACCGGTACTTTTATTGCGGCTCCTTCACCAGAGAAGAAAATTGCACTAAAAGACCGTTGTTCACGCACAATTGTATATATTCTTAAGACCGTCGAAGACCGTCAATGGTGAGAGACCGTCGATTAGTAGTTTTATAAATATTTATGGTCCCTTGGTATGGTTATGTCTGCAAAGGCTGTTGATAACTTTCTCCATAATAAAACCTTATCAATGCAGTCAAACATTTTCTCCCCATGTAGAAATGCTACAAAGAGTTTCTTCTTACTCCACAAAGTCTTTGTTATTAAAGCATGTAATAAACAAGAACGTGTTTGTTAAACACAAATACCCCCTGATCAGATTCTTGTCAGCAGCAATATTTCAAAAAATGTTTACCCATTCACTCAGTTATGGTTTTGTAATTGTGAAAAATATAAGTTGCCAAGTCATTGCTCCGACTTGTGAAGATGAAAAATATTCAACTTCATGCAAGTTATCTTCCTACCAAATATGAAATACATTCTGTCAATAAATAAAGGCTGTATGGGCAAAAGTGTAAAAATCTATTTTTAGCACTGGTGACAACCAAACTGACCCCTAACTCTATCCAAAAGAAGAATACCATGTAAGTTACCTTCCTACCAAATATGAAATACATCTGTCAATAAATAAAGGCTGTATGGGCAAAAGTGTAAAAATCTATTTTTAGCACTGGTGACCTTGACCCAACTGACCCCTTACTCCATCCAAAGGAAGAATACCATGCAAGTTATCTTCCTACCAAAAAAGAATTACATCTGTCAATAAATAAAAGCTGTATGGGCAAAAGTGTAAAAATCTATTTTTAAGCACAAGTGACCTTGACCCACTGATCCCTACCCCAATCAAAATGATGATCATGCAAGTTATCTTCCTACCAAATATAAAAATATTTGTCACTTAATAAAGGCTGTATGAGCAAATGTGTAAAAATCTATTTTTAATACTGTTGACCTTGACCCAACTGACCACTAACTCAATCAAAATTTATGTTTCTATCAATTACACATAACATCTGTCTATAGAATAAGGTCAATACACCTGTAAAAATGTAAAAATCTATTTTTAACACTGGTGACCTTGACATTGGTAACATTGACCTTGACCCAAATGACCCCTAACTACACCCAAAGAAGGAGGACCTCCCTTGGCATGTTTGTATCAAACTAAAACATCAACTAAAATATAAAGGCTGTAAGGAAAAAATGTTTATATTTATTTGTTAAACCAGTGACCTTGACCCTAGAGACCGCTTACTCCACAAAATATTAGAGGACCATCAAAGGTATCCACCTACTAAATATGAAAGATATTATTCAAGAAATTAAGCAATTAGGAGAAATTTAAGATAAATCCAACTTGCCGAAAAAGGTTAACCAGACAAGGCCCTATTTTCAAAGTGAAAAAAAGGAAATAACTGGGAAATATGGATGACACAGATATATCACTTGGCAATGTCATGTACTTTGTACTGATAAGTAAGCGTGGAAATTATAAAGCCATTAGTATAGATAGAACTTAAGATTTTTCCAACTTGCCGTTTTAGGTTAACCATTATTCATTTTCTAAGTGCTGAAAAGGGCAATAACTTGGTAAATATGAAAGCCAGAGTTATGTAACTTGCCAATATCATGTACTTTGTATTGATTAGTAAGTGTGTAAACTTAGAAGCCATTGGTACAGGTAGAACTTAAAAAAAAGCCAACTTGCCGTTCTAGGTTAACCTCGTACGGACAGACAGAAGGTGTTTTGCTTCACGAACCCCGCCTTTAAAAATTGGCACTATAATTCCTTCTCAAAGCGGCGATTCTTGTGACAGACCAAACTTATGTAAATGAAAATGTTTATCAGAAAGATAAAACTTAAACTTAAACTCGAATAATAATAATGATAATAATAATAATAACAACATACAAACAAATACATCTTGCAACTTAAGCCAAAATGAAAATGCAGACCACTTAAATTCTTCCTTTACCATGATAGCAAATTCCGACAGTCGTGAAACTGAGACATCATCCATGGCACTGAACAATATTAAGATTTTATCCTTAAACGTTTGCGGACTTAAATCAAAATTGCATTGCCCAGAATTTAACAAGTTGGTGAACGATCACAGAATAATTGGGTTTTTAAAGAAATTGAAGCTGATCATTTAGATCATATTGAAATACAAAATTATGATGTATACTTCAAATATCGATTAAGATATACCAGGTCTAGCTCTTGCAGTTAGAAAAATCTATCCAAATGTTGTTATTTCCTTTTTCAGTTTTGTAAATCAATTGAAATTTTTCATAAAATTTCTTATTTTCAACTTACTTATGCTATAAATTTTGACTTTATTGATTTTTTTTCTAGTTTTCATCGCCTAATTTAAACGAAAGAAGAAAAAATATGTTGCAAACTGGGTGTCCTTTTCTGAAGATGTGTAACTTATTAGTTTTATTCTTGTTGGAACTGAATAACATTCATGATTTCGTTTTATACAGCTTTAAATCTATATCTACACATATCTAGAATAAGTTAGAATAAGCGGACTATGCCATAAATGTGTTTTATTGATAAATTTATATACAAAGTGGGTGGGGTATTACGAACGGGGAGTCAACTTTAAATTAAATACTTTTTTGTTTTATATTATAATAGTAATATAAAAAGGTTAACAATTTTATTTAATTGGTTAGTGATGAGACATCTTATCTTTCATAGAAAATGCCCTGCATGTGTGTCTAAATGTTGAAATATCTCTTTTATTTGCATTATGCACACAATAAGGAACTATTTACTGACCTGCAATTCGGTATTTGCTTGCCTTTTGTTAAGGATTTGTTTGCAAGTTTTTTTCTCCTTAGCCATAAACATTCATTATTAGTCTTCAAATGTGATTTTGATTATACTTGTAGGTCACTGTTCAAGACCCATAAGCTTTAAGCATTTATTAGGCAATAATAATATCTATTTATTAACTTACAGAATTTCTCGGACAAAATTTATCTCCACAACCATCATTATTTGTAGGTTACTTCCCTCTTACATGTTTTTATTTCAAAGAGTTATACTACTTTATGAATAAGATAATTTCTTTATTGTGCAGGCTGTTGATTTTAAATATTCGAGCGTTCTGTCTTACATGCCGCTCTTGTTTTAAGGCATTGGCATATCATATGATAATCTACAATCAGAGCTGCATCAGTACTAAGGGTGTAGTACTTAAGTACCAGTACCAGTACTTGGCAAATTATGCAGTACCATTACCAGTACCAGTACTAGATTTTAGCTTGGTACTGCAGTACCAGTACTTTTTTTTGTGAAGTAATTAAGTATCAGTACCATTACTTTTATATATTCATCAAAGTTTGAATAAATACAGTGTCAAACAAATAATTGCAAATATTATTCAGCAAAGAAATAAAATCATAATTTACTTTAAAGCTGCATGCCTCCAGATGACCAAAAATATTTAAAGAAAATCAAACTTGGAAAAAAAATTAATAAAACTTTGAGAAAAGTAAACAAATTAAAGATTCAAGTGATAATTTATATCTTATGTGCAATTAATGACTGTATTTTGTAGT